GGGAGGATACATAGCCGGAGGAGACTCCAACGGCACGTCATACGCCAACATCATCAGGAATTACTTCATCTCAGGGCCTAACACTACAGTCACGGCCTTCACCAGAGGTAACGCCAATTTCTACGGCTACGTATCAGAAAACTACTATGACCCTGACCAGAACGGCGCTCTCGATGGCTCAGCAATCGCTGCTACATCCAGCAACTACGGCGACATGGTCATAACAGACACCCAATACCCATACCCCGCTCCATCTACTATCCTATCCGCATCCCAAGCCGTAGCTCTCGCCATCAAATGCGTCGGTGCAAGCTTAGTTCGCGACAGCATCGACACGCGCCTCATCTCCGAACTCCAAACATACGGAACGACTGGAGAGCTGATCTCGGACGAGACCGCGAGTCCCATGGACGGACCTGGCACGGTTGATTCTGGGATTACAGCTCTTGATACTGACGGTGATGGGACTCCCGATTCGGTGGAGGTGCAGATGGGGACGGATCCCGAGGTGGCTGATTCTATGGATATTTCCGCGTCGGGATATACGAATATTGAGACTTGGGCAAACTCGTTGGTGCCGTCTGGATATTGATATAGAAATATTGTGCGTAGGTACATGTACGTACGTACATAGATTCCGAGCATATTCATCGTAACGATGCAACGCAACTTCCAACGGTTATTCAACATGGCTTTCATCTTCACTGCGCTCTATTATAGCAAGCCTGGTCAGTGTTCTCCAAAGTCCTTACTCCCTCCACCGTTCCACATTTTCCCTCCCCTGCCTCTTCCTCGTCCCTAGGATTTGGTGTACCGCAAGACCAAATCATAGAGGAAGCGCGTCTCATTCCCATCCTCGCCCTCAACTCTATCTCGTGATGAGGCTGCCATATTCATCATCCGTCCGTCAGAGGAACATTTCACAAGGTCGGACTGGAAAGAAAACTACGCCCAAGTCAAGGGCAGAGGGACGTTTCGATGCTGTCTGTATCGTTATCCATTTAAGAGGAAACAATACGTGAAATGTGATGCTTTACTCTACCACTGGGGCTTAAACCGACATCGTTATATTCTTTTCAAGCGCGTCACGTCAGACCTAAAACATACTCTGCCCAAAATTTACATTCATTCTCATCCTCTATAATAAACACCCGCCCAAACACCAAATATACCGTCTCCCACAAAATCCCCCAACATAGTTCTCGTGCACAGCACAATCCCCGTCTTTACCAAGCCAATTTAACCCCTTCATCCCTAGCAAAATCAACACCAAATATACACTGTATCCCACAAAACCCTCCCTAACATACCCAATTCCCATACACAGCACTCATCCCCCACCCCTTTTTCACCGCGGCATTTCTCACTCCCTTTCTCCCTCACCCCCCTCCCAATTCCCATCTCACTCAACAAACCATCCATTATCCCACCTCCCCAGCTCAGCCAAGCTAGCCCACACAGCGCACCTCATCATGATCTCCTCCTGTTCCTCGCAATACGGATACATCGGTTGGTGCCGACTCGCTGTCTCGATAGATTCGGCGACCGCCCTGTCCATGCAATATTCATCTATCACAGCCATAAACGACTCGTAGCTGTCTTCTAAACCCGCAACGGGCTGTTGAGAACTTGGCAGCGTCGCCGTGGCTGGCTCGGAAATGGGCCAATCTGCCCATGGATCACGTAAATCCATTTCATAGAGTCCTATATGTTCCATTGGGCTATCGTGAGGTGAGGAAGGGGTGTTGGGCGCCTGCGCCGTACTGGGATTCTCGATCTCTGCGTGAGCGTCATCCGTGGGGATTGCGGTATACATATCGTTCGTCGCTAGTGAACGTGCTGCATTCCTGTTTCCTGATACGCGGGTTTGGGTTTCTGGTTTGCTGTGTTCTAGGGGCGATGATTAGCACAATGCGATATGGAATTGTGTGATTGTGAGGAGTGTGACTTACTGGAGCCCATGTTTGAAAGTGTTAGTTAAATGCGGTGAAGGGATGTTTGATGGGTAACTAGAGGGATAAAGCTACTTTATATATAAAAGATGTGGTTCTTGTGTTATTAAAACATGGTTCTTGAAGTTTCGAAATTGAGCAGTTTAGAAGTGAAAGTGAACATGTTGAACAAAGAAAAAGCACGTCCTTCACTGTAAGGGTTGTAGATAGACTCTCATAGGGGATGTCGCTTCACGATAGCTAGACATGAATGAAGAATGAGAAAAAAAGAGCAATGAAGCTGGGATCAGCATAGCGGCAGATATTTACATGGTTAGAATACTTTTCAAGGTCGTGAAAGTGAGGATAAGTCCCTGTTCTCTTGAGCTGCGACGCAACACAATGTCTCAGGACTTTGGATGTTCTTAGAAGACTCGAGAATAACAAGCGATTCTTTGCATCTTCCGACCTCTGATACATGTCACATTCTTTAGAGAGAACGAGGAGTGTATTTCACCTGCATAGCCACTAATCACCTGACATGGTCATGCGGTAGGCGTGCAAATCCTAAGTCTCACAAAGCTCTGACGATTCCTGCTCCGATATTTTAGAAGAACGACTAGTTTTCCGGCCAAGTCAACTTGCATTCGCGCATGAAACCAACAATGCGCGCAGACACCTAGGTCTGAAGAAATCGGAGTAATTAGAAATTGAAATTTGTCTCATTGTTCCTTATTATTGTTCGAAATCAACGTTCGATGAAACGCATAAAGAAAACCGAAAACCCAAAACCAGAAACCACGAGAAGCTGGGAGCAAAGGCACGCCTGTGCTTAATCTTCACTATTCCCCCATTTTCTTCTGCATATTATACACGCCGCTGCGAACATTTCCAAGCGGCTGTGCTTGCCTCTTCTGATATATCAAGGGCTGATAGTTTATACTTCACTAAATGTAGTGATGTGAGAAGAGGAGGAGAATATAACTTAAGAATATGTTAAATAAATCCAGCACCGCTCGCAATAGCTAACAAGAAGTCGCAGAACAAAGACAAACCATTCCGCTTCTCACTAGAGAGAGAAATATAAGTCTGGCTCTTATAATCATCCCGAAAGTCAAGCTCGAGACAACATGCGTAGGGACTGCTTAGAACAGTGCAAGGACAAAGTCTCGGCGCCGAGTCGGCGGCACATTCTCACACACTGGTGACACTCCAACTCAATTGTAGTCGGGCAATGAAAATTTGCAAGGAGCCCCACGATTCATGTCAATTGATGACGATATAAAATACCACCGAATCTCATGTCAGGGCGGGAGGCAGAGGCTTTGGATACCTAAACTCTTTACGAGTGAGGGAATTTAGAAAGCCGCGACTGCACCAGCGCTTCTGAAAAGGCCCATCCCGCCTGCTTCAGATCCACATAATCGGGCCTCATCCAGCTGGATGTTCCTATTAAAATTCGTCTGCGAGTACGGAGTATTGGTTGTAGATATGCAAGAAAAGAAATGTATCAAGAAGTAAGAAGGTGGGGACAGAATTGCAAAATAATTGGTCAAATCGCTTAGTCAGCTCAATATCGATCGATGTCTACCCTTCGGCAGAACGATGTGAGCTGATCGTCTCTCGACACGGTGAAGAACATGCAAGAAATACCCTCATACTTTCGGCCCGCATCTGGGCAAGTATCATGTTCGATACCAATCGAGTTTGGTGATTTGATCCAAAATAAGGGCTATAGTAGGTGCAATTTGCCAGTTTCTTTATATAACATCTTTTCTTTCCCCCTTCCTCTATTCAAACCATCCTACCTCAAACCATCCTACCTTAAGCTATCCTACATCAAATTATCCTACAGTAACTTCCATTCCTAGCCACTAAAACTCCATCGGCAAAGCCAAAAATGCATCCCACCCCTCCATTGGCTAGGCAATTCACGGCCCAGGTCTGGCCGAGATGGCTCCCAGCAGCCATGCTAGGAGATTCTCGAGCTGTGATCACTCGCATCGCGCCGTCAACTACAGTCAGCAAGTACCAACCGGCGTCTGCTCGCCAGCTTGCCCCCATGTCCAGTTCCTCGTACCCACCTCCTCCGAGGACACAGACACAGGCTGGACAAGCAAGCCAGCCGACGCAGTAGGAGCTGGTCTTCTTGAACGGCGTCAAATTATGCCGAATTTTCTACTTGTAGGGCCACGGCTATGACTCATCGCATATGTTGAATTGGAACGGATAGCTAGAGGAGAAGGCAAACTTTATTACACGCCTGGGACTGTCATGTTACATGAATTGATGGTTTGGAGCAAGAGATTCTACAGCCAGGCAAGGGCTTTGGAGTTTATAGAAGGACGGTCTAAACGGCCGCACTGAGCAAAAAGAAAACAGTGAATTTTTTCTAAAATAGAGGACAAGGGCATTAGAAAGGCGTTTACGAAAACTGTCTTGGAGTTGGAAGGTTGGGTTGGGGGAGAGAGAGTGAGAGACTTCTAGATAAGACTTGAAATATACTGGTAGAATTGTGGGGTATGTACTCATGGCCCATGAGTCATGGCCAAGCTTTATAGAGATGAATTCTTAGAAGAAGAATTCTAATGATTAATGGAACAATTTTATCGGTTGTTAAGTCAGTTGATCAGATGATGTTGATGCCTTGTTTATGTTATATCAGTGTACTTGCCTTATTACCCTGCACCAACATTGCAAACTTGATGCGTGACTACTACCTACGTAGTTATACTTGTACATTTACAGAAAACGCGGAAGAAGACGATGTAAGAAGGGGTTGTTCCTGTTACGATACCACATCTTCCATGTCACTTGTAGAGTTCAGCAGGTAGTAGGTACATGAGAAAGATTTAGGTCCGCTTAGACAGGCAGCGAAGACGTTCATTACTTTCTAATATTAGCGCGAGAAAGCGACATCGAGACAGAAATGTGTATACTGCATGCAAGCGCCCATAACCCCTTTCCCACCCCTCCAAAAACGCCAGCGAAAATCGAAGTAAGGCAAATTATGTTGTGCCATTCATTCCCACCCGCTTCATCATTCAAACCACGAGGAAAGAATATATATCAAGCAATAGTACCCTGGCCCCCATTAACAGACATGCCATTTTCCTCCATCATCACTCCATGGTCATCGTATACTACATGGCTAAAGGCATCGAAATCATTATTGTCAACTAACCAGTCCTCGTCATCCACATCAGCAGTTAACTTTGCCATCAGTCCATTGCCTGCTTTAGGGTAAGGGGGGCTAGCGGGTGTGCTTTCGCGGCTATCTTCACCTTGAGTATCACCTTGAGCATGCAGCGTTGGGGGCACAGACGCGGCATGCGCTAAGTTCTGCTGGGATACGCTACCGGGTGGTGTTTTTATCTTGCGGATAAAGTTGATAGTTGCATTTGGCGTTGTTTCTGCGCGGGAGAAAAGGCCAGTCGAAGTCGTTGCGGAGGGTGGAAAGGGCTGTTGTGGGTGGATGTTCGTTCGACGCTCGGAGCTGGCGCGGTTGGCAGCGGCGGTGGCGTTAGAAGTCTGAGGGGGAGGGAAGATTGGAAGGTTCGGATGAAGGACTGTAGCTTGCATGAGAAGGTTTACGAGCTGTTGATGTGGAAGGGAGTTGAAGTACGAGCGTTTCTGTGGCGGTTCTGTTAGTGAAGAGGTATGTTTACAGTGATAAAGGACAAACCTCTTCTGCACTATGTCCTTGCCAGCTGACCCCTTTTGGCTCAGAGCTTGCGGGCTTAATACCCTTCTTCTTACTACATTCCGCGCAGTACCAAGGCGCCGTTTCGTCGTTGACCATTTCTTCGGATACAATAGGATCATGACACATTTGATGCCAACCTAGATTGCATCCGTCGCAAAACACAATCATATTTTTCTGTGGGCTATGTCCTCTTCCACATCTCTTGCACAATGCTTGTTCTTGTGCCCTCTTGGATGGTGCTCGTTTTCTCGAATTAGGCTCAGATACAGCCGGAATAAAAGGCGCAGGCTTGACAATGTGACGTCCGGACTGAGTGATCTTAGGCAGCTCCGTAACGCTCTCAGCATCGTCTGAGTCTGAATCGCCTCCAAGCTTGGACATAGCGTCGGACTCCTCATCCTCACTCATACTTTCAGACTTCATCCGCTTTCTCTTTGTTCCCGCTCGCGCACCACCTCTCCCTCTGGCAGATCCTCGCCCTTTGCCTCCACTAGCTGATCCAGCAGCAGAGCTTGTGGGGGTACTTGCAGGTCGTGGCGCAATCGAGCTACCTCCCATAGATGTTCTCCCCGCAGCTCCAGCTCTCTGCCTGTTTCCAATAGGCGGACTCGGGATCTCCATATTCATTGATGTCTTCATGCCCATCATCACATTGCGCTTCATATCCTCATACCCCGGAGGGGGGCCGGTCATGCCAATTGAGGAGAGGCTTGAGCCACCAGTTAGAGCCCCAGAGCCGGATTGGATGCGCTTTAGAATCAATTCCGTCGCTGCAGAGAACTGGGGAACGTATTTGGGAGGTGAGTCGGTCATTGGGGCATCACCGCTGCCAGGCGCAGCTGGAGTTTGAGGGGGCGCGTCAGAAGCCATGCTGGATCGCGAATAGGTTGCGAACGAGATATGCGCCGGAGGTCGTAGATGCTAGCGCAGGGGGTTAATAACAATGCAGTCATATGAGAATAGGAAGCCAACCTCTAAGGTACTGATACCAGATAGTCCGAGTTCAATTGACCTTTCTCAATCTTAACAGACGTCGTTGGCGCTGAGCTTAAAATGAGGCGTGATATCGGGAGATATAGAATATCAACGAAAGCGCATCGAGAGTATCAAGGTCGGATTTGATGCCGGCAAGTGTTTGTAACAACGCGTTAATAGTATTGAAGACTGGCAGGCTGATGTTTATCTTTTCAAGCACAGTTCCAGCCACACGACGAACTATCCATATACCACGTGATGTAATTAACACGTGACTACACATCAATCCAACATTTGGCGACGTATGGATTGTATTCTGAGGCCAAGAACTTCAGCCGAATTCATGATTAGTCCCTAGCTTAAGCTAGCCAGTCCCGATACCAAAAATATGCCTTACGATTTCTAAAATTGTTGCCCGTCAGTGGACAATTCATGCAGACTCTGTGTAGGTGGTTTAACGATCGATTTAACCCTTTACGAATATCTATAAAGTAGATTTTTATCTTACAGCTCCTTCAGATTTTAGCGACTCTATATCTGTTTCACTCAAACCCAAAACTTCTTTCAAAACTTCATCCGTATGCTGGCCTAGCATCGGTGGGGCGGTTCGAATACTTGGTTTACTTTCGCTATACTTCACTGGCGTATTGACCATCTTGATTGGACCACAGAACTCATGATCCATTTCCTTCACCATACCTCTAGCCAAAACATGCTCATGGTTTAAGGTCCCTTGCACATCATTGACAGCTGAGTAAGGCAGTCCAGAGCCTTCAAAAACATCCAGCCATTCTTGTGTCGTCTTCGTCTGTGTAATCGTTTCTATTAAAGTGTCGAGTTCAACTCGATTTGCAACTCTTTGGGCGTTGACTTCGAATTTGGGGTCCGTTTTCCATTCTGGGCGTCCGAGGCCGTTGCAGATGAGGCCGAATAGACGGTCATTTCCTCCACCGAAGAGGACGTCTCCATCTTTGGTTTTGTAGGATCTATAAGGAACGATCGAAGCTATCTCACTGTGAGTGGGGGTTCAAATTCTTCATAAAGATGCTTACGATGAGCTGTCCCCCATCGTCCCTCATCTTTCTTTCCACTGATCAAACAACTACTAGCAATATTTGCAAGAGTAGCAACTTGACAATCGCTCAGCGCAACATCAATATGTTGCCCTCTATTAGTCCTCGCCCTGGCAATAATTGCTGCCATAATACTATTGCTAGTATATAGTCCAGTTGTCAAATCAGTGACAGCGACCCCCACCTTGACTGGTGGCCCATCTCGGCTCCCCGTGATATGCATTAAACCAAACTCTGCTTCTACCATAACATCGTAGCCAGCTCGATTTGAATATGGGCCAGTCTGGCCGTAGCCAGTAATTGATGCGTAGATTAAACGTGGGTTTATCTTATTGAGGGTTTCGAAATCCATGCCATATTTCTTCAGCGTGCCAGGTAGGTAATTTTCAACTAGGATATCACTTTCTGCGACGAGCTTGTGGAGGATATCGACGCCAGATTTGTGTTGGAATGAAAGGCCGAGTGATTTCTTGTTACGGTTCACCTATTTCCTAAGTCAGTCTCTGTGGTTGACGGAAGGGAAGAGGGGCGTATACAGCAAAGAAGTAGGCGCTTTCCCCAGGACCCTCCTGACCAGAACCTTCTTTATATTTCGCATACGGTGGACCCCAATGTCTGGTATCATCTCCTTTCATAGGGTGCTCTATTTTTATAACTTCTGCGCTGATATTCGTAAGCTTTTAGGGATCGTATTCGAAGAGCAATGGCGGAATCGTACCCCAAGTCACCAAGTATTTGTGTACAATATGGCTACACGTCTTATTAGCGTTTTTTAATTTTAATTTTTAATCAGCACGTAGGGTGTCGTACACCCGCAAGAACCCTTGTCATGTCCAAGACTTTGTACCCCTTCAAAGGCAGTGTCATATCGTTCCCCGCAACGTCCGCAAACCCTCTGCGCCGGGTGCAGCAGATCGCCAATCGAGAGCCATTGGTGAACAGCAGGGCTCGAGAAGCACCCCGGAGATATTGTCGAGATATTGAGACCGGCATTATTGTGCAGAAGTTTGGTGTCAGAATGGTGAGAGCAAAAGTGGGAGCAGAGCTGGCCCCGCCAAAGCTTCCCCGGATTCTTGACGAGCCTCGGCCGAGCAAACCTCACTTCGGCAAAGCTGAGGAGCTCTCGTCACCAACACATCTTACAGTACGCAAACCTCGACTCTTCGAACATGGCGCTACTCGTCAATTGCAGCTCGGCTTTCACACATTCCCAGCAGCTATCTATCCAGCTGGGGTTTTCATTCTCCGAGAAAGATCTACGATCCTAAGCCAAACCGCGTCATCATTTCCAGACATTGGCTCATGTGCACGTTCACGAGAAGCCACTCTTTAATTTGAAGCTGCCTTCCCCAGAAATTGGAACCCAACTACGAGTACAGTTGGGCAAATACTCGGAACGTTGCAAATGCACTGGCTTAGAGATCCTGGATAACAACACTCTTGCAAACCTTGTTACGAGGACTTGGGATTGTATTACCTGGCCTGCTCTTGGAAGAACTGTTTAATCTTCTCGAGCAGTGTGAAGTAAAGTTCGAAATGTGCCAAAAAGTTAGAGCTGCTTGGCAAAACAGAGTTCCCGTTCAAGTATGAACGGTTAACCTCTGTATCGTTTGACTCCCACCACATTCACTCTGCGCAAAGTAAAGGTAAAGCTTATGTTTGACGCTTGCTTGCTTGTTTGCTTTGATATTTTCATCTTGAAAGTTTGTTCTATTCCTTATAAGTTAACATTGTTATCTGAGCGAGAGCCGGACTTTTTCCGAGTATACCGCCACAGGTCCTGCTCAACATGTGTCTACAGGCGATTCACATTGTGAGTGACGCTGCTCATATAATCCATTGATCCATTAGTGAAGCGCTTGCACTGAAATGGGGCTTCGTCATGAGCCTTGACACGGAAGAGCACAGCATAGACAATTTAGGGAAATTTGCCAAGATGTTCAAATCGAAAGAGGTATCTAGAAAGCAGCGCTAAGTATTCTATCTACGCAAGGCGTTCTATCTATCTATACCACCAAATACCAAGAACTCTATATGCCGAACGCTTATCTATGAACGATGAGCAAACGCCAGCGACCTGAAATTGGTAAACTCCGGGTACCAAGACTTTGATCTACGCATTGAGGTTCAGATTGAGCACACACTAGAGGCGAGACTTGACACTATCCTGCACAGCAGGGAAAGCGCCCATGAGAGTCCCATGAAGTCTTCCGTCACGCAGCGCCGCGTAGATAATCGAGATCCAGGATCCGATTGTCTTTTTGGAGCGCCCGTTGATGGAGGAGCTTTTTGCTGTGGGGTGCTGTGAAAGATAAAGTCAGTAGTGAGGGGGGAAATTCAAGTATTCGGGGGAAAGGAGGTAAGAATGTGATGTATAATCCGGACGCTGTAAATTCAAGAGTGGAGGGGAGTGGGATTAATTCTCTTATCCGGAGAACACTCCAGAGATTCTGAAAATAAGCTTACCTCTACAAGTCCCACGTGAAAAGGAACAGCTAACTGTTGTCGAATAGCCAGATATAGTGTCTTGGAACCAACTCCGAGTAGGTCGGCTGTGTGTTGCTTCTTGAAGAATGCGGTTGTTGACGATTCGTAGATGGACTTCATTGTTTGGACTATCTCAGATCTCCACTTCTCTATAAGGACGGCATTATCAATCACTGGCCCAGTACTTCCATGCGTAACGATATATTTTAGTATGATGGGTAAAGAAGTGTCAACGGTGACTTGAAATCTGTCCTTGGCATCGAGGCGCGAGCTAGATTGCCAAGATGAACTTACATGCCCATCCAAAGACGTATTCAAAGCATTCAACTCATCTTCTGAAAGCACGTGTGCAAACAGAGACGAAGTTCGAGAGGGGAGCACAAGTCGCAGCTCGGACAAGAACGACAAATGCATAGCTCGAAGATCGAGAGCTTGGCAACAAATATACAAGCTACAGGCGCACAGCAGTGATAGCAACTCTACCGCCTGCATAGTGTACCGAGCTGAAACAAAAGCCATGGAGTTGACCGACTGGTTGTGCATCTCAGCTGCCTGAACATGGGAACTGACTGGATTTGCGAGATATGCAAGCTCAGACATGTAAGAAGCCATGCTGATATCGACGCCCTTCATGGTGAACGAGAGGCTCGAATTGTCGGCTACCAGGTTTGTGGGGAGGCCGTTGCTGAGGCTTGGGTCGATTAGCTCGGTGGCCTGTGAGAAGAGGAGCTTCCCGAACATTTGAAGCGATAAGCGCGTCTTCTCCATAGCTGATGTGATGGACGTTCTTTGAAAGTTGGCGCCGTTATAAATAGCTTGTGTTTTGGTGTCTACAAGTGGATTGTCGCTGGACGAGTTGAGCTCTGTTCTGATTTGGCGGTCTGCAAGGAGTAGGTCTTCAAGCTGTGGCCCGATCCACTGCGAAGCGCTTCGTACGGCGTATCTGTTTTGGATGAGGCCAGACGTCTGCCGATTTTCCTTGCCCAAGGTATCCTGGGTAAGCTTGGATCCCTGAAGCAATTGGAAGATGTTCAGGGCACTCTCAATCTGACCAGCGTGAGGCCTGACTTCTGCAATGAACGAGTGGAAGTTTTCTGAAGTGCCTAGCAACGCCTCGCAGGCCATTGCAGAGAGAGCTTGCGTTAGGAGTGCTAGATGATGAGACTCATAGATCACTAGACTAGCCAGAGCTGCGGAAGCAGATGTACCATTCACAAGTCCCAATCCTTCCTTTGGCCCTAAAGTTCTGACATCTGCTCCGACAGCTTTGAGGGCGTCTTTTGCGGTCATAACTCTCGCTGGATCCACCAGGGCGGCCGATTTGCTTTTCATGCGTACAAATACGTCGGGACTCCCCTCGATAGCACCAGGAACATAGGATAGAGGCATGAGGTCACCTGAGGCCGAGACGGAACCCCTTAAAGGAACAATAGGGGTGATACCATGGCGAAAAAGAGCAAGTATCGAGTGTATGACGGGTAGAGAGACAGCGGAATGACCACGAGCGGTTACATTGCACCGAACTAGCATTATCGCCTTCACCCAAGCAGTCGGCATCGCTTGGGATGCAAGGATGCTACTTCCTGCATTATCATCTTTATCGGTTTTTATCAGCACTCCGGCCTGGGTCAGTTGCAACAGAGCCGCTTGCAGTGCAAATAAGTCATTGGTGCGTGAGTCGGCGCTTCCACCGAAGCCAGTGTTAACCCCTGAGTGGGAATATTAGCAAAAGTCTCACCAAAAAACCACATTGCAAGGCTCTGAGCGCAGGAGAAGTTAATACCGGGCCTTTCGCAACCGGTGGCTCGTCATCTATGGCACAGATTCGAGACCTGTGCACCAAATACGGAGCATGGCCACACGTCGACGGCGCATTATCTTTGCCTGCTACCTCCCGCAAGCAGCCGAGTTCACATCTCTTAGCACCACAAGCTTCGGCATCCACTTGATCATTCATCCAAGGTAGCAAGACTTTGTTGTCAAAGAATCGACGGCTCCTTTGGTTCTGTCATTTTCAGATTTGTCCATGACACAAGTTCTCTGTTCCTCACTTGAGGCGCAAGACTCAATCGTACTGTCCCAATGGCAATGCCATGTCTTCGAGGGAAATGGAAGCAAGACTAGAAAAGCACATACCGTGAACATGGCGGCCCTCAGCTAGATGGTTCATCAAGACATCGACACTAGCAGCCATTCGATCCGTAACAGATTGATCCGACGTCAGTTGTGGTATACATCCGTTCCTATCATCAAATTAGCTAGATGCTCGGGTCCTTATCTGCAGGCAAGGGGAAATTTTACCTGGCGACCGCAACAACGTGCGGAATATCAAGTGTTGTCCCATCAATCACGATGACTTCGCCAGAGACTATCTTCTCGAGGGCTGTCCAATGACACCGCGTCACTTCCAAGTGGTTCAACGATTGGAATTCGGCCATGGTGCTCAGCTAAATCAGAGAAGGTGCAGGGTAAGCTGAATGTTTCTACGAGAAATAAGTTATCAAGTTTGTGAAGTGATCAAGCGCGTGAATACATATACAGTCCTGGAATACAAGGCGGTGTATTCAGTTATTTGCAGAGAAGCTTTTCAACGCTTGAGAGAGCCAATCAAGAGCTGCATTTGTGCCCAGGTTATGCACCCTGTATTTACTGCGCTGAATCAATCCGTAGCTTGATGAAGTCACGGATACGAAGACTGATGAGCTGGGACCCACTTATACTCCAAGAAGGAGATCGCCCTGAGCATCCTTATCAACCCTCTCTAGCTCTACGCCAAACTAGACTAGATCCTTCCACCTTTAGGTATTCCTTCGAAATAAAAGCAAAGCTACGTCTCAATACCCTCCTAAACAATCCATCACTGACTGGCTTTTATCTGACTTGCCACAGCTCTGGGTTTGTGCTTCGGGATACAGACAGGAGATTCGTCCGGGATTGTCGGGTTTGCATAGATGCAGTACCAGGTTGTGCTTAAGATGCGGCGCTGCATATGGAGTTCGGACCCTCTGCGGGACGGGACGAGACGTATAACTAAGCTACTGTAGGGCTAGGCCGGATCTTCAGAAGATCACGTGTAAAACAGCTCCCTCTTCTACCTAGACTTATTATTTATGTTGGGATTTTTTTATGCGATTAGGAATCTATATCAAGTAGGAAATACCTCGTATCAAATCCTAACATTAAGCCTCTGTATCACCTGATATTGCTACAAACATCCGGAATAGTGCACATTGCAGCTTCGCTTCGCTTAAAACCCCGACCTCCTTTTGTTTATCAATTCCTGGCCTACACGCTTAGATGTATTGCTCACGCTCTCTTTTCTTTCCGCATGTTTTCTTTGCTCGATCCTCACCAGGACTTTGGCATGTCTTGTCTATGTGTAATAAAATGTTTGGCAAAGTCCCCGCGGGCGTTTCCTCTTCGGATATTTGTGGGAAGACCCATACCTGCCGTTGATTGTGCTTCGAATCAAATGCTAGGGATACGTGCTTCTTGTGAAGATGGAAGAAAGTGCACCATGCTTGTTTTGTCGCGAGAAATGAGCGACGGAGGAAGCCCTACATGATCGATTAATGTTATTGACTCGGCCTGATTGCGGGGATGGCTGGGAGGTTGTGGAGGGTAATAATCTGTAACTGAATCTAGACATGTTACATACACAGGTAAGGATTGAAGGCTGTTATGATATCAATAACGGATAACAAAATCGGAGAATCGGTTTGTGATTTTGCGTTAGAAGAGGTATCGACATAGCGGAGAGCAGAAATTCAGACACACTCTGTCAAGAAAAAGGAAAATTGTTGGAATGTAATAAGCAAACGATCTGACCATTTCAAGTACCTACGGAATACCAATCACAAAATAGCAAGTCACAGGAAAAGGATTAGGGCACAGAGCTGTATTTTGACACGTGATACTCTAACTTCAACCTCCCGCAATCTCGGCTTCTGCCTCTTCCCATTGCCCTCTATCATCCATCTCCTCGTTCAACTCCATTTCCCCATCTCCTTCAAGACCCTCGGAGTCCCACTCGTCAACGTCCATTTCGTCATCATCGCCCTCGGCATCTTTCGCGCCCAGTCCCTTGGCTTGACGCTTCTTCTCAACATTCTCCTTCTGAACGCGTTTCCTGCCTTCCTTTTCTTGTCGCTTCTTCTCCCACGCCTTGTCCATCGCTTTGACTTCCTCCTTAGTCTTGTGGATATACTCGTGCCACATGATTTTGCCAGTGCACACCCCCTCTTCAACCTTCGTCATTCGAAGCCTCATTCTCGGTCCTAGTTCAACCAACTTGACAGCTCGTTTTTCTACACCAGGACCCGAGCCTTTGCTCTTACCATCTTCGCGATCTTTTTGTCGTTTTGACAATATTTTCTTCGCCCTCGTCTCGACTACCTCTACTTCGGCATCTGTATCAGCCTCACTACCACTCGTGGCATCCGTCATGTATCCGGAACCATCAGCACCTCCAACCATATAATCCGCTATGTCTTCCAGCTTTCCGAGATTCGGTAGACCTCCCTTCTTGCCCTTTTTCCTTTGTGAATTCAATAACTTCTCGGCTGCGTTCAGTCTTCGAAGGGGTCTCGAAAGACCAGTGGCTTTTGTGGTAATGGCGTAATGTCTGAGATTGAGGATATATGAACCATCGTCTTGTAGCTCACGATTCAGCAGCATAACCCTTCGGATCGAGGGAAGTGGTGTATTTTGGGGGGAGATTGGAGGGAAGAGTGATTGGAAGACTGTTGTGGTGAGAGATTCGAGGTGTTTGGGTATCTTGTTTGGGGAGTCGGAGTCGGAGGGAGGAGATGTGAAGTTGTTCATGACAAGCTATAAATATTAGTACTTATTCGAGGCGAGTGAGAGCAATTACATACCAAAGGAGGATTGAGGTATTCTTTTCCACCACCTTTTGGATGCTTCAACGCATTTCTGACATCTTTACACAACGAGTATTTCTCCACCTGGAAATGTAATGTCGGTCCTCTTGGTGTAATTGCAAGTCGCATATTTGTATTTCCAGAATCCGACCTTGAGAATAGCATAAGATGTGACACGCCGAGCGGACCAGCCATCGTCAAATAATCCCTCAGCCTATTCGCCTTCCTCTCCTTCAATCTCGAGGCCGTATCAGGCTCCATCATTGCGCGCACATCTTTCACCAGCTGGCTCACACTTGGTCCTACTTCTCCAGCTCCAATCCGAATCACCATGCTTTTGGGGGATCGTGAGACTGAATTTGCGGACGGCGCCTTGCCGGCAGGGCCATTGTTGGCACCGAGGTGCGTCTGCTTCTTTTGTTTCTTCCGTGCCATCGTTGCTGTATTTCATGTGTTGTGGTTGTGGTAGCTTTGGAGAAATCGCGGGCAGATATATTTTTGACGGGAAATATTTCTGCGCAGAAAGGCGGCACTGGATGTTGTTTGCGCCTGGCAAAGCGGGCCACTTAATTACCAGCGTAAGAATCTAGAGCGCACGTGATAACCCCCCTTTTGCTGAGAGAGCGACTGGGAGCAAGGGGGTTGAGCTCTAAGCTAAGCCTGACTAGCGTGAGCGCCGCCTTTTTTATGCGATAAGCCGATAAACATTCTTTAAAATCCAGACGATGCTTGAACTTTTCCCCTCACAACCAGAACATACTCAGCTACGATGTCTTCAGTAAAGAGAAGAAAGGTCGACGACGATGTTCCTTCTGGAATCCTGAAGAAGAAGAAGCACACTGCGAAGGAACCTCCACAAGTATCAACCTCCCCCGAACCCGCAGTCAATGAATCGCCGGAGCCCGAGGTACAAGAAGAAGCGCCAACAAAGTCATTCAAAGATCTGGTATAGTATATTCCCTGCGAAAACATCTTCATCTCACTAACACTAGCAGGGAATTATCGATTCGCTATGCGACGCCTGTACTGCGTTAGGATACAAAGCGCCCACACCAATCCAAACCGAGTCCATACCGCTGGCACTCCAAGGACGAGATCTGATCGGTCTTGCAGAGACTGGTAGTGGAAAGACTGCAGCCTTCGCTTTACCTATTCTCCAAGCGCTCCTTGACAAACCGCAGTCTCTATTCGGACTCGTTCTTGCACCTACCCGCGAATTGGCATACCAAATATCGCAAGCGTTCGAAGCTCTCGGATCGCTAATTTCTGTACGATGCGCCGTCATAGTGGGAGGAATGGACATGGTTCCGCAGGCTATCGCATTAGGAAAGAAACCACATATTGTTGTGGCCACTCCTGGACGATTGTTGGATCATTTAGAAAATACCAAGGGATTCTCGCTTCGATCGCTCAAATACCTAGTTATGGACGAAGCCGATCGACTGCTCGATCTCGATTTTGGACCAATCCTTGACAAAATCCTGAAAGTATTGCCTCGAGAACGTAGAACATACCTGTTCTCCGCGACTATCAGCTCGAAAGTCGAAAGTCTCCAAAGAGCCAGTTTGAAAGATCCATTACGAGTCAGTATCAGCACCAGCAGATATCAGACAGTTTCAACATTGCTTCAAAGCTACGTTTTTATCCCACATCCACACAAAGACACCTACCTAGTTTACCTTTTGAATGAGTTTGCAGGCCAATCAGCCATTGTCTTCACTAGAACAGTGAACGAAACTCAGCGGCTTGCCATCCTCCTCCGAGCTCTAGGCTTTGGTGCAATTCCTCTTCACGGCCAGCTTTCACAATCCGCCCGTCTGGGAGCACTTAATAAGTTCCGTGCTGGCTCACGCAAGATTTTGGTAGCAACTGACGTTGCCGCACGTGGTCTCGATATCCCTTCCGTGGATGTGGTATTGAATTATGATCTACCGCCGGACAGCAAGACCTACATCCATCGTGTCGGGCGTACAGCAAGAGCTGGAAAATCCGGGCATGCTATTAGTGTCGTGACACAGTACGATGTTGAGATCTGGCTTCGAATCGAGACCGCGTTAGGCAAGAAGCAGAAGGAATACGATACGGAGAAGGGGGAGGTTATGGTATTCAAGGCAAGAGTTGAAGAAGCGCAAAGACATGCCAGAAATGAGATGAAGAATTTGCACGAGGATAGAGGGAAGAAGGGGTCTGTGCTAAAGGGTAGACGGCCTGCTACTGGAGGGAAGAGGGGTCGGGATGGGATGGATAAAGAGGAAGGCTAGAGAAATCCCAGAGTTCGGACGCTTCTTTTACGCCATATCCATTTATTTCCAAAACCTCAATAACTACTGCTAGGGTCCATGGACGGCGCTAGACTTCCTAGCGAGTTTGGCATCTTTCCTGCTGTTCGTTGTTCTCAATGTCTTTATTGTTAATATTCTAATACACACCTGTATACCGGTAGCACTTACTCAATAGATAAACTTTCAAGTGAGGAGGCTTAATACAACTAGTCATGAGGTAGTTCTCGACCTCTCAAAGATTCGTGTCTCGTTAATCTTTCAGACATCCTGCGTGGCATGTACTCTCTATGTTTTCTGACTTTGCTAGCCTGGCAATGCAAGGCTTTGCTATAGACAAGGCATCCAAATCGTTGTTGCGGAACAATATCTATAGCTACACAGATAAGCCTGTCGTTTGGTGAAAGCTTACGAGAACAATGCCTTGTTTAGATACAAAGGAATCCAGCTTTTAGACTGTTTACTCAGCGAAATCTGAGAAGTCCTAGGTATGCTTTGTTATCAGTTCACAACATACACTGCGTCTGCTTTGTATGGTCTTTCACTGCGGCCTAAACAACTCAATTGCAACCTCTATAAAAGCACCCTCATCTGCCCGTTCTAGGTTGACAAAACTTCAAATCCAACCACTAAATTCACCACTCAAATACTTTCAATAATAAAGAGACTCTCTAAAAACTGCAGTCATGGTCTTGAGACGGTTCGCATCCGCATCCGCTCGGCTCAATTCTTTTTCTTTACGAGGATCCAAAAAGGAAGAGATCTCAAACCGCAAAAGCATTCTCGTCCCAGACGTAGATGCTCTCGAGCTTCACGGTTTCTGCGATGCGTGCAGTGCAAAGCACCGCCGCTACCAGTGTCATCACGTCGTTGCCGAGTCAATTGCCCCGTGCGAAAAGCACCTCTACACCCCTAACCTACTACCAGGTATCAATTATTCTGCCGAGGTGGAACAAGACAGTGAGCAATGCCCGAACTGCATCAAGAAGCACCGCGCACAGAAGCAGCTCAACGAATTCCAGCGCGTTCGCAACGCAAAGGATACTCATTTCGAGCGGGAAATCGGCCAGGATGTTCTCATCCTGGCTGCTTTTGAGGAAGGGCGACGATTGCCACGCGAAGCGTTCGAGGCGGGCAAAGATGAACGTGAGGCAAAAATCTATGAGCGGAAACGCATCAGAGACCTGCCTGCAAACAACGCTCAGGCAGAGATTGATGCGCTGACCAGCGAAATCAGACGCTATTCGCCCGCACCAAGACATGAGGCCGCCAAGCCGTCGACAAAACGCCGGCCATCATTCGAATTCTAAGTGCATCCCAGGTGAATAGCATAGCGACAACTAGACTTGGACTTGAAGAAGAGTACAAGGAATTCCATGAAGAACTGATACTCTCCCAGGTGTTGAGCGAATTAGCTAAGTACTAGACTAAAAATACCAATTTTTTCCTTGAGCATATCTTCTACTTGCAGCATGTGATAGTAAATGCTAACCTAAATTGCCTAGAAATCCAACCAGGCCTTTGTCTTGAACAAAGATCGCCCCTGAAAGAATAGAAGCAATTATAGAAACAGTACGTATGACTCTCAATATGCTATTCGTCCACAAATCCCATTCTCTTTCACTACTCGCATACCTTTCAATGGAAACGGGAAAATATTTACTCTAAAGAACAATACCAAGTTATTGTTCACCCTATGCACCTTCCCGCAAGTTCTTTAACACGCTGAAATTACAGAATAACAAGCCTTTACCAAGTGACAATTACCAAAATGGCCTACAACCCCCCGCAGAAATAGTATTCAGGCAACTAGGCGATTCTTTTCTATGGCACAACAGAAATACCCCTATCATGGGAATTATGTGTCTCTCCCTCAAGCCAACCCACCTAAATGCCACTGAAAGTTCCAGGAGACCAGGTGGTACGCGTGGGTCACATATGCCTCCGTGTCTAAGTCCTTGAACACCCTACTGATTTGACTTTCTCGAGTTGGGGACGCGACTGAAGTAGCCTCGAAGTTGCGATGTATTTCCAGTTTCAACCATGTCTGCTTCTTCTTTGTTCCCGGACCTTGTCTTTCCACTCAAAAAGCCCTCGACTTCACACAAAGAGCCTCTAAGGTTCTAAGTATAGAATAAGAATATAAGAATTGTACAAATCGTAACCGTTACCTAATGGCTTGGACACTGTTTGAACCCCTCTATTAGCGAGTGGGTAAACGCTAAGGTGGTCTATGCATACTCACATGATACGTATAACCCTAAAATGTTAAAATTTATGCTGCACGTTAATATCACCTTGATTCTACTTCTTACTCTACTCTAAGAGACACGAATGCTAGATCTTCCAACCCACTACACTAGGTCTTGCTACGCCATTAGATCTTAGAGACATGCTAGAGCCTGCCAAAGATAAGGAGGGCCAGGCCTTAGAACTATGGCTCGACTATGGTTGCTCGCCTTGGAGAAGTAGTAGCCAGCGTGCAGCAGACCTATATGACTCAGGGATCAAGCTATGGAGAAGAGAAGACCTCTTGGACATTGAAGAGCAGCTTGCAGGATCGTTTACGATGGAAGCATTTACTGTTCGTCGCGTTGATGATACGATTGTTTATATCAGGAATCCGATGTTCAATGTACAAAAGCCAATCTGGTATGACTTACGAGCTCCTATCCAAGTCAAGAGAGGAGAGGTTGATACTAAATTAAGATCTCACCTTTAGGAAGCCACGGATCAAGTTCCAAGAGTACTGGCACCTGGTCCAAAGTAAACCAGATGGCCACCCTGAGACATACCATTGTACGTATCTTGTGGACTGGGTAAATCAGGCTGTGCGCAACTACGATGGCCTGATTAGGAATGCGCGGTCGCTATTTGATGTAAAGCAGCAGCAGTGGGATGCCAGCTTGACATGCGAGGCCTTTATATCACGGTTCCGTCAGCTCTTAGATGGGGATGGAAAGGCAAGACTGATCACCAAGATTATCTGCTTCGGGTTAGGGGACTTGCATCTAAAGCCACCCGATTGGTGGAGGCTACAAAATAATGCGAAACCCAGAGATCAACAGGAGCTAGAGACAAGTGTCATTGAGAGTGCCTTGGTACATCATGCGCTTGCATTAACTATAGCGAAGATAGCCCGTTCATGCGCTAACTTGAGGGGGAGAGAGATACGTTTGATTACCCAAGACCCGGACTACTGTGATGAGACGAAGGAGATCTTACGAAGCATTGGGTTTGAGGTGGTTGGAGGATATGGGGCTGGAGGCTTTGCTGAGGTTGACCACGAGTCTATAGTTTTCTCTGCTTTTGCAAAGGCACCAGTGAAACAGATCGTCGCCGATCTCGCTCGTCCACTTGTTATGATTGGCCCTAAGAATACCACTGGCGGGGTCTGGAATTCGCGTGGGTAGGCATTCTAGCTTCTGCTCCTCTAGTTGTCTAAAGCTTACCTAGATCTAGGAAACCATGGGCCGACCCAGAATCTCCAAGGACGAGGCAGATGTGGAAGGGGTATGAAAGTTGGGACTTCCCAGTCTCACCTGATCATCTCCAAGTAGGAGGTGGGCTACATCAATTAGAAGGATATACAAGGAGTAGGGAAGACGCTATAGCAGGCTCATAGATTTACTTCGGGTCATTGCAAATGGAATTGATGTGGATTCGGTGTATAACTCTAGATAGCTAAGCAACCCCCTATGAAACCCTTTATTCTCCAAATGAGTGTTATATAATCATCTGCAATGCAACTGCTCCCAACCTCGTTATAAATATAGCCGTGCCCTAGACAACCGCCTGATTATTCCCAACAACGGCCAAAACATGTAATGCATTGACCACAGTATTAACACGCATTAACCTTCTCCTCCTGACACCCCGAACATGTAAAGCCATCGACCAATGGCGTGGGATTGGTAGGCCCTTGAATCTTTCAATATCTACTTTCCCCGCCTATATTCTCGGCTTCAACCTCAAACCCTCACATCCTCAGCATATTTCACTGGCACAAACACAAATTCAAACACAAAATGCAACGCAAAAGCTCCATCAAACCCATCCTCAAGAAAAACGGTATAATCGATGACTGCTGGCAAGAGCAAACCGAATATGTGTGCAGGCATCTTAGACAAGTCGTCACGCCCCTCCAAATGTGCAAAGCACACCGAAAACTGGACTCCTACTTCGTAGACTACCGGATGCAAACGACGACACTGGTTGAAAATGCGCACCTTGCACAAAGAAGCACGAGAAGGAGAAGTGGGAGCGAAAAGAAAAGGAGATGGAGAGGTTGAGGAGAGAACAGAAAGGTGCACAGGAGAAGCGGGAGAGAGAACACCGGGCTGAAGTTGAGGAAAGGTTGAAGGATGTGCAAAGGCTAAAGAACTTGAGTGATGAGTATTTTGAGAGGGAGCTGAAGGAGGTTGAGGAGAGGGTTATTGGGAGGAAGTCGAGGGCTAGGGAGACGGCGTCACCGCGTTCGTTTTGGGAGGCTAAGGACAAAGAAAACTTCCCTGGTCTATAACCTTGCCCATAAGCCATAAGCCACGACGAATCCCAACATTATAAAAACTTCAACTTCACCGTCACCAGACGACAACTTCTACTTACCTATGTAGGTTTGAAATGAAAAAATGTGTCAAAGTAAATCAGTCATGTGACCAGCGATTGAAATTCATGGAATATATTTCTCTACTGAAAGGTATCATTTTCGGACTTAGAAACTAAATGAGATGAGCTAAGAGCCTGTATCTATGTTCAGAACCTTGGCGGATCCTATCTTCATTTCTCACTAAAGGAATATATCACTTTAGTGGGAACTTTATCTTTGAGAATCACCAGAATAGGGGTACCTCGCTTAATATTTTTAGGAGCCCCCCCCCCCCCTTTTTTTTTCAAGTACAATGATCTCTCTCCCGGTTTATAGTAAGTTAGTTGTGGCTAATACCGCACAACACTTTTTTCTTTCTTTGCAAGTATAATAGAAAATACTCCATGAACATCATTGATGAATTAAGCCTCTACTGCAGTACCAAGATGAAAAGCATTACTTCCGAAATACACTTAAGAAGCCTACGCAACTTTCCACCTTCACCTTCAACCACAGCGAATAGGAAGGAAAAAAAGAACAATACCCACGTCCATCGATATAATAAATGTTTTCGACCGCCAAGCTCGTCGAATAGAGCCAGAGACCAGCGATATGGCAAGCGACACTTCCGCAACTCCACCTCCAGCGCAAAAGCGAGCACACGGAAAAGCCCAGCCCCAAAATTCTAGTACGTGATCCCCAACTGCCACTATTCAAGAAATTTGCGATTTCTAACTCAATTCCCTTCCCATAGTGAGCCATAATCAGTCATCAGCATAGTAGAATTCACCGTACACAAGGATCTCATATGCCACCACTCCCCTTTTTTCCGCGGCGCGTTCAACGGGCCATTCATATAAGGATAAACCCAGTCTATAACACATGAGGATGTAGATCCGTCCATGTTCGGCGCTGCTGTGAGCTAGTTGTACACTCAGAAGATTGAGGAGGTTGCGACATGATGATGATGGGTATGTGGTTGCTATTAGAGAAGGTCGGCTGGTGTTATTGGGGAAGTTATGGATGTTGGGCCAGGTTCGTATCTTTCCGTGTATTCCAGAGTTAGTGCTGATGGTTTGATATTAGAGGTTCATGATGCCAGGTTTTCAGAATAAAGTCATGAGTAGACTGAGGTCGAAGGTGGTTGTTTGTGGTGGGAATGATCTCAAGCAGTTTGCAAATTACGCCTGGTAAGATCACCTCATTACTGTATTAGAAACTGCATGTGGAATCCTGATATGCTTTTTGCAGGGAGTCAAATTCTGATATTCTGCGGAGGTTTACAGTTGATTGATTTGCGACGATGACGAAGTAGGGAGGATTTTCTGACGTGGTGGACGATCTGCCTCCAGGCCTGTTAGTAGATATTGCGAAGAAGATGAAGCACTATTACTGCTCTCTTGCAACTTACGATAAGGAGAAGATGCCAGATTTTGAGGGGAACTCTAAGTTGAATTTCGAGTGAGAGCAGCGATTGTCTGTAAGATAAGTGGATATGGTGGAAATAATCTAGTCATCAAATCACCAACTTCTGTATGGTAGTATTCCAACAATAAATTAGTACACAGTATTATATAGAACAAGATAGTCCCTTACAAACTAATCGTCTTGTTAAAAGCTGAGGTGAATGGCAGTGGAGCCCCCAAATCTCTAAATTCACCTCCTCTTTCATCGCCTAAAGATAGACTAGTTCCAGACTTGCAAAACCAGAACCCTTCAACTTCTTACTTTAAGCACCAGCCATCCTACTAGGTCAGCATAGCAACTTATCTTCAGTCAAACCATACTCCACATTCCTCATCGCCAATGTTCTCCTCATCGCAATCGTCTTCCTCAAGCATGGACACGCCGGCAGAAAGCTCACGTCGTCCTGAGACGCCCTCAGCCGCAAGTTCCAAGCCAAAGAAGAACCTCAACTTCTGGTTAGTCGGCCCAACTTGCCTCAAACCATTATCTGACCTTTGCTAATATCTCTAATAGCGGAGTACCATCATTCGTGACCTTCATCGTGGGAAAAGAGGCTCAGAAATTCACCGTACACAAGAACCTCGCTGAACATTACTCGCCTTTCTTCACAAAAGCATTCAACGGCGGTTTTATCGAAGGACAAACGCAGGAGAGGGTACTGGAAGACGTGGAACCAGTTACATTTGGTCTTGTGACTAATTGGCTGTACACGCAGAAAATCATACATCCAGAAGACAAGAAGGTCCAACTCGTGGAAATTGCGAACTTATGGGTACTTGCGGGTCGATTTCTGATTCCTCAACTTCAAAACGAGGCTATTCGACGCACACAAGACACACCAGGGTATTCGAGGGAAGAATTTGAGCCTTACGTGAAATTCGCTCTAAAAAGAGAGCTTGAAGGCACTCAGCTCTACCAGGCAGTGTTAGATGACGTATTGCGACTCTGTGGTGTTATTGCTGAACCTCCAATGGAAGCAGAATTCCTTGAAGACTTTGCTGAAATAGTCACTGAAGAAGGCGGGAACACCGCTGCAATAGTCATCAAAGCATTGGTTATTCATTGCGCTGGATTTCTTTCCAATATGGCACCATCAAAGTCTATCGAAGATTACTTTGTGGAGGAAGGCGATGCTGCTAGTGGAAATTGATCGGAGAATACAGCATCTTGAAGGAAGAAGAAGCTTGTACTGGTGCTGAATCAAACAGCCGTCGTTTCTGGGGTATGCCTTAGTAGCTTTAATAGAAACAGTTGCCAATATTTGACCTTATGTTCCTCGCCCAGCATTCTAGCCAGCGAGATGTGCCCCGAGACACCCGCGTACCCTGAGTTCTCAAGGGCGAAGGAACCCAACCCTGGAATGAAGCTATTCTCCCTCGATTCGTTCACTGTTCCTTCATGTGCTAGAGACATGTGACTCGACTAAACTCGAAATTCAAATGCGCCTGCCCTTGCGACGCTACGAGTACGAGCACAAGTGAGAATCCAAAGATGCGTCCTAGCTCCCGCAATAGCTCCCTTTGTGTATCAAAGGACAAGGCAATGAGTGAACCTCGCCCCTATCATGCCCAGGCTAAGCGAATGATCGTCAGGGGGCTAAGCCGAAGCCGACACTCCTCCAAATGCGGGGCAAGTGGGGCTATCTCCTCCTCCATCCCCCCACTCAGACATATCGAAAAACATTTTCTGTCGGCGATTCTAAATTCTCAAGGCAATATATATATAAGTATACCGCCAGGAAGCCCTCCATGACGACCCATCGCAACCCTCCCTTCCGAGCCGAGCATCTGGGCTCCCTGCTTCGACCCAAAGAATTCCTAGAAAAGCGTGCGGCCTTTGAGAAGAAGGTGTTGAGCCAAGAAGATACTACCAAGGCTGAAGATGAGGCTATTACCAAAGTAGTTAACGTGCAGACCGAGGTTGGATTCCGTGCTGTTTCTGATGGCGAATACCGGTAAGGTAGTCTAGTTGCAATAAGATAATATCCCACATAGGCTTCAACATACTAAGATGAAGTAACAGACGTGCAGTCTTCTGGGGTACCTTCTTCGAGGAGCTGGAAGGCATGACCGAGATTCGTAATCCGTCCATGGACATCTTCCGTCCGTATGTTCCGGACATTGCTGGCTTCATTGAGAAAGGCCACAAGCCTGGACAATCATGTCTCTGCACTGGCAAGATCCGCCACAAGGGAGAGAGTACACTGGTTGGCCAGTTTGAGTTTCTCAAGACGCTGATACCAAAGGAACGATGGGGTGATATTAAGTTGACGATGATTGCGCCGCCTTGGTATCACATGCGGTACAAGGACGGCCTGGCGTTTCCCAAGGATGTATATGCCGATGATGAAGAGTACTTTTGGGATATTGCGCAGGCTTTCAGGGTAGAATTAGATATTCTATATGCAGCTGGAGTAAGGAACATCCAAATCGATGACCCAAACTTTGCCTGTTTGTATTCCGCACCCTGGAAACCAAAAGTATTACTTACTCTTACTAGACTTTTGCTCCGAGAAGATGCTTGCTGGATGGGCAGAGGACAAGTCCAATACCAAGACGCCAGATGAATTACTGGATGCATATATCAAATGCTACAACGACTGCATCGCGAACCACTCTAGCAAAATGCACTTCGGTCTCCACATCTGCAGAGGAAACTTCATGGGTTCCCGCCACTTCTCGGAAGGTGGATATGACCGTATAGCCACGAAGCTTTTCCAGACCCTCAACGTAGCAACCTACTATCTCGAATATGACACTCCACGCGCTGGCGGGTTTGAGCCCTTGTTGCACCTCCCATCTCACAAGAATGTCATCCTGGGAGTCATCACTTCGAAGTTTCCAGAGCTGGAAGATAAAGAGGAGATGAAGGAGAGGATCTTCGCTGCGGCGGATGTGATGGCGAAAGGAGCGAGTCAGACGAGAGATGAGGCATTGACGAGGATTGGTGTTTCTCCACAGTGTGGATTTGCTAGTCACGAGGAGGGTAATTTGTTGGGTTGGGAGGATATGAAGAATAAATTGAAGCTGGTGAGGAGCATTGCTGATGATATATGGCCTGAGGAGCCGTAAAAAACTGATTCGAAGTTTGGGCGCGAGTTTAAGTTAATTGTTTATATGTCAAATAACATGATCAAATGATGGATTCACGAGTTGCGAAGTTTCTGATCAGGGAAAAAGCAAATTGATCTTGTTTAACGCAGGTAGTTGCTATATGATAACGGAATAAATTTGAACCTTATATTATCTATCATCTTACTTCTTTTGCGGTTCTTTACCGCGAAATTATAGGCTAAAGGTATATCACAGCTTCGTCCTGACTTCGGGTCATTTCCCTCCAAATGGTCAAGAATCAAGATGGGGAGAGAAGGAACGACATTCGATATCAGCTCATCTTTCTTTCCGCTTTCCGTTCCGAAGATTCACAAAAGTCTTGAGTTTGAGTCAAGACGCCGTATTTCGTACTTCGTATATTCCTTCACTCCCGCAATCCCGCTCCCGTTCCGCAATCCGAAGCTTATCCCCCTTGTACCGGCATCTCCACAAACAACATATCCGCCCCTCCACCTCCTCCCGCCGCAATCCTGCGCTTCTCATTCCTCGAAGGCTTTTTGTTGCACTTCGCGAAAAAGCCGAAGTTATCCGGTGGGCGGATATAGATTTGCCATCCGATGGCGTCCGTACGATTCTGAGGGCTGGTGGTGCGATTTTGTGGCCTGAGTGAGGGGAGTGTGCGACTTTGGGCGGAAAGCGGGTGAGTTTTTGTGAGGCGGGTGGTGGGGTGGTGTTCCGATGCTGGCAGGTGCCCGGGTGGAGGAGGTGCTTTCCGGTGGCAGGGCAGGTAGCTCGCGATGTTTTGCAAATTCGCAGGTTGCAAGTTCCGGAATTGGTGGTTTGTGTGTAGTACTTCGTACCTACGGTATTACTGTTCTCACAGTCTCACCTCATTCCGCAATGCCATGAATACTCCGAATGCTTCATACTGTACAGAAATGTGCGGAGAGCACCGCACATACAGCCGTTACAACTCTTCCGCCCCAACATTTTTCTGATGCTACATCGCTATGCTTCAAGTCGTCTTGTTTTTTATATCCTCCTAAGCTGAAACTAAGAGAGGTGTATTCACCTCGGCTTTTCATCGAGTGATGGCCCTGTTGTTGGCTGATACCAGTTCAGTACCACGAATGTATCCTTGGGTTGCATCTATGTCTTCTCTAGTTATACTTGTCTCACGGCACTGCATTTTGTCCCGTTATCCCTCCCACAACTTTCCGTACTTACACTGTCGAGCAATTTGCGTTTGATCTTGTACACATCCGGGACCTCCCAGAGCAGCACAAGAGAATGCAGGACATTCATATTTTTGTACCAAGTATGCTCCATCTCTACCAGGTTATTCAATTGGCGTGTCCTCCAACCCCAATTCCGTTCTTCCGTAGTATTCCCAGCTATTTCCAGTGATATTGATTTCCGGGTATTGGACTATTGAGAAGTCGTTCGAGGATGATCTCGCCAGGGAATCGCCGGGTTCCCAGCGCTTCCGTCTGCAAGAATCGTATGTCCGTGATCAAATGCATTCTCCCAGCCAGGTTTGTATTCCGCATCGTGGCCTTCCTTCTAAAGATGTAAATAGAGAAAGATGCGACGGCCATTATTCATAAATTGGATATAGAAAGCAAGTTAAGGACGCTATTACCACGACTCTTCCGTCGCTACTGCCACCAAGACCAATCTTCATATGGAGGAAGTCATACCCCGAAAGCTTGTCACTAGAAGTATGAAGGATTTTATTAATTGACAACAAGAAGATAGACTCCACCAATACTGTTAAGACAAAAACACTGCACACATTTGTTCGTGATAAGTGTCCTAAGTAGCAGAACAAGGTTGCAGGTCAGAAAGTCGAGACATATATGTACGGAGTGATAACCCAAAGCGCGTCCAAGACCGAAAAATGCTACTGATTCTTCTCTGGTTCTTCTGCCAATTCATTCAATCCCTCCAAAGCCTTGAATATTGTCATGTTCCACACCTAGAACACTGTGTTAAAAAAATAGATTTTGTGGGGTGACCTTTAGAAGTCAATGCAGGACATCTCCCGCTTGCTTGCCTTACCCTAACGTGACGCACTTACTATAAAATAGACTCTATACCAACTTCGTCAAATCTGCCGTTAAGTAATGGCCGAATCCCCAGAATTTTGAAGGCATCTCGTTGTGAATAGATACATATTGAGCCTAAGTCACTTTAGGTTAGTCCATGATGCAATATTGGGGGGAGCGGAGCCGAGAGGCTGACGACCGCGGCGAGTTCAAATCAATAATCAAACGAACAAAAAGACAGGATGATATTCAACCACGCGCACAACTAGAAATGCCAATAAATATAATGGGATAGCTGCATCGAACCTCCAACCTCCAACCTCCAATCTACGGCCACGACTCACGATGTCCTCCCCTGATCGCGGTACCAGCAGCCGCCCCGAGAGTCCACATCGTTCCAGCTCTCAACAGCCTTCGCCGACTGAAGACGATGATATCCGCAGGTGCTGGATCTGCCAGCAAGACGAAACCGAGGACGGCGCACCCTCTATTTGGCTTAGACCTTGCCCATGTTCCCTTGTCGCCCATGAAGAATGCCTTCTCGAATGGATTGCCGACGAAGAACAGCCCAAGTCCGGAGAACTTGCAGTTGCACATCAAATAAAGTGTCCGCAGTGCAAGGCAGACATCAGGATAGACCGGCCTCGGGACCTGATAGTGGGACTCTATGATAGAATACAAGGCTTTGCTAGGGCTCTCATTCTACCATCTGCAGTCAGCGCTGTGGTGGGCTGTACCTATTCTGGGTTTTTTGTCTACGGTCTTAATACAATCATCGTTGTTTTCGGACCGGAAAAAGCAGGACAAATACTACTATCAGCTATGAAGACTCCAAGCCGCTTTAATACCACATCTTGGCCAAGATTAGTTCGAGATGTACTCCACATAGCAGAGCGTGGATTACTTGCCAGTGATCCATTTATCCCTGGGGCTTACACATCCTGGAGACTGGGCGTTGGTTTACCATTAATTGGACCCACGTTGATACTCTTAAGAACGAGGGTATCAGAGTTGTTTTTCCCCCTCCTCGCTCCTATCGTAAGTTCAATCGACTCCTTTCCAAGCTACCTGTATTGACCAATTTGCTAGTATTTTATCCAACCCTCAAATCAGGATGTTTTCAATTGGCCCCCGACCCCGGGTCTGACATTTGCAACAATACCATATCTTCGCGTCGCCTACTCTAGACTCTACCGATACGCCTTTGCAGACTTGGAGAAGAAATGGGATCTAGCGGTCCAGCGAGCACCACGAGAAGGAGAAACTGCTGAACAGATTGCTCAGGATAGAATGAACGGTGATGCAGCAGACGGACAAGGCAATGCTATAATCGAAATTGAAATCGGCGAGGGGATTTTTGGCGATGCACAACCTCCTCCCAATCCACAACGCGTAGATGCCGCTCAACTTGCGGATGCACATGCTGGACGAATGAGAGATTTTGCACTTCGACGGGCAGAGGGGGGAGAAGCAGATTTGCCACCCAATGATGCGCCGGTACAGAATCCCCAAGTCAATCGGAATTGGCAGCGAGACATCAACCTCGCCGATGTAGCTACCACAGCCATAGGCGCGTTGGCATTTCCTGTTATTTCATCCCTCATGGGCGACGTTCTCAATTTCGTATTACCGGCTAAGTTGGTCGGCCGAGGCTTCTATATGAAAATCGGGCCGAAAGGACTATTGAAGGAGAGATGGGGACGAACCATAATTGGTGGGTGTCTATTCGTGGTGTTGAAGGATGTGGTGACCCTGTATTGCAAGTGGAAGAAGGCAAGGGATTTCGGGAAGAGGAAAATCATTGAGTATGTGAAGCCTGGCGAGGTACATTGACGAGGCACATCTCGAGATGAGAGAGAGAACTGCTATGTGTTGGAGTACGGAAGAGGGAAAACCAATCCTCAAATAGAGGTTGCATAAAGAGAAGCCTGGCATGGTGGAACTTGTCGCTAATCATGAAAACGGGACATGAATATATTGGCTAATGAGAATTCTACTCCTATTCCACTCGAATCCGTAGCTGGATGTTTTCCAGCAAGTGCGACAACAGCAAAGCTAGACAAGAACCTGAGCTATCAGTCTTCATTCAAGATGGTCCCGAGGACCGATCGTCGAGCTTAAATCACCGACCGTGGTTGTTCCATTTGACCCCTTTTCCCGCGAGTTGAAGCCAGTCGAATTAGTAGGCATTTCATTTCATTATACAATGAAATTGGTATTACAACAATGCGAACAGTCAGTCGCTCATAAGACAGCACCCCTATTCATCCTCACCGCCCTCATCATCCCCGCTCTCCCCCACATCACCACCCCTCAACGTCCTCTCCGCCACCTCAAAATACGCCCACCCCGTCAGCGTCGGCGGAACCACAATCCCAAACCGCGCTTCCACATCCCCGATCGTCGCATTATACCACCTCCTACTCGCCTCGCCCTCCTCCACCGGCGCAATCCCCGAGCGCCCCAGGATCAGCACCCACAGCAGCAGCTCCGGGCACGCAGCCGCCAGGGCGTCGAAATCCGCCATCTGCAGCCCGGAGTAGATGCGCGAGGACAGCGCGATGCATATGTTGGTGTACTTGGGGCATTCGCGCAGCTCTTCGGTGCTGTAGATCAGGGCGGCGTTTAGGAAGGCTGTTGTGAAGGCTAGGGAGGAGCTGGGGTTTGTTTTAGAGGGGGAGTGCAGGAGGGATAGGATTTGGCGTTCGAAAGAGTCGCATTTGTCGCTGAAGTAGTAGGCGTCGATGTCCTGGGTGTGGGCGAGGAGGAATGTGGAGAGGGAGCGTAGGCGTAGCCAGATGTAGATGAGGCGCTTGGTTAGGGGCGTGGAGTGCGTGAGGGATTGGAGGCGCGCGTTGAGGGTGCCGCAGGTGTAGTTGGTTATGGTGTTTGCTTCTGGTTCGCCGATGGAGGGGGTGAGGATTGTGGGTTTTAGAGAGGGCTTTTCGCGGAGGAGGATGGCTACTACTATGTCGGCCCTGGGTGTGGGGTTGTGTGAGATGGGGTTGAGGTCGAGGTTGAGGTGGGTGGTGGGGATGGAAGAAAGGGGGCGAAAGGGGAGGGGTTCTTACCAGGAGACGACGCGTTCGATTTGTCCGCCAAAGCCTAGGTTATGGATGCCGCCTCTGGCTTTTATCATGCTCTGTAAGCCTTTTCGGTGGATGATGCATGCGGCTGGTTCTCCAGAAAACCCCTTTTGCTCTCTGATTAGCCTTTTCCCGGCTTTTGCTCTTGATTGGGAACGAGTAGGGAGGATATAAGCTACCTCTAATATCGTCATGACTGTTACGGCACATATCATCAAGTCACTGGGTATATAGCCAGGCTTCCGTAACGCGCTGTTGATGTTTCGAATGGCATCTGCTTTTTGCACAAGGCATATTGGAGGGGGGATCGTTCTTCGAATGAAGTAGTAATGAACGCCTGAGCAATAGTTCCTGGATGGTGTTAGTTCAACTCGATGAACTAGGCTTTCAATGCTCACGTTACGGAAAGAAGGGTCTTGTCAGAAAGATTTATGCTCAGCCATGCTTTCCTTGGAGAGGTAACCATTCGAGTTTCCTGGAAGACATTTGTCCCTAGGTAAGTCAGACATGGATCTTCCCCCTTTTTTCTTTCTTTCTTTGAAATGAAATAAGGAGTTTCTTCCTACAATGATGCAGTGCCATATCGGTAGTGCTGTTTCTTGGAAGTTGGAAGGCATCGAAAGGATCAACGCCCCCAAGCTTTAGGTCGACTCTGCTCTTCTGGGCGTGTTCTTTCTTGCTCTTCTGGGCGTGTTCTTTCTTGCTCTTCTGGGCGTGTTCTTTCTTGCTCTCCTGAACTTCCGGGGATACTATTCAAACAATTAGCTTGGTACAAACAAGCAAGGAAAATACAAGCACGATCAAACGTACAGATACCGTACAGAACGGTATTATATTCATTCCATGGTTTTGTCTTAACAGGACCAACACGATGGTTGCGAATTGGCCTCCGCTTCTTTGGAGCGCGAGACTCGGGCTTTTCCGATTTCGATTCCGAATCGGTGCTCTTTGGGGTTGGAGGGAGATTCTAGAACAGATCAATTAGTATAAGGTATAACAATTAAAGACGCTTGATGGATTCCCGCCTTACCGTTTCGTTAGTCTTGCCGTGCGAGCTCTGGTTCTTGTCCGCCAAGTCTTCGTCGCTGCCGCGTCCCGTTTCTAGAGGAGGGGTCGTCCCTAGACCTTGAACTAATTTGAAGATGTGAGCAGCCACTAATGGAACATCCATAACTGCGAAAGAGGCTTTAGACTGCGGGGATGGGGATGATGTTAGTATGCTAATTTATATACCTATGTATATATACATAGGTATATAAACGTCCCGTTGCGAGTTCGTGGTGGGGAAGGTTTCCAATGCGTACAACCCCGAATTGAGTTGCTCTAACACTAAAAGGCTGGATGGAGTGCAAGCTTCCCCCACTATGGGAGCCACGGGTACTCCGTAGGGGAATCTACACTATGAACATAATATGATTGGGCGTTGTATGCAGATCTGGGCTTGGGTTCTAATTATAAGTGCTGCTGCTACTGCTACTGCTACTGCTACTGCTACTGCCACTAATACACCGTTATACTGCACTGTACGCATGGCTATGCGCCTGATTATGCAAGCCACATGCACTGTTCGTTCCTACCTGAGTCCATTTCATGGTTTAGAGATTACGACGAATCGGAACCTTGAGGAGATGAGAACCGTGGGAGCTGAGCTGGGCTGTAGCCATGTTATAAGTATTGTTTGACCTTACTATACTCGTAACTCTGGAAGGTTGAAACTCGGTATTTGATAACTTACTTGATGGACAGCTAAGATAGCACGGGGTAAGGCTGGTGATACACCTAGGTTATCTACAAGTATCACCAGCCTTACTCCGTGCTATCTTAGCCGTCCATCAACAGCAGTGAGATCGGCCGCCCAGTCTATTCAAGCGCCCAATTCAACCTCTTCTTTATCGGGACGTGTACGGAGTGAGACTTTTCTCAAATACTATACGTTCTACCAAATCACTTGTGCAGCCCTGCCCTGTCTGAACTAAGCACTCATCTTATAGCCTTGTAGCCAGTACCAGTGCACTATGCTGTATACTCGAGTACCAGGGTGTTGAAGAAAAAAAGAAAACAATCTGCATTACTACCTGGTAGGTACATGATATCCAAGTAATGCGCGTGCCAATCCCCAATATCACTGGTAGTACTCGTACCTAATGAGAATGCAGTATTACCGCCATAAGATTTGCAATCCCTGTCATGCGACAAACATTCGGATATTATACTCGAGTATATGATCAAAATTCAGCAATAGAGAAAAGAATCCTAGTAGTTAGTCATTCTTTATTTCTTTTTATATGGATTGCTCTTGCCCTTGCTCAGCTGAACGGTATCGTCAAATGTTACCTTACTGTATCTTACCGGACCGTTGCGGGCGCCTGGCGTGCCCGGGGTTTAGGGACCGATGGCTGGAGATCTAGGGGCTCGTGCACTATACCCCAGCTGAAGTCTCAGCCACAGGGATGCCCTAGCTCGCAATGGGAACGCTAAAAACAATATCGCGGCTTTCTCCACCGTTTCTTGCTTCTTCAACATGGTGTGGTGTGGTGCACCAAGCATAAACCGCAAAGTTGCGGTGGGCGTGGGGGTGACTTTGTGAGATTTGGAACGTTATTTATTCCGAGAGCAAAGATTAGGAAAGTGGCTTTTAAAGGAAGATGAAGGAAAATACAATTCAGACCTAGGTAAGTAGGTATCTTATGGCTTGAATGGCTTCAACGCTCGGATTGATGTATTAATGGTTTTGATCTCTTCTGCTGATCAAAACGCTTCCCACCTTCTGCCTTGAGATTCGTTTTCTTAATCTTTCTAGTGGGAGACTTCTTGATCTCATCGACGATCTCAATGATACTCGGGACCCGGAACCGCGCCATGTGTCCATTGGCCCAATCCCACAGTGATGGCTGCACTGTAAAGTCTCATCTGTGCTAGCCCCTGGACAAAGTCGTGCAGCGACCTTGATATCATCCTCCGTCTTAAACCCGAGGGAACTGGGAACAGCAAAAGCAGCGGGATGACAGAGAAATTCCTCCTCCACTTCCGCGGCATTCACATCCTACGACTCATGTCTTTGATCCTGCCTATGAAGTAGACGTTTTCAGCATCAAATACCTTGCCCAGGTCGCTGTGAAGCCATGAGTTGAAGAAGGTTATTTCACTGGCTTTCGAGTCATTGAAAATAAATACCCCTGGAAAAATGCAGTTGGGAAACCACTTCTCAGCAACATATGGCCTACGGTACCTTGAGCAATGGGTTTGTCAGCCTTGTTGGCAATACGAAGCTGGTATCCTGTATTAACAGTCCCGCAAGAACCCCGAGGTAGAACGCATTTTTGAGGATTGAGTATTCTGGCCTCGACACTTCTATACACAGTGTACAACAGATGTCAAAAAGACTTTTCATAATCCTCGGCATATCCAGGTACCAGCACTCCCCATGCAAGGCAAACTTTGTAGTCACAATAGTTGGACGCTGGTGGATGCTTGTATATCAAATCAATAGTAGCACCCCTGAAGTCATACACGGTTACTCTCGACTCTCGTATCTCGGCCCAGAAGTTACTGGTATTGAACAGGCATGACAAGGCTGCTGTAGCACCGAGCAAGATGGAGGGGATTACGGTTGGTGCTGTTGCATCTGCGTGGAATAGGGAGAACGGGCAGTGGAGAATATCATCTTGGCGGAGTCCAAAGCTTTCGATCGGCGAAGTGGCTTGTAGGATAAAGTCCTAATGAGACAGAATGCATGGCTTGGAGCATCCTGTCGTCCCGCTGGAGTACGAAAAAGTTGCAGTGGTGGCAAGAGTGACTGCGAAAGCCTGTTTCACCGGATCGGACTCGTTGTAAAGATCGGCCAAACTGTTCTTACCTGTTCTACCCACCACGCAAACGACGTTATCGTCTACCGCCTTAGTCGACATGATTCCGGATACTCCCCATCGAGAACAGCAAGCTGGGATCTGCTGCTTGTACAACATGCTGCAGGGCAATAGACCTGAGATCCACATTGATGGACACCCAAACCGCGCCAAGTCGGTTGGCGCCATCCATATATGAACCATTTCAACACTATTCCTCGTCATTACCAGGACTCTGTCGCCTGCTCCTATACCTCGATCCTTGAGTCCACCAGCAAGGGCCTTTAAAAAAGAGTTGACGCCCACCAAACTTTAAAAACGTTCTTTCTGGTGTTGTGCGAACCGCTATGTCCAAAGCCGTTATTAACAGAACTAAGGTCTTTGCATGAACCTCCATTTTCTTTTGGTCTATTCTCCATGCTCTGGTGAGATTTGTTACTCGCTGATCTGAAACTGTCTGAATTCTTCTTGTTTGCTTGACTCACTTTCTCTTTCCTGCTCCCGAAATTGGCAAATGCCTCTGCGGCATCACTTTGTGCAAAACAATAATTCGCCACGTTAGCTTCATCATGCAAGACATTCTCTATGTTAGGGAATGCCGCCCGCTCGACCGGTGTCTTCGAGCTGAACGTAGCAATCCTAGGTAGTCGCGCCAACTCAATTGCCAAATCTAGTACCCTCCTCTTCGGATCTTCTATGAGCTCGCTGAGTAGTCCGATTTTAAGCGCTTCTTCAGCATGCGTGAACTACCCAAGAATAATAAGTTTCTTAGCCTTCAAAAGTTTAACCATGGCAACTATACGAAGAGATATGCCTCCAGTGACTGCATGTCCAATACTTGCCTCGGGGAGTTTAAACATGGCTTTGTGGCCACCGAAGACGAAGTCTGCAGCTAGAGCACGCTCTGCGCCGCCCCGGATAGCAAAGCCTTGCACTGCGACGACCACGATGGCAGAGGCAGAAGAGGTCAATGGCGTGAGGTCTTGGAGCTTGATGAAGTACTGTCACAGTTCTTTGAGTGAGTCTGTTTTTGGCGCCAGGGTCTGCTTGAGGTCTTCGCCAGTGCAGAATTATCATCCCCAGTCGAAACAAGGATGATGACACTTGCGTTGGCATGTTTCCTCAATGCACCAGACAGGCTATCTTAGAGGTTAGCGTTGATGGCATTGAGTCTCTGCGAGCGGTTGAGTGTTATGCGAACAACATGCGGTGCCGGGTGAGATACTAGAACGGTTTCCGTTGACATAATGAGCACTGTCTTGATGGATATATTCAAATGGCATTGGAGAAGTTGTGAGCAGGCATTGATCAAGTCCTAGTAGCGCACTTGTTATTTATACACTCTTCGAAGTAAGCCCAACCCTTATATAATAGATAAACCCAAGTCCCCAGTTTCATACCCGTGTGGTCTTCTTCCTGTCAAACGAAGTAGTTCTCTGCCAGGCCATATTTCCAGTGTCCACTATAGAAAACCAAAGTCAGCTTTGATTCTTTATTGTAAAAATTTCAACAGCTGACGCAAGTCGATAAATGAATTAGCTGATGTAAAACACTTTCACATCTTCTGGATCTAGAGGTATCCAACACCCCGAGAAGAAAAATGCAAAAAACCGGAAACTTCGAATCCACTACTTGCCTTCACCCTTCAACTCAATTGTGACATCCAGAACCATTTGCCAAGGTAGCGCATCTTTATGTTCCAACCACTGGACATTATTAGCATTGCTCTCTCGATAGACAGGAGATAAGTGTGGTAGGACGAGCAACATCTCTACATACCACGCGTAACATCTCTTTCGAGAAGGCCCATGCAGCATACCTCCTAGCCAGCAATTTAAGAGTATATTTCGGGTCCGCCTTGGCACCTTGAACATTTTGCACCTGCTTTTTGACCGGAATGTTCCAAGGATATCGATCGCCATTTGAATAGACGTAGTGAAAGAAGTCGGGAAGGTCGTTTGATCCATAGAGCGCAGGGTGCAGCATCTCCATCACAACGTTCTGCAATAGACTCATCCCAGCAAACTCGGCCAACATCCACAGTTCTGCTAATACCATAACTGCACCTTTTGCCTGAGCGTCAAGGGAGTTGATGAAGCCGATGTTGAAGTATTCTTCCAAGTACTGAAAGATTTTGGGTTCGAACTCCGGCAGAGATACTACGCCTGTCTCGGAGGCAATAGTCCCGCTGTCGCTGAGTAGCCATTTTAAATATGGGGATTTCTGGATAACCGCTTCTTTTGAAATGATGAAGTGGGAGTATGTAATGCCGACGAGGAACATTACGGTCTGTGGTGGCGGCTGTAGGTATGACATGGTGGCCTTGTGTATGTGGATGTGAATTCGCTGCCGATGGGTCGAAATGAATTGCCTCGGAATATCAATAAGGCTGCGGTGCTTTATGCTTCCTGGGCACGCATGCCAGCATTAGGACCCAGTTGACCAGCAGCTATTGTATGAATTGATTGCGCTTTGCAGGGAGTAAGAAGCAAGGTGTATTTTTTATTCACTGATGAAGTTATATATATGTTTTTGGAGAAGTGGGCGAAGGTAGAGACGTTCCTTCCAATCTAGAACTTTCTTATTGGCCAGGATTGTTACTTCCTCAGAGATGAAAATGAATATGCTGTAGTTTAGGCAACAACCCGGAGGGCTTCCTTGCTTCTTCCTACAAAGTTTTCAGTATCCGTCTTTATCAATATGCGATATTTCAAAAAGGGGTGTGTGTCACGTGGCAAGACTCTTGGTCAACAGATACATAAATGGTTAAGCTCTAAAATTGGAGGAAGATTACTTCGCCAATGCGAACTTGAACATTTATTCCCTCCGAGGCTTCGAAGACTGCAGTGTTCTAAGGTTCGGAGTCGGAGACCCAACCTGGAATTCTACCACACCGGAATGCGCCTGCAAACTTGATTGGAGGAGCATTTGCAGCTAAACTGTGCGAATGGTACAAACTGCTGACAGAGTGCTTACACCATCAAACAATGTTCATTGAGAGCAAAAGGCTGAACAAGAGCTTGCCTGCTGTCAATCTTCCGTAGGTCTTCCATAGGTCCCATCGACGATCGCTCCTTCCTTGACTTTCCACTCCACGGCCCATAGAATCCAAAGAGGGCGACAGTATTAGTGTATCATTATATCGTATATACAGGAAACCTTCAACTCCTTGTTGTCTGTGTCTTCGTGAGCACCAGATGCATGTCGCCAAACGCCGATGCTAAACCCTGAATGCTTATGCCCGAATGTCTCCAAATAATACATCAACAACTTCATCTAACAACGTAAACACCAGATGTGCACTACGTAATAAATTAGTCTTGAAAAATAGAATGAGAAATTTGAAGGTACTTACTTTAATCGTGGATTATTGAACGTTGCAAAAATCCTCCTACTCGCAGCCTGAGCGTTTACTCTCCCAACAACACTAGCAGCCAAATCCGGTACCAGGGTAGCGAGCATCAGGCTTGCTTCAGTACGGGTTTTCGACTTCTCGGTGGCCGTCCGAGGCTTGGTGTCCCTTTTGAGCTGGCCTTTGGGCCACATGGAATCCTTAAGAAGATTGACGTATTTGATGATTGCCTCTTCTGAAATGAAGCCTTTCACGTTATCGCGCACTTTTCGTTCGATGGTGCCGCCGAGAAGTTGGTGCAGAACTACTACGACTGCCCGGCCACGTAGCCAATTGTTGCCACGATTGAGCTCGAAGACTTCCAGGAATATGTCGCAAATGGGTTTGACAAAAGGCTCCAATTCGCGGTCTTCAAATGCATTTAATTCTGCCTCTGCCTCCGCGACTGTAAGAGGGTCTTCGCTGATAGTCGTTGGCATCGTGACGAGCTGGCTTGTCGCAGCAGATAATAAGTTCTGACCTGCTACGGAGAGCTGGTCTAGTACTGGAATATTTCCCAAGAGGTCTTCCATGCCATCCGTGACAGTATTGTAGAATCTAGTCATCATATCCTTTTTGTCTTCCTCACGATCGTAAAAGCCATCACTAGGGGGGCCAATAACACTCTGTGAAAGGAACGCGCGAAGCTCCCGGCTACGACAGACATCTGGCAGCAGCAGAATCTCTCGCAAGTACTTCTCAAGCGCCATCCTTCGTTTATGCAGAAAATCGCTCTGTAGTTTCATGACCATACGCCGCCTTGGGAAATCAAGATTTCGTATTGAAGGATACTTAATCCTTAGCCGTTGGTGAAGTTCGTGGAATTCACTGTAGCGTCGGGTGACTGTCCAAGTCGCTGCAGGCATCTGCTCTCCAGCATTGCGTTGCACTTCAACGACATAGATTGCGTATTCTCGTCCATCTTCCTCCTTTCCCACCACGATCGACTTAATTTTGATGGTAGACCGACCATAAAGACTGTTGTCACTCTCTTGGATCACGTACTGCTGACGTTGAAGCTCTTTCCGTCGGATCTCGCGTTGTAAACTCGCTTTAGACTTTCGCAAGATTCGTAGCTCGGCGTTGTTATTTGTAAGCTCTGCTTTCCTTGTCAGGGAATCAACCACCGCATCCTGGGCCATAAGTCTATCAATGTCCGTGGTAAGGACTGTGATAGCTTCAGCTAAGCCAAGATCTCCCGGTGCAGCTTCATGGACCTCTTCCTCATCTGGCTTATTATCTACTTCGGGGTCTTCATGCTCATCGTCAAGAAATTTCTCCTCATCACCAAACAAATCATCATCGGTGAAAACCCCAATTCTAGATGAGGTGTTTACAAGACCAAGAGATGCGATACTTGGCTTTTCAGTCTTCTCCCCAAACAAATCTGCTCGTTTGTGATCGATAGAGCTCCGCGTCGAATTATTTCCGTTATGTGAAGCAATGCTAGGATTCGGAAGTTCCAGATTTTCCTCGTCACCAAACAACGACTTCCGGAGGTCTTCAACATCGGGATTGTCCTCCATGATATTGTTCAAGGCTGCTTCCATAGCCTCAACAACGTTATTATCGGGCACTGAGTCCTGGGGTTCGTGTTCAAGACTGTGTATGGAATTATTCATCCCTTCACTGTCTATATCGTCGTCATCAAACAAGGGCGCAGAATTTTCTTCCTCAAAAGAACTTCGGGAGTCAGCCAGGGGATCAGCAGTTCGATATGCCCCAGAAGCTAAGTCAGTGGAAGAGGGAGCTTTTCGATATAGATCACCTCTCCTGGGCAGTAGTTTGGCAGACACCCGTGAAAGTGGCCTGCCTTTTGTTGGAAGCGCTTGGGAAGTGTTTGCCCTAGGATGCATTTGAGGTTTCTGAACCATTAACTCCGGTCTTAGTAAGTTTAGTGTAGAAGGCGGTGGAGGTGGCACCAAGCTTTTGGACGCCTCTTGAGATGTGAGACACTTATAGAACAGGTCTGATTTCTTGAAAGCTTGGAAATTACCTTCCCGCATAGATTTGAGAGCTGCCGTTTGTGCTCTGAGGATAGCCCTTCGAGCCAGAAAGTATTGTTTTGGGGTTGCCTCTTTGCCAGCTTTGAGAAATTCTCGTACCAGGGCTTTGGACGTCTCTGAGACCTTGAGCTCTGGCTTTCCCAGATACGCCTCGTTAATTTGAGCAAGATCAGCTCTATCCGCATTAGTCCACGGTGGCAGTGTTGCAGGTATCTCGTCATCTTCGGTAGTTTCGTCTTCAAGTGGATTTCGGAAGCCATCGACAACGATCCAAAATTGTACCAATGGCATAAGATTCTGTCTGTCCATAAACTCCATAAAGTAAGAAAGTCCCGAAGGATCATGGAGCAAGTCTACTAGAGAAGCATTCTCAAGCTTAGAGACTTGCGTTCCATTTTGATTTAAAGCATTCGGTGTCGGTACACTCTCTCCACCAGCCGCTAATTGGTTGACACGTTGGTCTGAGATTCGTTTCCCTATCTCTAGACGCCGTAGATATATTGGGTCTTGGCCCTCTTGCAGAGCATCCCTTTTCAGTTGACTCGAAATCTCACTCCGGAATCTTCTCGCATCTGATAGATTATTGACCTTCCGAATAGCTCGTACAAACTTTTCGAATTTGCGTTCATTATCTCCAGGTGATATTCGTGGGAATGATATTGTCCGTCTCGGCTTTGGAACTGGTGAAGCATGCTCATCTAAAGCTGCCCGTAATTTACGTACTGTTGACCGATCCTGAAGCATCGAACGACCCTAGATTCCGTTAGTACTACATTATTTCTCCTGTCTAGACTCTACTTACATATGCTTCCATAACCTGATTCCAAGTATCAGGATCTGACAACAGTTGCATGACTGGGGTGAGCACCGCGCACGAAACAGTTCCTGGACAAGAACCGCTACAGCTCGACTAGCAAGAACCCTCTCTGGCAGAACTTTCGGTAGCACGCTCTTCGTCAAGTTTCGCAAATAGTCCTGCTGTACTAGCTTCATATCTGAGAATGCCAAAGACGCCGCTGGGTGTAATTTTCCGTCCTTGTATTTCGCAGCAATCGCCAGATCCAGCTCCTCCGACTCCGTAACGCTCCTATTCAAATGTTTCCCTCGTATAGCTCTCTCTGCTTCGTAGAAATCCTTGAAATGTGCCGTGAGAATTGGGACAAATCTCGTAGTAACAACTTCGGTGATATCCAGCTCCAGGAGCTTATCTCGCACGCTGCCCAGAGCCATGCGGATAGTCTTGTCCACCTCATTGATGAAGACCGGATTCTGGCTTATATTTGAATACCAGGAGTTCACAAAGTCCCGCAGAATGAATTCCAACAGCTCGTCCAACGCGTTCGATACTTTGAAATCTTCGGGGTAGAGGGGTTGCCAATGGTATGCCTGCCGGCTTCGAAGGGCAGCGATTTCCTTGTCCCATGATTTCGCGGCGAGAAAGGCAGGACCTTTTGGTCGAATCAAAGTATTTCTCCCCCCATACTGGCTCCCCCTCGAGGTAAGTAGCAGTAATGCGACCAGTCCAACGACTGGCAGAACGAGACCTGCGACAAAGGCGTATCCTGCCCAGCGCAGCGCCGGAATCCAATTGACGGCATAACCCCAAGCGATAAAACTGGCGATACCTGCTATTATCACATCTCGTCGTTTCAGGGCCATGGTATGTGACGCGACAGATCGACCCCGGCCGGCATGGTTGACTTGTCGTGTGAAGCTCGAGAGTCGAGAGCTCCCAAGGTTCAGATGAGGATGAGCACCAAATCTCGCGTAATTCTGCTCAATTCATGATTGACAACCAGGTAGGTACTTTCATCACATGTAAGGCATTTTAGGGTAAAATGTATAGTGCTTTTGATGTTTTGATATTGTAAATTGGTATCTATTTGGTCTACCATGGTGGGTCTTCCAAACGCCTGAATAGAGCTACAAATTTCTGGCCATTATTCCTCGTCACCTTCATACCCTCCTCTGTCTCCATCCTCATGACTTCAACACACTGATCTGCTTCCTGATTCTGCTCCGACAGCCTTTCAAATGACGGATGCTTGTCAAAGTGCTCCACCATCCAGAGGTGCAGATCTTCCACATCTGTTATTGTGTACACCACGCCCCCTGGACGTACAACATAAGCGTACTCCGAGTTCAACGTTGTAGAGACAATCCGAGCCTTGTGTTTGCGAGCTTTGAAGTGGGGGTCTGGGAAACAGAGGAAGATCTTTGACAGTTGTGCCTTCTTGAAGAAATTGGGAAGGAACTTCATGCTGTTTGCTCGTAGACATGCCGCATTCTGATATAGACCATCATCTGCCCTTTGAACTCGCAAAGCTTTGATCCGCTCTTGGACGTATTCCGCCACTTGCATCCTGATTTCCATGCCTAAATCCATGTTAAATCTACACCTGCGCATTTCGAAGAGAATATTTTACCTAGCATCAAGGTATTGGGCAGCTTAGGAGCCAGAGCAACAAGTAGCCCTCCGAATCCACACCCAATGTCAGCGACCTCCACGTCCTTCGTCAACCTTCTTATATCTCCTGTATTTGTAGCGGATTCTTCACTTGCTGCAACGGCCTGTAGGTCTGCGCTGGTGTCTTGCTGTTCAACCTCGACTTCCCTATTTGCTCCAGTAGTTGAGGGCTCGACGAAATGAGGAAAATAGGGCGACCAATCCATATGGCCAGGACTGATAGGACTGCACATTATCAGTCCGGTGATCTAACCTTTCTACAGCTCTAGGGCTAACTTACTACACCAAATTGTGGTCGGAGAAGACATTGGCATGGGCTCTCTGTCTATAAAACTTCTTTTTGGGCAGCTCTGTCGTATCACCACCTTCGCGAGCACTCTTGTAGTCTACTCTCTTCTGCTTTTTATTTGCAGAGCCCGCCATTGCGACAATTGGCTATGTTGCTGGTGGTATTTTGTGAAGACGAATATGACGAGGCTCCAAGTCAAGGCTGAATATTTTTTGCTATCGACTATCACAAGCTGATGGGGGGCTGTTTATCCTACAGTACAGTAGCGCGCGGCCCGCATTCTTCCCTGTCTGCAACGTGAACGTGCCTGCCGAAAATGCCCGTCATATTAATACACGCGAACCAGGATAAGGAAATGGAGTTGCGCCTTTTTGATTAAATTCATTACTTCTTCATCATTCACGTCTTCCAAATCAACGACATGACACAGCTCCATTTACAAGAGTCCATCACATTCGCACTCTTCTTTGTAAAGGGAGCCAACGAGCACTGCGCTGCCCTGCCTACCACCTGAAATTTAGCATATCTGCAAGTCAGACCACCTGATATCATAGTTATCTACACCCTTGAATGCCCCGGATCAACTCGGATTCTGCAAGAAGATAAACTCAAGTCATGTCTTGGTTTTCGATCCTACCAGAGCCCTTTGTGTTTGTCGAAACCTGGGTTGTTCGCTTCTTTGTGAGTTATAACTGAGATTGTCAATCTTCAATTACTAACAGACATCTAGCTTTTCCTGGGTATTCTGTCAATAGGCCCTTGGGCCCTCCTCATAATCTACGATGCGATCCTCTATGTATTCCGCACAGCGACATACGAGATACCATACATTGGCGGAAGAGCAAGGCACAGGCCTCGACCAAGAGCCCCCAGCTTAAGTGAAAGGCCCAGTGGTTATCCTCGCAGGTTCAGTCTGACTCTTTCAGGAGTGCCTACGCCAGCAGAAGCAATAGACACGGTGAGCGTGTTGCAGAAAAGAAAGGAGAAATCAGGATATGAGAGAGACGGCAGCGCTGCAGAATGACATCTTTTTTTCATTCGTTCTATTGGAAGTTTTAGGACAATCGTTCAAGGATGTGGATCAAGCCTGATGTTACCCCCATTGCCGTCACTTCACCACCTGCTCCTGCTCCTTGAACTATCAATGGATTAGCTCCATATCGCTTAGTGTAGAAGCTGATGATGTTGTCGCTGCCCTTCAATGCTGCAATTGGATGTGAGCGATCGAACTTCTCTAATCCAACCTTCACCTCCTTCTTCGCCACATCAATGCTTCCCACAAACCTCACTACCTTCCCTTCTTTCTCTGCGGCTGCCTTCGTTTCCTCCATTTGCGAGTCAAATTGAGGTAGCTTTTGCAAAAACTCATCACCGCTGGCTACACTCTCCAACTCCTTGGGGATCAAGCTTTGCACTGGGAAAGAAGTTGGAGATTCAATTGGTAGACCAGCCAATCTTGCCAGAATAGTCAACTTCCTCGCAACATCCAAGCCATTCAAGTCATCCCTTGGATCTGGCTCTGTGTAGCCTAATTCCTTCGCCTTCATAACCTCCGCAGACCACTTTCCACCAGAACCCTCAAGGGGCGCGAATGAGTTGAAAAGGAACGACATGGTGCCACTGAAAACACCCTCGATCTTGGTCACCTCATCTCCTGTGTTGACTAGGTCGTTCAGGGTCGAAATGACAGGCAGACCAGCTCCAACGGAGCTCTCGTGCGACACTATAGCACCTGACTCGGCAGCAGCGGAGAAGATATCCTGCCAGAGCTTGTAAGAGCCTGAGAATGCCTTCTTGTTGGGAGTCACAATGCTGATTCCCTTGGATAGCACTTGTGGATATTGATCGGCTATGTTTTGGGAACTGGTGTTGTCAACCAGGATGGCTTTACCTGGCGCAGCGGATAGGAATCCGATAGCCTCAGTCAAGGAGAGGTGTTTTTGAGTCGAGTTTGCGAGCTTCGTGCTGAGGTTCTCGAATGGCAAGGCTGTGTACTTTTCGCTGTAGAGGGTCTTTGTGCTTCTAGAGATGAAGACGAGGGATATCTTCGGGGAGGAAGCATTCGTAGCATATCGTTTAGAGAGGGATTCGAGTTGTGAGAGAAAGCACTTTCCTACACCACCAGCGCCTTCAAATAATTAGCTTTGCGAAGGATAGAAGCGGGGTAGCTTTACCAATGACACCAATGTAAACTTCCTTGGGAGCCATCTTGTGAATGATGTTTCTGAGAACCGACATACACTTGGGCAACGATTAATCCTCACTTCCTTAGAGACTATCAAGGGTCGTCGAGATTTCCCAAGATTGGCAAGATTGGGAGCTTGATACGATCTATGAACGTTTTTCTCGGGGGCGTAAAGTGGTGTGGTTTCTCAGAGACGTAGGCAAAAGTTTTGAAGCCGCGGGGTCAATCAGCAGCGGTCTCGGAGTGGTTTCCAAGCCCCACTTCGAGCCTTAATCCACTACTTCAGCCTTACACCAGGCCAGGTACACAGCTCTCAATAATTCATCCAAACGAAACCCTCTTCACCAACCCCAATAAAACAATGGCATCCGACACTTCCCTCTACGGCACCCGCAAACCAAAAACCACCCCCAAAGAACTCTCCTCCTCCACCTCCTTAGCCTTTACCTCAACCCTCTCCTCCCTACTCTCCACATCCACCCCCTCTGCAACAGCAGGACGTCCACGCCCCTCAAAAGCAGCCAAAAACGACATATTCACCTCCCACAACAAAAACACCAAGAAGCGCGCAGCCCGAGATCTAGACGAAGATCCAGACGATGCGCGACCGCAACAGCGAAAAGACATAGGCAGCGTAGACGAAGCCTTGTTGCACCGCAGTAAAAAGAAACTCGCCGCGAAAGCAAAACTGTACAAAGAAATGAAACGCTCCGACTATGCGGGAGACGAAGGCGATGCGCTGGTGGACTTTGATAGGAAGTGGGCTGAGAAACAAGGATCAAAACAGGGACAAGGTGATGGCGAGCCGTCAAGCTCATCCGAGGACGAAGGACCAGCGCCAGATGAGGAGATCGTGGACTACGAAGACGAGTACGGACGGTTACGGCGGGGCCCGAAATCAGAAGCTGAGCGTATGGAGCGGCGGAAGAGGAACCAGACGCTAGGACAGGAAGAACTCGATCGTATATCGGCGCGGCCTGCGCAGCCCTCCAAGCTCATCTACGGCGACACGGTGCAAACGCTAGCCTTTAATCCGGACGAGGACAAGAGCGTGAAAATGGAAGAGCTGGCCAGGAAGAGGGATCGCAGTATGACGCCACCGGAGATGAAGCATTATGAAGCGGATAAGGAGTATCGGGTTAAGGGGGTGGGGTTTTATGCGTTTAGTAAGGATGAGGAGTCCCGGAAGAGGGAGATGGAGGAGTTGAGCAGGGAGAGGGAGGTTACGGAACGGACGAGGAAGGAAAGAGAACTGAAGAAGGATGAGAGGAAGAGAGAGCTTGAGGAGAGGAGACGGGTGTTGGGGGAGAAGAGGGCGAAGAAGCAAGCGGATGCTTTCTTGGAAGGGCTGGGTGCTGATCTCGGAGTTGGCCCTGGAAGTAATTGAGACTCTGGTGCTGATTTATTTGACTGCTTTTGAGCGTGGCGTTGGGGAGTTAACATCTTAGTGCAAAACACTGGGTCCCATTCTGATTCACTACATGTTATTAACTGTAGTCAATATTCCAGATAGAGCACATATAGTTCAACTAACCAGTGGTGGTCTGAAATGGCACGATAAACAGGGCTTTCATATGAGGTTGATATCTCATGTACAGCTTTCAAGATTATTATAAATTTTAACAATAAGCAACTCATACCGAAGACGACAGTAGAGAGCCTGTTTCCGAAATTCGAGGATCTATCAAAACACCAACTTCTTAAACATCCGTAGACACGAACATCTCGTATAGCCCCAATGAACAATCAGTAGTATATATTTCCATTGTAATTTATGTGCTAGATACACAAGAGATAGATGCATTACCAAGTTCATCACAGAATACCAAGCTTTATCACTATGTATTCGTGGTTCCCATAATACTCCGGCGTCCAAAGCCTACCGTTTCACAAGATTCGAAGATCCTCCTTTTATATTCATTCAGATTCATATATCCTTTCCCCATATCTCCCAAAACTAGCCCCAAAACCCATCAAACATGCGAGTTCCCAAAAAGAACTCTCAACTTGGCCACGTATATCCTGTTGAACGCCGATGCCAGTCCCATTGCGACTAAAAACTATACATAAAAGCTCCCTATGACCAATGCCCGAACTCCGTTGTGTGGCCAGTGCAATATATCTCTGACAATAATTATGCAGTGGTCGATATGCCGTAATATCACAAGTACTATGTCCATTCCCATGTACAACCGCACATATCCACGTCATCCCGCCCGTAAAGACTTTGCTCGAGGAAATCCCGCCTTGAGAACTGTGTTGGAATGGTCTCGTTTAGAACCAGCGTGACAGGTTGGTTAGTGCTATTCATGAAAGGAATTGCACTCCCGTCAGCTTGGACAATATGTTGAATACAATATGGTGAGGATGGTTGAGCCCCACGCGGTACCCGGCGTTCCTCGAGCTTGACGACCCTTGGGTAGGGCGGAAGGAAATATGGTGGTGGTGGTCCTGAGTAGGGTGAACCTGATGGCTGAACGTTGGATGTCGGGACGCTGGAGCTAGAGGTGCCAGCGGTGGCTTGGCTGTTGCTAGGTGTTGTTGCGGCCGGGGTGGACGCCGGCGCAGATGAAGCTGATGAAATTCCAGATGAACTTGTCTGGTTGACATAGATGAAGGCCTCGAGTAGCGTGTTGTTCCAATAGCAGAACCATGGTTTCTCACCTGGCTGTGCGACCCCTTTCTTCCCCATAAAATCCGCTGTGTCGTGGAAATTCCCGTTGCCTGTGTTTGGCCCCGGGCCTGGTCCTGGTCCCGGTCCCGGTGCCTGTCGTTCAGTTACATCTCGTTTGGAGGCTGGCATTGCTATATCGGTTTCTCTGAGGACTACTAGTTTGTTGTATAAATGTTGGAACCACCATGCTGGCCCCCTGTCAGGTTCTTCGGAATCGGTCACAAGTTTCATGACCTGTTGGTCGGGCATGACCGGGGCCTGGGCGCCATAAGTCCAGGACACCATTGTGTTATTGCCATAGGTCATAACAACTCCGTTGTTGGAAAACGGACTCCTGGCGCCGGAAAGTGGGATTATTTGGAGTTGGAGTGGGGCAGGATTCGGCGAAACTATACATGACCAAGCATTGCTTTGGGCACTGTTGACAAGACAACTTTTCTGGGTTCCAGACGGAATATTGACAGGCAATGCAAATGTACCAGTTGGAAGGATTGAGGCGCCTGTTGGGATTGCACTGATGGGTGTAGCATCGAAAGTTGTAGTCATTGTGGTGAGATAAACCTCACTTTGACTAGGGAAGTTAGTATAGTGCAGAGGCAGGAATGTTAAGGAGACTTACGCTTGGCCAGATTCATGAGGCTTCTGTTGCTGATGCTTTGGAGGAGGATGACTTTTCAGTACCGCGAGCACAACAGCCAAAATGATTACAAAAATGATAAGAACCGCAGCAGCGAGGACAAGAACCCAAACAGGAACGATCCCGCAGAGCTTCTTCTTTGCAACCCTCTGCCACCTTTTCAGTTCCGGTTTCTCTGAGATAGCCATTGCCGCCGTGTTGACATGGTGGCTGCTCGAGTCTGACATGACGCTCCTTCGTGACTCTGGAGAATTGAGGTCCTCTTGAGATGAAAATTCTGGATTGCGAGTTGCAAGTCCAATTCCCCCAGCACCTACAACAGGTACTACAGCAGGTACCACAACAGTTGGACGAGTTTTTCTTGCAAGAGCCTCGTCGGGATACTGCGTATACGGTGGCAGTTGCTCCGTGTGTCCGTCGGGACCAATTATATCAGCAATCTCCTCGCCATCAGGACCGAGCCGGCGTTGATAGTTTTGATTAAGCCCAGGGAATCCTACCGGGACGGATGCAGCTGTGGTTGAAGTATCGGTACTTTCTCCTTCAGGGACGATGTTCTGAGGGTACATCCCGTAAGGGTGTGTCGGTCCACTGGGTCCTGCATATGATCTCTCCGTTACTGGTGGAGCGGCTGTTGAGGTCGTAGCCATGCTTGCTGTTCTCGCCAACCGTGATTCTTGCGGATACATCTGGTATGGATGTGAAGGGCCAGCAGGTCCTCGGTAGGGGCTCTCTGCTCTCACATAAGGCACGTCAGTTGAAACACTCGACGATCTCGCAGGAAGCGCCGTGTTTACAACGGATGCGACGGACGAATTCCTCCGTAGATCTCCCATTTCTCCATCATGCCGTAAAGCGAAAGAGTCCATGTTATTTGGTTTCGTTGTACTCGATGGCCGCGGGGGTGGTGTTCTTCTTCCTGCTGTCAGGAGGGTATTTTGCACTGTTTGCGAGGACATCCGATTATGACCCATCCCGACACCGTTGGGCCTGAACCCGTCAGAAATTCCCATTGCCTCAAGATCATAATCATCGTCGTTCTGCTGCTGCATCGACAACCGCGTCGAAGCCCTCCTGTCAACGCCTATCGACTCTCGACGGTCGGTCCCAGCCATGTTTTCCACGCCCGCGTTTCCGAAACACCTCGTTCTCGATCCACCTAAGGGGGTTGTGCGATGATCACCTTTCAGTCATCAATATCGGGCGACTTTGGTGAGAGTGCTAGATATTCCTATTGGGGTGACTATTGCGAAGATAATTGTAGTCGCCTGAGGAGTGTTGTAGTGTTGTAGTGGTGGTTGTAGTGTAGTTGTGGGTGAAGTAAGGTACGAGACAAGGCCCTGGATTTCATTCGAGGGTCTCCTGGCCTAGCACCACCACTTGAGACAAATTCGGTTCTTGCGCGAATCTCGATGCCGTAGCGTAACGACAAGTTTATTTTTGGGCGGACGGCACGCACACGGCAACTCAATGATACAGTCAGTACCTACGGTACGGCGTATATGGTAGGTATGGTATGTATGTGTATTGATTGCTAGGTAAGGTAAAGTAGCTGCGACGAAAAGTACAGGTTGAATGATGAATTGTGATTGAAGTGTTCTTGTTCGGAGAAGATGCGCATCAACCGACCCATCCCATCCTCTTCCCTCTTTCCTCTTTCTTGGTTGTCTTGGGCTTGGAGCAGCAAACAATAGTTACTTCGCTCGCATGACAAGAGCGCAATCATTGCGAATGCAGATTGCCAAATCTGCAGGTGTGCCACCCTTTCCTCGTACTCCCTGCAGGGCCTGCACTCATATCGCCGCCACATAGTACCCCCCCTTCCCCTCAATATTAAGTAGCTACCTTCTTAGGCCACCTGCCCGTGGTCTGGCTTTTCTATCAGTAGTAGCGTCCGCTTTATAATGCTTCTTTGGTGGCCTGTGGAGAAGAGGGTCTTTCCGCCATCTGCCGACTTCACTGTTTCCCTCACCTTTTGTGGCCCTGGCCTGATGCAACCCGAAACCTCGTTCCTGAACACCTTTCTTCTCAAGAAGCGCTCGACATGTACCACACGATGACTTTTCGTCACGCGGTCTTCTCTTCCAGTCGGCTACAGTACAGTACAGTACTGTATTGTGTGAGTTAAAATATATTCTGGTATCTTGCCCCCACTCAGCTGCTGCAGCCACTGCCCTGTATTCATCGATACTGTACCTCTCATGCTTGCAGGCTGCCGGTAGAGGCAGGAGGACATTCTCTGAATATGCTCCAATTTAGCCCAGCGGAGCAGTTTACGGGCCTACAGCAGGCCAAAAATGCCACCGGCGATCTCCATGCCAACTTTTCCGCCTAATCTATGCCAGCCATTCCATGGCCTGCCCATCCATCTCTTCTCATGATAGATTAGATATCCCGAGCAAGACTCTCAAAATCTGGACTCCCGAGAAATTCTTCGGCCCTTCGCATCATCGGGATTGCGTTTTTGCCAGACAGACGACTTTCGTTGGCAAATAACGGCTCCAGCCGTTGACTTAGTGTGTCGGTCCCTGCATCCCGTAGGCTCCGTTTAGGTATTTAGCCTCATTATCTGATGATGGAGTTCCAGATTTGTGCCAAAGTTTGAGCCAGTCTCCTTACCCATATTAGGCCTATGAATTAGATGGTATTGCCTGAAGCTTCCTCCAATCAAAAGCTTGTAAAAGCTCCCAATCAGTTACACTTGAGGTTTTGCCTTCCCCATATCGTCCACGATCTGATACGCTATAAAGCTTGGCTTCCACAAGGCGGCGCCTTAATAATGCGCCCCGTATCTGTGCGTTATTGCGTCAGATAAACTCATTCTCAGGCCAATAATAACCTTATTGTTGGTTGTAACGTTCTATTTGGAATTTTTTCAATTCTCATTTTTCCTAATCCTTTCATCTTGAATTCTAAATTTCCGTTGGATGAGTTGAAGCAGATCAGTTTCAACAATCTTCCATAGAATTTTGGATAATAGGAGAATAAAAGAAAATATATTTTGACAAGTACTTTATAAGCAGGCTCAGGTGAATGAAAATCTGGACGGATCTGACATTGCGGCCATTTAGAAAGTGCGGAATAGGACACGGCCTTGCCAGGAGTACTGGTGACGGACTGAGTCAGTAGATATGGATGCATTGTGTTTTGACTTCCAGAAAGCTAGCGAGTTTGTCTGAGCTAGACAATGTCGATCGCATGTTGGTCCCCAACGTGATCGAAGTGTGTAAGGCTAGAGCTTTGAGGCTGAAGTGGAAAGCTTGGTATCCTCAGCCATGACCTTTGCCAAAGTACGTTTGAAGTCTCAGATAAGCTTTTCGTAAGCCAAGAGGGATATTGTATTGTTTTGTCCCATCAGATCCGTGAGCACTAAACAGGGACTTAAACGGTTCCTAGCATAACTGTTGACTAAGTTTGCAATTGAATGATAGTGCTTCATAGGCGAGAACTATTCTACCACGAGAACATGCCTCTGTGTGAGGTCAAAATAGGGCCGAGTGATTGGTTCAACTTCGAAGGCTCTATTATGGGGTGAAAAGGGAAAGTGAGGTATAGAGTACCGGGGAATCCTAATGTGTAGCTTCCATGGTCGCTGTTTTCCTGGAGGTCAAGAAGAGCGAGAAACTCCCAAATCTTCACTCCAACTATAGGTTGATGAAATCCGGAATTCCATTACCTGTAAACACTAACAGCTGTTCGAGGTCTCTGGGGAGCTCGTAGCCTCGTGGCAATGGACCAGGTTCCGCAACGAACAGCTTTCTGAAACAGCGCATATTGATGAGTCCATTGGAATGATTGAACTGGCTAACTTGCATCTATCTTACTTGATAGCAGTCGTACATCAGCACTTGTTGGTTCTGGTCGTATGTCTCTTTAAAGCAAGAGGGATGGTGACTGTCACCTGAACGAGGCGCAGCAGTGACGAATCTCGCGCCTCGAAGAAGATAGGTAGGTAGGGTATGATTCCCTCAACACTTGTAAGGGGATACACGATCTTGTAAGATTCGATGTGAAGTCTTGGTAAGATTATACATGTAAGATTATACGTAGGTACATGCCTCTGTTTAAAAAGATCCCAACCCAGCTGGACCTCAAGGGCTGCACCTCAGTGTGAGTGTTTAGGGCTAGCATACCTAGGTATGCAGCTTGCAAAAGCATTGATTACGAATAGGCCTACTATAAGCTTTGTGTGACAGCGGCTGCAGGAACTGTTATCGTGGTGGTGGAGGATCACGATACTTCGTACTTGCCTACCTCCTAGTCAAGATTCAAGAATCTGATGTTGCGGGTTTGCCAAGTACGACGGATAACCAATCAACTGTCTTCAAATGATCCTCAATATACCTAGATAGGTACAAGTACACCACGGAGTACTTCGTATACGCTACGGGTGGGCCCGAGTCACATCGAAATAGCATTCCTGGTAGCGTAGGCTGAACTATTGGATAACGTTGCGCAAGGTAAGACAACATGAACATGTTCCCCCACTCTCTTGATCGGCTTTGAATTGAGGAGTCTGAGAGGAGTATGAGAAGACAAGAAATAAGAGAGAATACTGGTAAAGAAAGACCCTTGAACATGTAGACACTTGTACTTCAGCATTCCCTACAACTAATAATAGGTACGTGTTTCCATAGAATTACTTCAAAGTACAAGACGTGAAATGATTGGAGGGCGGGTTGTTGTTCCTGCATGGCCCGCAACAGCTTACCTTACGTTAATCTGCACTACCTCCAGTACCTCCACCTTACTGTACCTATCATGAAAGCTTCGGTGAGTAGTGGAGTCGTCTAGCTGAATGTTCGGTGTTGGTGGTGAGATTCAGGGTTAGCGACTTTGCCTCGCTTCCACAAGTGCTGCTCCTCCTGTTGCTCAGATTAGATAGAGTAGAAAGAGAGAGTACTGTACGTACAGTAGATACATCGGCAAACAGAACCTTGCGTTGCGTTTATAAAACTTCTTCCTCCCATTATTCCCCCTCTTACATCCAGTCTATCTGTCTAAAATCATTCTTCATAAATTACAACTAAATTACCACCGGTATGTGATCTCTTTCTCTTTGCGCCTGTTGCCGATCCCGCTTGCCTCCTTTTTGTTGGGCCACCATTGATTTCAAAAAGAAAAAACCCCCCTCCCCGCCGTGGTACACAACACGCCTCCAAACCTACGCGCACGAGAACTAACAGCTCTTCTTCAGCTCTTCTCTACCACAATTAAAGCCTCTTCCCAGGTATTTCCTCAGAGTTCACACAAAACCGCGACAAATCATCCCAAAAACGACCCCGCCATCCTGCCAAATCCATAATCTTCACCGCCTCCCACCATGTCTTCTCGCCCCCAGAACATCGGCATCAAGGCCATTGAAATCTACTTCCCAAACCAGGTATGCTTGTAATTTGTTTCTTCATGCCGAGGAATTTTCTGCGACTGCGCAACTGCTAATTATGCTCTGCCTGTAACAGTGTGTCGCGCAATCTGAGCTGGAGAAATTCGATGGCGTTAGCACGGGAAAATACACAATTGGTCTTGCCCAGACCCAAATGAGCTTCTGCGACGATAGAGAAGGTAGGCATTTCTAAGGAATGGGTGGTTCTTTTGGTCTATAACTAATTTCTTACTCCCAGACATCTACTCGTTCGCCCTGACTGTCACCTCGAAACTTCTCGCCAAATACAAGATTGATACCAACTCAATTGGACGTCTCGAAGTTGGCACAGAGACTATTCTCGACAAGTCCAAGTCCGTCAAGTCTGTTCTTATGCAATTGTTCGGGGACAACACAAACATCGAGGGCGTGGATACGCTCAATGCATGCTACGGTGGTACCAATGCCGTATTCAACGCAGTCAACTGGGTTGAGTCCTCTAGCTGGGATGGAAGAGATGCCATTGTTGTGACGGGCGACATTGCTCTGTATGCAAAGGGCGCTGCCCGTCCTACTGGCGGAGCTGGTGCAGTGGCCATGCTGATCGGACCTGATGCGCCTATTGTTGTCGAGCCCGGACTCCGAGGAAGCTACATGCAACACGCCTATGATTTTTATAAGCCCGATCTTACCAGCGAATACCCCGTCGTTGATGGCCACTTCTCCATCAACTGTTATTCTGAGGCGATCGATGCCTGCTACAAGGCATACAACAAGCGAGAGGTAACCCTTAAGTCTGCTGCCAACGGCCACGCAAATGGTGCCGCCTCGTCTGACAAGACTCCTCTTGATCGATTTGACTACATGGCTTTCCACTCACCTAATTGCAAGCTAGTCACAAAGTCGTACGCACGTCTTCTGTACAATGACTACCTCGCCAACCCCTCTGCTCCAGAATTTGCCGATGTCCCAACCGAGCTCCGAGATATTGACTACACCAAGTCGCTCACCGACAAGGTTGTCGAGAAGACCTTCTTAGGCTTGACCAAGAAGCGCTTCAACGAGCGTGTCCAGCCCAGCATTATGGCACCAACCATGTGCGGAAATATGTACACAGCAAGCGTCTACAGTGGTCTCGTCAGCATCCTGAGCAACGTCGACAGCGCAACATTGCAAGGAAAGAGAATCGGCGTCTTCAGCTACGGCAGTGGATTGGCTGCCTCTTTATTCTCATTGAAGATCGTTGGCTCGACAGAGGCGATCGGCAAAACCCTCAACCTCAAGGACAGACTCGCAGCTCGACTAGTCGTTGCCCCAGAAGCTTACGATGCGGTAAGCCCCTCTAGCCCACATTTATAGCATAGTAAAACAAAACTAACAAAAGTCCCAGATGTGTGATCTCCGTAAGAAAGCCCATCTCCAAAAGAGCTATACACCAGCCGGTAGCTCAGAGACCATCGCTTCAGGTGTTTACTACCTCGAGAACATCGACGAGCTGTTCCGCCGTAAATACCAGATTAAGGCATAGATGAAAGCACGCGATCAAGCACGCATGGCGTTTTTGGTTACTCGTTCTATCGATTATTCGTGTCTCGCAAATAGAACGCATTGGTTTCTAGACCATGGGCACTAAGGCCATTCGTAGATGGTAGATTCAATCTGAAGGGATAGGTTCCGGTTCCGATTTCACGTAGTCTCAGGAGATGAGAAGATGAGATACTATTTTAATGGTGAATTGCATACAGTGCATAGAATAGCATAGAGAAAGCATTTGAAGGTCTAAATATTGGTACCGATGTGATGCGTTTTTATGTTGTAACATTGCTCTACCAGCTCCAGGCGATATCTTTCCGTATGCATTCCTGTGGACGCCTGACTCCATAGCTCAGAGATAAGATACCAATACAAATAAATCCTTGAGGGGGTTTACTCAGGGGTCACTGGCACAGCAACTCATCAGACATATATATATACATACATGAAGTCATCTAATGAGCTCTAGAATCTACCTATTAAGTACAATCATGATTAAATATCTACAGCTTCGACTTCTCCCCAGCCTTCTCACTCATCATCTGCACCCGCTCCCTCATCCTCTCAACTACAGCCGCATCACTACTCTCCCGCAACCCCACGACATCCACCTTCTCTTCTTTCAGCGACTTTGCTAAAATCTTCTTCCCGCTCGTCTCCACGCTCTTCCCATGCGTCACATCACTAATAAAGCTGGCCCAACTCTCAAAAAACACCCTCCCGCCAGGTAATCCATCCAGAAGCATAGCGAAACAATGCGGCATCGCCTCATACTCCTCAAACACGACCGGCACTTTCTGCTCCGCGGCTTTCGCCGCTACGTGTTTATCTTCATCGGTTAGCAGTTCCCTGCCAGTCTCGATATACAACGGACAACTGCCCTGCCAGCTCTTGGCTGCGAGCGGAGAGACTAGCGGATGCAGAAGCAGCGCGTCGTTGGCGTAGAGCGCGGAGCGGGCTGGCTCGACGGGCCACTACATCACGGGGAAGTTAGTTATTTCCTCTTCAAGGGTGTTTTGAGAATAGAGGAAGAGAAAGTGCCCGTTTTAAGAAGCATGTAAGGAGTGTTGGAGTACATGAGACGAAACATGATAGAAGGGGGTAGGATACAAGCAAAGAGCCTTTTTTACTTACTATGGTGTCTTTGGGGATTGGGGCGTTCGTACTGGGTGGAGGCAGGTAATCGAACGCAGCATTGTTTTCGCAGGACGGTGAGGAGTGCGTTACGTCGGCCCAGGGACTACAGACCGCTACGCCTGCTGGTAGCGGGACCTCGCGCTCCTCGCCGTCCCAGCGGATCGTTAGGCCTTGTCGGCGGAATGACAGCAGGGTTTGCAGGAGTACGAGACATAGGTTTCCGCCTGCGCTATCTCCGGCAAAGACGATGTGTTCTGGTTTGACGGCTTCGTGGAGTGAACCGGGGGGTGGGTAGAGCAGTGTGAAGTATGATACTAGAGCGTCGAGTAGAGCGGATGGGAAGGGGTTTTGAGGCGCGAGACGGTAGCGAATGGAGAAAACGCGGCCTTTGGTGAGCTTTGCTAGCCTTTTGCAGGTTGGACGGTGCGAGGAGGGGTCCATTAAGAAGAAAGCCCCGCCGTGGAAGTAGAGGACTGTTGTCGGAGAAGTGACTTCCTTCATCATCTCCGTATACTTTTGCTCCTCTGGGATTTTCAACTCTGCTGATTTCTCTGTTGCGCCTGCGCGGTAGCCCGTCCATTCTGCTTCCACAGGCATGAGTTCTGGCTCCTTGTATCCTCCTGCTGCCTCTCCCGGTTCTTTCAACGCCTCGATGGCTTGGAATAATGCTTGTCTGATATCATCTTCCTCTGGCCTGGGAATGGTGACTTTGCTAACCCATATCCTGCCTTTGATCCCGGGGTCTCTCAAGCTGAACTTTTGGAGCTTTCCGATAGATTGTGGTGGCGAATCGATCATGAATGATCGTAGAACGTCAATTATGAGCGCGGAGCGCAAGTCCCAGTATTTAGATTGTTCTGAGAAACCAAACGTATGGGACAAGGCCGTCTTACCCATCACAGGCACCTTGGGGATCAATGCCTTAAGCATCGCAACCTGTTTGTGATCCATATTGGGCGAGTGATGGCAAGGAAGTTCTTGGGGTGAGGAGGGGATGAGGACCGTATGAATTGGCAAGCTTTACTCAACCGTCATAAAGGTGAAAATCGGTCGTCCAATTCACTTGAAGAAAAGTAAAATCCCGAGAGGTTACTTATAAGTTATTTACATGCTATATACTAGGTAGTATTTGGGAAAGCTGGGCCGGACCGTCATCATGGGTCCTCATTTAGTCCGTACCGAGGCATTATCCTAGCCTGTGTTTGCATTTGGACAGGAATGCGATTGGCTCGAAGGACGATAAACACACTAGAAAACTTGACTAATAATTGCGGGTTTGCTTGACTGCTAGTACAGCATTGTAAAGTTGCATCTAGGAAAACAGTTTTATGAGAACGCTCGGAGATGGGTGTGAGATAGAGGAGATACTAGATGTAGGGTCCTCAGTCCTCAACCTTGTCAAATCGGGATACTGCCCCGCGACAATGATGTAATAATATAGGACAGTCTAAGAAAAGCACCTGTAGATATCCAGATTTCATTTCATTTTAACCATTGCTCTGTATAAATCACTATGTTTGGTTTTCCTTCGCCCCATCGTCCCAAAGTTGTTACAAACCAGCAGCGCCGTCATATGCAAGTGATATAAATTATATCCATCAGTGGCAGTACATGTTCATGTCGCCCCACTCGTCTCTTGTGATCCGCTTCCCGTTCCAGTAGTGGTGTTCACGGAACTTGAACTCTTATTTCCTGCTGCCAACTGCCATGATGGAATGGCGGCTCGCCCTGCTGGAGCCCCAGTGTTGAAAGGTGTCCCACTTCTACCTTGAAGCGACGCCACAGACTCGGTCCCTACACCATTACTAACAGAAGCTGGTTTTGGTGCGACACTTTCGCCAGTAGAGCCTCCGTTGACACTGCTACTAGGAGTCGCCGTTGTCATCGTCGGCGTAGGGTTAGAAGTAGCGGCAGCTGATGCTCGACCATAAGCCGACCCTGATGTTGCGGATCCAGATCCAGATGGGTTCATTCTTTGTCCCATCAACGTCTTTAAACTCTTCAACTCAGTATTAAGATCCTTCAGTCTCGAATCTGTTGTTTCCTTCTGTGCATCCATCGCCTTAGGTATTAAATCCTTAAGACCTCGTACTTCATCACCCATCCGCCGCGATTCATCCTCCCTTCTTCGGCTTGCAGATTTCAATTCGCCGATAACGGTCTCAACTTCTGTCAAAGCAACGTCTAATCGTTCCGTCCGGGTTTTCTCGGACGTTTTCAGTTCCTCGGTATCTTTTGACAGCTGGTCTAGAAGACCAAATGCTTTCTCGAACTGCTCGTCGATAGCTTGTTTATCTTGCTGTAGTTGTGGTTCCGTAGGTGGGGCGATTATTGGATAAACGTAGCGCTGTCTAATTTCAGTATCATGGATAGTATATGGATCTCTATCATCATACCTTTGCGACAAAATATAATCCGTATCCAACCCCTCCCATCACCGTTGCCATTATGAACCAGTCCCTCCAGTCTCTCTGCGGTACTTCTGGCGGTGGCGGCTGTTGCCATGCGTGTTGCTGATATCCTCCATATCCAGGCTGAGGCTGCCTTGCTACTTGTTGGGGCGCATAATTCGAAAGATTCGCTGGCGCCGGAGGGGATTCGCCGCCAGCTCTCGCAAGTGCTGTGTCAACCTCCTCCTGCGTTAGGTTCTTCGACTGCAAGAAAGCTACTCGGTTCTCGATTGGTGAGCCTGCAACACTTGGATCTTGAAGAACTGTGTATATACATTAGTACTACTACTAGAACCTCCTCTAAATGGACTCTCACATGTCACCTATGCGTGGTCAGAAATGTTCGAAGGGTAGAGGGGAAATAACTTACAGCAGACGAAATAAGATCTTCACGGATAGCCATAACTGAGTCGCTACCGTACGCTCATTTGCGTACTCCGGGTCAAATGGTTGTCCTGCGTTGCTGTCGCTCAATGATTTTGAAATCCGGGGAGTCTTTAACCTAGCGCGGCTGAAGATGGCCGGAACCGAGGCCTGTAAAACGACGACACGTGATGGTTTAAGTTGTGTTTACCTTCTTCTAATCGCGCCAATGAAAATCGCCGGCTTTGTTGACATCTGCAACACAACTTCACAAAATCTACAACATACTCTTCACTGTTTTGCATCGCACTCTCGCGCCTTTTCATGGTGTAAGCATATTGGATACTAATTCACGCGGTATCATACATTTTAACTCTTGACTTGCGACAAGTCTAGTATGTCGCAAGACACGGGTCTCTTTTCCGTGCGTCGACCCCGAGAGGTAAGTTCTGTCTATTCTCATACGCAGGCGCGCTCATGTCCCACGCTCTATCTTTCATGAGCTCATTATGTATAGACTCTCGGTGTCATGAGCTACAATACTAGCAGTATACCGCAGCCCGCATCTGCTATGAAGCGCTCGAACTCGATGTCTGGACAAAACTACAATGCGCCCTACACTGCCAGCCATGTGCGCTCAATGTCAAACTCGCGCGCCTCTCTGGCGCCATCGCGACCAAACCAACCTCAATTCCAGCGGTCATCTTCAGGTTCAAATCTGGCAGAACTCGGAATATCATCCGTAAAGCGCACCTCGTTCCAGAACAGCGGAGGACGCAAGAGTTATGCGCCGGCCGGTGTTAGTCGCGCTTCTGGGGAAGGTACTGAACGGAGGAGTAGTGTGTATAGATCAAGGACGTCTTCGAATGGACCTGTAGCACACCAGAGCTTCTTTCAGCAAGTACCACAGCCAGCTGGTGTTCCAAAGGACCCCCGGCCCCTCAGAGATCGATCGTATCAAACGCGAATTCAGCAAGAGCTTTTGGATTATATGCAGGGCAATAACTTCGATTTGGAGATGAAACACTCAATCACACAGAACTCGGTACGATCACCAACGCAAAAGGACTTCAATTATATGTTCCAGTGGCTATATCATCGAATTGACCCTAGCTATCGATTCCAGAGAAGTATCGATCAAGAAGTACCGCCCATCCTAGTTTCGCTGCGATATCCTTTCCAGAAGAGCATCACCAAAAGCCAACTTGCAGCTGTTGGATCAGCAAACTCGTGGCATCTCTTTCTTGGACTTTTGCATTGGATGATGCAACTTGCTCAGATGTTAGATGGATATGCTAGCAATCGATATGACGATGCATGCGCCGAGTCCGGTGTCGATGTAAGTAGCGATAAGATAACTTTTGACTTCTTGAGCTCTGCCTATCGGGAATGGCTGTCCATGGACGATGATGCTGGAGATGACGACCAGGAACGAGTACTCGCACCTCATATTGAAGCGATGGCGAGACAATTCGACAACGCAAACTCAAAATATCTTGACGATTTGCAAATGCTCGAAGGAGAACATCAACGCCTTGAGAAAGAACTCGAAACTCTCGAAAAGTCTGGATCAGACGTAGCCACTTTAGATCGTAACTTTAAGATCATGGAAGAAGACAAAGTCAAATTCGAAGAATTTGACAGTCGGATGAACCAGAAATCCGAAAAGTACGAGGCACGGATACAATTTTTACAAGATGAACTCGACAAGGTCATGCAAGAGCTGCAAGAAGCAGATGAAGAGCGGTCGAATTTGCAAAAGGCTGTTGATGACCAGGGAATCAATATGGCCGACATCGACAGAATGACTTCGGAAAGAGAAAGGCTGCAGAAGGGAATCGAGTCGACCTCTCAGAGATTGGAAGAGGCGAAGCGGAAGGTCAGCGAGAAAGAAATTGAAGCCAGCGGGAAGCTTGAGGAATTGGAACGCATGGTGGATAAGTACAATAGCCTTGGATACCAAATTGGGCTAATTCCATCGACTGCGCCGAACGCGAAGGGCAAAAACTATGAATTGCAAGTTATAGTCAACGAAGGACCCAAATTTTCGTCGTCACAGATGGGTACTTCCAGCAGTGGTGGTAATGCAGACAGTGACAGGCTGTTGGCTGATCCAGTAACGGGATACCAGCCTGCCCATATCCTAAACCTAGATCTACGGGGACAGGTCAAAGCTAGTTTCCTTGGTTTGAGGAAGGAGATCTCTGAGCGACGTACTGTTGCGATGGATGAGATGATGAAGCATCATGATTTGCTTGATGGTATCAAGGAGGCCATTGAAGACAAGCGGGGCGAGGTCGAGGCATTGGAGCACAGAGTTAGAGCTGCAGAGGAAGAATATGAGAAGACCAAAGAAGTAAGCAAACCAAGCCTCTATGTTCTCAGCCACGATTTTAACCAGCAAATAGGTTACTACGACCCAGAAACTAGCCTCCGATACTCAGATCGAGAAGATGGAGAAGGAGTTAGCTAAGATGAGGGCCGGTCTCACAGAATCTGTGCAGTTGATGGAACAGCGTGAAATGAACACGAACATCGAGTAGGTGGCATTCTCCAAGCTGCAAACCCACATATCTAATATTTGCAGATACGAACAACTTTCTCTCAAGGCCAATGCACTCCGGGAAGAATTGCATACAGAAATCGAGAAGATGCTTAATGATATCATTAAGTTCAAGGTTCACGTGCAGAAAAACCTCGAGGACTACGAAGGCTTTGTTTCGGATGAGGTTGAGCTTGAGCTTGGAGGTGATGAGGTGAGGGAGGACACTCAAGATGTAGACATGAGATAGGGAGGTGGACTGGTTGGCTCTTGTTGTGATTTTTTGGGCCTTGTTCGTGTAGATTGCGGGGCGTAGAGCTTGGTATACCTGGGGGCGGCGAGGCGTTGCTGAGTTTGATGCCATGAGGATCTTGGATTGTGTTTTCTTGCCGTCGAGGAAAGGAATTGTTTATAATGAATTCATGACTGTTTGCTGCGTATCGACAAGACCTTTGATGTTTCTTGGTACTATTATGTGAGGACGGCATGTAGATTGATCTTACAGCACGCGACTATAAGATGTTGCAAGATACAGAAAGAAGACGTGACGTTTGAATAATGGCAAGTATCATTATGGAAGAGCAGCTAGATGGTAAAAGGGGGATACAAGAGGTATTATTATAGCGATCTCTCTGTTTATGATTGAAACAGATTTCTTCCACTCGAAAGTCTTGGAATCTCTATTAGAAGTATCGGCGAACTATTTACAGCTTTCGTATAGGATCTGAGAATAGAGATTAGTAGGAAATTAATCTCCGGCATCTCGCCCTTTTGTTTACATTTGCCTGACTTGATCAATTGTATGACAGTCAAGGTCGTGAGGAAATGCCGGCGTTGTACAGCATGAAGATGCAAGAGAAATAAACAAACAACGAAGGGAAACAATCACACCCCCCTCATGAGGCTGGTAGTGGTCAGTCACGTGGGGGAACTGCTAGCCAATCATTCGGTTCGCCTCACGATCTCTTCCGCCAAGCCAAGCTCCAAGTCCGCCTTGTCCTTGTCTTTGACTTCTCCACAACCAGGCCCGGGTTTGAAACACCACACCTCCTCGTCCAACGCGCATCTATACCCCCCTACTCCCATTGCCATCAACAGTGGTGATAGACGGCAGACCTAGTTGCTATTACCTATTAACGTGCGCCTTTTCTGGATTTCATCTTCGCGCCTAATACTGATCCACGTCAACAGCTCATCATGACGGAAGTTTCTTCTACCAGGTTGTACTTGGGCAACCTCCCTCGCAACGGTAAGCAGACTTCATCAGAACCATGATGCTGCTTTGCACTGCGCATATATGCCAATGCTATCTGGAGACCCTGAGGCTAATCAATCCCAACAGCTACCAAGGCGGATGTCGAGGCCCACTTCAACACTCATGGCACTGGCGAGATCACCGAGATCAAGCTCATGAATGGCTTTGGATTCATCGAATACAAGGATGCTATGGACGCGCGAGATGTGGTTCCCGGTACGGCCTCATCAACACTCCCCACAATGGACCCCAAATGCTCATACTTTGTATAGCCTTCCACGGCTCGGACTTCATGGGCGAGCGCTTGACTGTTCAGTTTGCGCGTGGCACTCGTAATCGTGATGCTTTTGCCAATACTGAACGTACTGCCCCTCGTCCAAGACGCACTCCGCATCGCATGCAGATATCTGGACTTCCAGGTGAAACCAGCTGGCAGGTCTGTTTCCCCCGTTCCTTCAAGACCCGGACTCTTGGATCTCAAATCTTGCTATTTGGACTCTGAGAAACTTGAATATTTGGACGCCTTCATTGTACTCAGACCGTTCTTCGGCACCCTTTTCTTTCGTCCAGGCCGGTATCATGCCCTGTTATGGTAATAGCCATTGCAGCGTGTTAGTGCATTAGCCTGAGCAGCCTTGGACTAGGAGGACTGTATCCCCCTGTATCTGGCCTTTCTTATCCTGTCTCGACTTCTTTCTGTTTATTCCACCCCTAGCGTAAATGGACAGCAATCACTTTGCACAGGAAGGAGCTCAGCCTTTGGACCATGCATTACTCTCAGGATATTTTGTACTGGCTACTATTTGGATGGCAACAACCAATGACCAAGGCATCTCTGCACGTCAACATACCTGGACAACGACTTACATGGATTCTGGATTTAGGACCTCAAAGATTTCGCCCGTCAATCCAGCCTTGACGTTGTCTACTCAGAGACCGGGCGTGACCGTGACGGCAAAGGGTCAGCAACTCCTCGACGATTGATGGATTACTTTACTAATACTAGTAAAGAAGCTTTGTTGAATTCGAGACCGCTGCGGACCTTAAAACCGCAGTGGAGAAGCTCGATGGTCGCGAATTTAAGGGTGTTCGTGTAACTTGTATTGCAGACGTACGTCGCACACATCATCAGTTTCTCGTCTCTACTAATGTTCTATAGACTCAGCCGGACATCCCCCGCGATCGGGCTCGATCCCGATCCCCAGCTCGCCGACCTAACCCGGATGATTATGACCGCCGTGGTCCATCTCGTGGATACAGCCCCCGCCGCGAAGGATATCGTGACAGAAGCCCACCTCGTCGTGGCTACTACGAGGACGACCGTCGCGGCTACCGTTCACCTCCAAGAGCTCGTGGCCCCGTTGATGATTATCCACCTCCTCGTCGATTTGATGACCCATATCGACGTGATTACCCTCCTGACCCATATGTCAATGGCCATGGCAGACCTCCTCCACGGGACTACCCACCAAGGGATTATCCGCCAAGGGAGCGCCGGGGATACGCTGACGACTATCCTCCTGCTCGCTACTGGTAAATTATCCCTCTAGACTCTGTACTTTTCATCGTTTCGTTCCCCGCTTACATACAATAGAGTTAACACCCGGGACTGGATAGAATACGTTTGACTGTGAAATCGGTGTTCGCAGAAGTCCACGTGTGGGAATCATGATGAAAGATGGTGACACGGTCTCGGATTTTACTGGTTACAATGATTTCTTTTCAAAAGTCAAATGCTTGATAGTTGGCCATTTACAGCTAGCATGGAAGTGTACAACAAAGTGGTGGCAAGGTTTCATGTGTGATTTATATCAGCCACTACTTGTATGATCGAATGCCAGTTACTCGCAATGATTATATTTCTGTGATTCTTGTTCGCATGATATACAGTTGTAGCTATCTAAGTGAGCTTATGAGTGGAGTCAGTGTCGGTAAGTTTCGCCGACATACCGCTCACAGCCCATTCTCATGTTCAGAATAACTCCAGAAAACCGACTCCACCTGTGACGCCCCATAATGTAATTAGAAATCCCTGCTTTCCCCAATATGACAAACATCAAAGACTCCTTCCTCTGGCAAACCTTTCCTCGCCAAAGCCTTCTTTAATAACAATGGTGGCTCCAATATCTCCTCTGAAGTCAACACCCACGTTCCCCAATGAATACCCATCGCCCTCTTACACTTCGTATCCACAAATATGTTCACACTATCAAACGGGTTCGCATGCATCGAACTCATGATATGCCTCGGATCATACGCTCCTATAGGGATCAGCCCTAAATCAAACGGCCCACGGAATTCTCCAATTTGAGCAAAAGCTGGACAGCTCGGCAGATGTGCGAAGTCTTCTGAATAATCGTCTACGCCTTTTGGAACTTCGGGCACCGACCGGTAGCCTGTATCTCCGCCAAACCAGACGGATTTACCGCCGGACGAAACGGCCCAGGATGCCCAGAGCGTGCAGCCTTTATCGAACGCCGTCCGCGCTGAAGTGTGTTGGCAGGGCAGACAAGATATACGTGCTGTGATGTCTTGGCCTGTGCTTGAAAGAGGGGCTGCAGAGGAAGCAGAAGCTGTTGAGATGCGCTTCTCGCCCGTAGAAGGAGATAGTGTAATGTCGACATCCTGCCACCAATCCAGTTCCTGCACATTCGTAATTCCGCTATTATTAAACCATTTCTTCAATCCCAGCGGCACCATGAACAGGGCATTCGGATGATGTTTCTGTAGTTCCAGGACCGTAGGATGGGACAGGTGGTCGTAGTGCGAGTGGCTTATTACTACGACGTCTACGATGGGGGGATCATGGATTTGGCAGGGAATCGCGGTGTACCGTTTCGGGCCCATGAAGGACAAGGGACTACAGCGTTCTTCAAAAACGGGGTCGAAGAGGACGCGCAGGCCAGAGGGGTATTCGACGTAGTAGCAGGCGTGGCCGAGCCAGGTTGCGCGTAGGGCTTGGGAGCCGGAGCGGGAGGCGAGGAAGGTTGGCGTGTGTACTTCGACGTGTGGAGGGGTGGTATCTGGCCATTTCGTCTTTCCTGTAATGATACGCCTGGGGTGTATTAGTTGGTGTTGAGATTGAAGTCTGGAGAGGGGAAAGGGAGGATATTGGGGTGCTTTGGGAGCCCGGGGCCAACTGCATAGCAACTGGTCTCTTGTACAAGGCGGATGGACAATAGTAAATCTTTCAAGCTCACTCACCAAGCCATGCCAGTTGTAACTTTTAACGGATTCTGCTCTACGCAAGAGTCCCATGGGTTTCTGAAGCCCTTCCCATCCTTCAAATGATGCGCCTTGTCCTTTGTTTCCTCCGGTACAGCACTCAGCGCCGTAGGAGCCGTCATGGTCGCGTACATGACCACAGCCGTCATTCCGGAAGACATAGCTCTTGTCTGAAGAGTAGTCGAGGACTTGTATCCTGGCTTATGGGGACGACGCTGGAGGAGAGATCGAAAGAATGCACGCATTGGTAAAGACTGAGAAATACAGAAGGAAAGATGAAGGGTTTTATGAAAGGAAGGGAGGAACAATGAGCCGGACTAAATCTACTCTGATTGTACGTAAGGCGTGTCAAGAAAATAGGTTGACATTGAACGCGAATGCGCGAATGCGAAATCCAAGCCCATCATCCCAAATAGGATGTGTTCGGGTGCGGACTTAAAGAAAGCCTGGTGTGACCGGACTCCCGGCAGAATAATTAGGCCTTTTCGGTGAGGACGGGGACGGGTCAGGATATACAAAGTAAGGTATTGGTAGGAGGGTCGCCCTTACTGGCGAATGGTAGGTTATGAGGTGAGGACGCGTATCTACAATATATATACTTTTTGGAAATCAAAGTGGAGCGCTTGCTGAGAAATTGGAAGTCTCCGTGATTTATTGTATTAGTGAACCATCATATGAACTTATAAAGAGCGGATCTCCCCCAAGTGAGTCCTCAAACTTCCCATCTTCTTTCTTTTGGTCTCTATGAAAAATGTATTGTTATGATTATTGCCATTCCCATTCTGGTACCGATGGAGATCGTTCCACTTTCTAGAATTATCAGACCAGTCAGTTCTCGGAATTCTATCGAAGGTCTTCCTTCGAGGCTTATCAAGTCACCAACAGCACTCAAGATGACAAATTACAACTTTCCATATCCGCAGCATTATTTCTCAATGAAATACATGCAGTATTTCTTTTGTCTTCAGTAAGGAATAATGACCTCATGATAGATTGACAACCCCCTGTGGTCATAGCTCCAAGCTATACGGACTAAGGAGTCTTATGCATTGATTTCAAAGCAGTTGGAATGCGTTTAGTTCCAGAAGAGCGAGCTCTTTCGTAAGCTAGGAATCGCATCTCTATAAGCACTTTTCTCTTCACTTGTATATATAATGTTCAAAACACCCTTCAATCGTTTATCCCAAACCTCCGCTCATTTCATAAAAACAACAATTTCACGCAACATGTCCTCAGCACGGCCAACAGGCTTAATCGCCAAATCCGGCATCGAGCTCCTTACTTTCGGAACCCCCAATGGCCACAAAGCTTCAATTCTGCTCGAGGAGCTGAAGGAGGCCTATGGCAAGGATTACACATTTCAAAGCATCAATATTATGGAAAACATTCAAAAGGAGCCGTGGTTCACTGAAATCTGTCCCAATGGCAGGATACCGGCCATTGTTGACCACGACCGTAAGGATTTTGCCGTCTTTGAGGGGGCTGCCATCTTGGCGTATCTTACGAGGCATTATGATCCGGATCATAAATTTAGTTTCGCGGATGAGGATGATTATAGTAGAGCAGAGCAGTGGATTGCTTGGCAGCATGGAGGTCTTGTAAGTACCAAAACCCTGAATGTATATGAGATGGCACGTGCTGTTACAACATCTCATCCCAAGTGGGTGATTTCAAGTAAGATCAGAGGGTCTGAGAACTCGAAGTACTTGGATGAGCTCGGACTTGGAATCGGTGATTTGTGCTTGAAAAGACCCGAATCACTTCCATAGAAGGGATGTTGTAGTATCTCACAAACCACCACTAGAACCTTTATCTCAACCTCAAGTCCAAGAAGTTCGTGCTGATATCAACCAGGGACCAATGCAAGGCCAAGCCAACCACTTCTACCGTATAATCAAAGATAGAATCCCCTACCCAACCCAGCGCTACGTCGGCGAAGCCGAACGTCTCTACGGCGTCCTGGACATCCAGCTCAAAGACCGCGACTACATTGTTGGGCCGGGCCGCGGAAAGTACTCCATCGCCGACATCGCCTCGTTCGGCTGGGTCAACGTCTCGTACTTCGCCGGCATCGACCTCGACCAGTTCCCCAATGTCCAGAGATGGTGGAAGGCGATTTCCCAGCGTCCTGCTGTGAGGAAGGGGACTCAGATTCCGTCCAAGAGCCAGGTTGTTAATGAGGCTATTCCGGAACGCCTTGAGACGGATCCGGAGTTTAAGGCGAAGGATGAGGAGGTGAAGAAGGCGGGTGCGGAGGCTAAGAAGCTGTTTAATTACAAGTTTTCTGCTCCGTAGAGAGGTCGTGGGAAAGCGTAGAATGGGATAAGATGAGGGCTTTTTGAAAAGTCCTTCATTGCCTAAAGAGTGTTACTGGCGTCAGCACGAGTATTGTTTGCTGAAAACAGCGCGATGTACCTTGATTGCGATACTCCGCAGCGTTGTAGACTTCACTCAAACCAATAGATCATATCACAATAGAGCTTTTCAAACCCCTTTGTTTCTCCCACAATCAAAACCCCGCCCCTCTCAAACCATTGCAATCTGTCAACTACTATTAAAGGCGTCTCTAATTCCTCATATATCCCTCCCATAGATAGCACTACAGACTTGGTTCTCGTCCCAGGCCGGCTTGTGTGTAATTAAAAAAAGATATCAACCAACTCGTAGCTCTACTCTTCGGCGTTTGAGGACTGGAGCAGGTTGAGGATGATTGATCATGCTGGCAATCGCTATTTAGGGTAAAGTCATCATTAGGAAAACAAATGACAGAAAGTTTAGGGTCATCAAGTCCACTTGTTTACATGGTTTACGGCAAGAATTTGAGGGGTGGAAATTGGTGGTAGCCTGGTGAGCCGAGTCAAAAGGAACATATGTTTGCCCCTCATTACTCAACACCCCACCTGACAAATAGTTTCAAGGAGCACTGGCCCATTGTCTTGCGGGGAATAAGCTTGTGACAGTGAACTCGCCCCGCCCTTCAAACCCAAAATTACCAATAGGTCAATTCAACATGTATTTTCTAATGTGAGATCAATTCGGGCTAGACTACCCTAATCTTCCATCTACCGCTGCTTTTATACCATGCTGAACCACAAGATCAAGATTGCAAGGCCAGATGTAGGAAAGTCGTAGGCCGGGAACACGCGCGCGAAAAGAGAAAAGTCCTATGGCATCCACGCCGCCAAGAGGCAAATGCAGAAGCCAGAGGAACCGGGGGAGCCTGATTCATCGTACAAATACCACCCTTGCGCCTCTTATGAAAGTGGATTGCCGAAGACACAAGAATGTATGAGATGGAGTACCAATGATTGATATGGAGGAGAGCTTTGTGATATGGACGTTTGATTGTTCTGGGGGAAGCTGGAGACAATCTCGATTGGTGTTGTAGGAAGCCAAATTTACTGATGACCAGCCTTTCGGAGGGAGCTTGCGAGCCATTCCAATCCTTCGTAAAGACCATCTCCGGAGGTAGCGCAGGTGGATTGAATATACTGTTGAAGATTAGTGATGTATACGAAGGGGCTTCGCAAGATATGGACTTACCCATCCACGCTGTCTCAAGCTGTGAAGACCCAGTTTGTCTGTGATCTCGGCGGCGTTCATGGCATTCTATAACCGATTAGCGTCTGCAGACTTGATACGAAAATTCTGATGCTTACTGGCAAATCTTGTTTGTTGGCGAAAACCAAAAGAATAGCATCCCTCAGCTCATCCTCGTTCAACATACGTTGCAGCTCCTCTCGAGCCTCAACAACACGATCACGATCGTTGCTATCAACAACGAAGATGATACCCTGGGTGTTCTGGAAGTAATGTCTCCACAGAGGTCTAATCTTGTCCTGTCCACCAACATCCCATACGGTGAATTGAATGTTCTTGTACTCGACAGTCTCAACGTTGAATCCTGTTTTGAATTAATGGCGTCCTCGGATGGTCATGTTGCGGTTCGCAGAGTGTAGAGCATACCAATTGTTGGGATAGTTGTGACAATTTCACCAAGCTTCAGCTTGTAGAGAATAGTAGTCTTTCCGGCAGCATCCAAACCAACCATCAAAATTCTCATCTCCTTCTTTCCCCAGAGACGGTCGAAGATTTTGGAGAATGTAAGACCCATGATTGCGGTGTAGGGTGGTGGTTGTGAGGGAGGTTGAGTAGGGTTCGCTCTTGCGTGAGATTAAGTCTACCAAAACAAGGGATTAGCCAAGCGCGATTAGAAGCGGATCCGATAGCAATATATGCAGATCGCAGCAGAGGACAGATTATTCAGTCTGGCGGTGACCGAGAAAAAGTTCCGGACGAAATAGGCTGCCATGAACGGGACATAGCGGTATCGTATGCTGAGAGTTGCCCGCCTGTTGCAGACCTGACTGAGCATGCGCTCCTGCGGCTGTCGAATCGCCACCAACGCATCGATATGGGGCCGTACAGCAACGAGGAAAAGGGTGCGGAATAGGCAGAGCTACTTACATTCTTGCTCGGTCGACACTGAGCAGGTGGAGGTGGAGTTAGATGTCGAGGGATTAGCGAGTCGTGATAGTCGGTAAGATGGGGTTGGCAGAGGTGGTGAGAAGGACACTTTGAGTGCGGCCTCTCAGAATCATATGGCAGCTAGTCCTATAGGGGTAAACGCCTAGCGCATGATTGGACGCGAACAAGAAAGTCGTCCCCTTTTCGCATGGACAGCTGGCTTGTGAAGCACGTCCAAGGGGTGAATACCTTCTTTTTGAACAACACACCAACGACAATTTCGCGATCTTCTTTGAATTCAACGTGCAATTAGCCCTCAACAACCCCAACATGCGCTTTTCTACCTCTTCCGTCCTGCTGGCGGCAAGCAGTCTGCTAGGAGCTGCTCTCGCACACAATATCCAGCTGGCGGCGCATGGGAGGGAATGCTTCCACGAGATGCTGCACTCAGACGACAAGATGACCGTTACCTTCCAGGTTGGCGACAGGGAATTTGGCAGTGCTGGCAATTTAGATATCGACTTCTGGGTCCGCCTCTCCAAGAGAGTTTATTCCTTCAGTGGCTGATTTTATGGTAGATCCAAAACCCATCCAACGGCTACGAGTCCCACGAACGGTCAGTATCGAATGGTGACCATTCTTTCACAGCTAAGCACGACGGCAAATACACGTACTGCTTCAGCAATGAGCACTGGTCAGCATCAAGCAAGGATGTTTCCTTCAATGTGCACGGCATAGTCTACGTTCCAGAGGCAGAAGCGCCATCAGACCCATTAGAGGCCGAAGGTAGGGTCTATTCCTTGAACAGCCCATACATATACTAATTGGTGGTGGTTCTAGTCCGACAACTATCTGAGCTCCTCTCCCAAGTCAAGGACGAACAATCATATATCGTAATCCGAGAACGAACCCACCGAAATACAGCAGAGAGCACAAACGGCAGAGTCAAATGGTGGAGTATGTTCCAAATAGGGGTCCTGGTTGGAGAAGGTATCTTCCAGGTCTGGTGGTTGAAAAGATTTTTCGAGGTAGGCAAGAACAGTGCCGAGCGCTTTGGAGTCCTGAGCCGGTAGCTGATTGACTATACAGGTCAAACGGGTAGTGTAAGATGATAGTACGACATAAGGGTTTGGCTCAATGATAATTCGGCGCAAAAGGAATGCTGAGCGGTAGCAAAGCTTTAGAATTGTGGAAGTGATACACCGGGTTACGAGCGCCTCGGAAAGGCCATTAGTTGTACTTTACCTCCGATAATGCAACGTCCGATTCTTCAAAGTTTTCCAGGGTCGATACAACTAATTCGAGGAAGGGTCTCTCGCCTTCGTACCCCGGGTCTCTCGCCAGCCCGACTTCTAGCGGGTACGTGAGGTTCTCAGAAGGGTTGGATTAACACCTCAGTACCTTAATGTGCACTTTTGGGACCCTTGGATTAATATTTCAATTTGAGTTTTGGGGGGCTTGCGGAAGCTTTGAGTAAGTCCAAGCAAGAGCCATTAAGTCGGGATATCTTCCGAATTCGAAATAGGATTCTAGCAATACTTACATTATAGCTAACGGTCACCCTGGCGCTGCGAACGCTTTTTTTACCGGCACTGTAGCGCCGTAGCTACCTGTAGGTATTTAACGATCGCTCTGTGCAGCCATTTGAAGGGTCCTTGTGGTAGCCCACTAAAACCCCAGATCTCCCGAACCTAATCTTCGCTCGTCCATTTAGAAAACATCTCCACTTCGCAAAATGTTTTGCAACACAAGAGCAAAACACCACAACGACATCTACGCCCAAGAGAAACTCGAGATGAGTGGTGAATTGCAGCTCTATTGGCTGGGTAAAAGAGAAATCCAAGCCCGTGTCTCTGGATTTGCTGCCATAATGAGCCAGCCAACTTTGGTCAGACAGCCTAAAGGAAACCTCGTTTTCGTATACTCAATCCCTGGAGGATTTCAAGCCGTGAAACCATAAAAGCTTGGTGCAGCACGAGAAATCTCATCAATACACTCAACTACCCGTATTGCAGCGTTGTTTCAGCTTTCAACAGCCTTCGCTGTTGCTATTGGTCGATGGGCAAGTAGCTACAAGTGAATGAATGGTCGCACCTTCCATTGTCGGATGTAACCCACGCCGAAAACTGTTCCCGATATAATTCTGGATGGCGGTCGTTCTTCCTCTTCATTGAAATGAACCAACTGGAGTCATGCGAGTTACTATGAAGTGTTGACATATAAAACCGTTCCCCAGGTTTTAGAAATCAAGCCATCCCATCCCTTCTGGGACTTCACAGATCATCTGTTCTGTCTCAAGCACGACGTACAGGGATCACCTCCAGTCATGTCAGCCTCAGCGTCAAAAGAAGCTTTCGCATCGGGAAATACCCTTACGCCAACCCATGTTCCTGCAACAGCCTCATCGCATGACCCGAACCATAATTCGACTTTCGGGAGCTCTTTCCTACATGGACATCCTTCTTCGCCAGTGCTTGAGAATGTTTCAGTTCTAGAAGAGGTCGGATTCGTCGCCGATTCGCCTGATATACATAATCATGCCGCCACTGCTTCGAAACATCATTCGATCCTAGAAGCTCAAGAAAAGGGCCAAATGGAAGTTCATGAATAGAAGGCCTCTGCCATTGATACTGAGACGCCTGTAGTGCAGAAAGATGTTACGAAAGGCGTAAAGGAATCTGGAGCAGAAGGGGAGTCCGATAATGAGATCGTCTATCCTGGTGGCCTTAAACTGGGCCTCTTGACTTTCGGGCTCTGCGTGGCTACGTTTGTGGTTGCATTGGGTAAGTGGTATTCCAGCCTTTGCATCTGATCCAGTTTCAAAAAGCACCATTCCTCTTTCTTGTAGGGGTTCTTCAACTCGTGGCCTTTACTGATCCAATTTTAGACAACACTATTCTTGCTACGGCCATTCCCAAGATTACAACGGTTTTTCCAAATTCACTGAAGGATGTAGGATGGTATGGATCATCATACCTACTCACCAATACAGCACTACAACCTTCCTTCGGTCGAATCTACACCTACTTCGATGTCAAGAGCACTTTCTTGTTCGCATTATGCCTGTTCGAAGTGGGCTCCATCGTATGTGCTGCAGCAAAGAACTCAGTCATGCTCATCATTGGACGTGCTATAGCCGGCGCTGGAGCAAGTGCACTCTTTTCTGGTTCCATGAATATCCTCGGTTTCACTGTCCCATTGCACAAGCGGCCGCTGTACATTGCCTGCATCTCAAGCATGTTTGGTATTTCTTCTGTGGTTGGGCCGCTTCTAGGAGGTGCTTTCACAGATAATTTATCGTGGAGGTGGTGTTTTTGGGTAAGCTATCAATAACTATTCTCCTCTGCACGTAAGAACTTACTGACATAAATACTCTAGATCAACTTGCCTATTGGAGCTATTGCTATTATAACTGTTGCGATATTCTTTAAGTCGCCAAGACGGATGGCGAACAATATGACAGTAAAGCAAAATATTCTGGAAATTGATCTTCTTGGAGCCTTGCTTCTCATATGTTCTATTGTGTGTTTACTATTGGCCCTGCAGTGGGGCGGCACCACTTACCCTTGGAAGAACTCGAAAGTGTGGGGCTGCATTGTTGGGTTTGGTCTTATAATCATCCTCTTCGTTGCCCAACAATTCCGTCGTGGCGATCGGGCTACCATCCCTCCGAGAATTTTTGGGCAAAGGACTGTGTTGTTTTCTAGCCTCTATTCGTGCTTCCTGTCGATGGGACTCTATGTACATAACTAATCACCCACACTCTTCAAGAATCTTGCTAACATTCCCTAGGTACACATCTACTTCCTACCCTTCTACTTCCAAGCAGTCAAGGGTACAACAGCCGAGGGGTCTGGCATAAGAACTATACCGTACCTCGCGTCAATAATCCTCAGTTCCATCGTCGTCGGTGCCGGAATAACTGCCATCGGTGTGTACAAGCCCTTCATGATCGTCGGCTCCGCGATCTTCACCATAGGCTGCGGAACCATCTACCTCCTCAACGTTCACTCTGGCGCAGGCGAATGGATCGGCTACCAGCTACTATCCGGCTTCGGCGCCGGCGCAGGCGTACAGATCCCTTTCATCGCCGTGCAAGTCGTGCTCAGCGAGAGAGACATGCCTACGGGTAATGCCATCGCTATTTTCTTCAATTCGCTCGGTGGCGCTATTTCGATTTCTGTTGCGGAGGCTGTGTTTTCGAATGGCTTGTATAAGAACATTCCGAAATACGCGCCGGATATTCCTGTGAGTGTTGTTGTTAATGCCGGAGCGTCGAGTCTGAGGAAGGCGGTTGAGAAGATTAATCCACTGAGTTTGGCGGGGGTGTTGCGGGGGTATATGTTGGCACTTAATCAGGCTTTCGTAATTTCGATTGCGGTTGGGGGGGTTGCCACTTTTGCTGCTTGTTTTGTGGAGTGGAAGAGTGTTAAGGGGAAGAAGATCTTGCATGGTGGGGCTGCGTAGAGTGGGATGATTGCAATATGTGTTATAGTAGCTATAGTATAATTGCAGAAATCCTATAGAATACATACGCCTTGTTCTTAGAGCAAAAAAGAGCTGTCATGAGATATTATTGTCATGTGAAGAATTCGTGAGACGATAAAGTTTATACCTAAAGGAGTGGATACTATACTATACAGATATGATATAACTCGAAGTTTTCTAACCAAAATGGAGATGCGCCATCCATGTATGCTACTAAAATGCTTCAAACCCCCAACAAATTTTCCCTTCCTCTAAAGCAAGGCGCCCAATTACTCCTCTATTTAGCAAGAACATCCAGCCCATCGCCCTCCTCATTAATACTCACAACTGCATGATCGCCACTCTTCACCTCGCCCCTAATAATTTTATCCGCCAACCCATTCCCAATCTGCTTCGCAATAAGCCTATTAAGCGGCCTAGCTCCAAATCTCGGATCGTAACCGCGCTCAGCCAGCCACTCGCGCACTTTGTCGTCGACTTCAAGGACGATGCGGCGGTCATCGAGTCGGGTTTGTAGTTCTTTGAGGCGGATGTCGACGATGTCTCGAAGGGCATCGGTGGAGAGGCGCTTGAAGACGATGAATTCGTCGATGCGGTTGAGGAACTCGGGGGCATCTGAAGGAATCATGTTAGTATATATATTTGACCTTGGAATAAGATAAGCTGCGGTAAGAGCTTACAGTTTTGCGCAACTACGTCCATGACGGCGTTTCGAACCTTGGGTGCTATGTCTCCGTTTGCTTCTTCGTGGTATGGATGGAGTGGATCATTGCCAACGAGGATATCGGCTCCTAGGTTGGATGTGAATACGATTAATGTGTTGGTGAAGTCGATTTTGTGGCCTTGGGCGTCGGTCAGGAAGCCCTCGTCTAGGACTTGGAGGAGAAGGGCGGAGATGTCTCGGTGGGCTTTCTCGAACTCATCGAATAATAGTACACAGTATGGCTTACGCCTTACAGCTTCAGTCAGTTGACCAGCGTCGTCATATCCAACATACCCAGCCGGGCTGCCAATCAATCGAGATATTGTGTGCTTCTCTTGGAACTCGCTCATGTCGAATCGAACAACAGCAGATTCGGTTGAAAATAGAAAGTTCGCCATTTTCTTGCAAAGTTCCGTCTTTCCAACACCAGTAGGTCCAAGGAAGAAGAAAGAAGCTAGAGGTCGTCGCTCTCCATTTAAGCCAGCTCGTTGCATTCTGACAGCATTCGCAACTGCTTTGAGAGCTTCATCTTGACCTCGAACGGACTCGCGGAGGGTATCTTCCATGTTGATCAGCTTCTCAGCGTGGCCGGAAGTGAGCTTCGTGATGGGAATGCCGGTCACTCGTGATACAACAGATGCAATGTCATCTGCCGAGACACTTTCGTGGATTAACGTCCCATCTCCAGTTGCTTCGCCTTCTTTGGGAAGCTTCTCTTCTAATGCTGGAATGATTGAGTATCTCAATTCTCCTGCACGACCAAAGTTGTTCTCGCGCTATAGAAATATTAGCATGTGGAGTTCCAGCAGGATTCGAAGAATTAATTACCTGTGCCTGATCTAGCTCAATCCGAGCCTTTTCCAGATCCTCCTTCGTCTTTTTAACGCGTTCGATGATGGCCCGCTCCGTCTCCCATTTCTCGGTCAATGTTTTCGCCTCATCCTGACACGCCTTCAAATCAGCTTGTAGCTTTTCCCGCCTTTCCCGACTTGGAACATCGGTTTCTTTGCGTAAGCTTTCAAGCTCAATTTGAATAGTCATTATCCGCTGATCTAGACGCATTATATCTTCTGGCTTGCTCTCTTGTTGTAATCTTAGAGCACTGGCCGCTTCGTCCATCAAATCGATGGCCTTGTCAGGTAGGAATCTGTCGGTAATGTATCGATTGCTGTAAGTCGCGGCAGCAACAAGTGCTTGGTCTGTGATTCTTACACCATGATGTACTTCGTACTTTTCCTTGATACCTCTCAGAATACTGATGGTATCTTGGATTGTAGGTTCGTCGACTTGGATTGGTTGAAACCTTCGGGCCAAAGCGACATCCTTCTCGATTGCCCTGTATTCATTCAGGGTAGTAGCACCACAGCACTGAAGTTCGCCTCTAGAAAGTGCAGGCTTTAAGAGATTACTAGCATCAATGCTGCCTTCCGATTTGCCCAGTCCTAGAAGTGTGTGTAACTCATCGACGAAAAGGATTACCCCTCCGTGGGCTTCTTGGACCTCATTCAGCACCTTTTTTAATCTCTCCTCGAAGTCGCCGCGAAACTTGGCTCCCGCGATAAGTTGTCCAAGATCGAGGGAAATGACTCTCTTGTCTTTAACGCTCTCCGGGACGTCGCCCCTAACAATTCGCTGCGCGAGACCTTCTAAAATAGCAGTCTTCCCAGTACCAGCAGACCTATAATGAGAAAGGTCCGTTAGCATTAATCCAAGAATAATATAAGATTAAATTGACTATTGATAAGGAGATCGCGGAATATAAGATGAATGTATCCCAAACTGGGGTGAAGGGGGGGGGGGTTCGTATGGACATTCTAGGCGGAGGAACCTTTATAGGAAACTCTGACTTGCCCAGTAAGTGGATCTAAAAATCCAAAGAGTCCTTTGATCGCCCACTTCAATAGTACCACCCATTTGTTCATATGGCAATACTGTATGTCATGGAAGGAAAATCATACACCAATTCCAATAACACCAGTAAAGAAGAGATATTGACTTTACCGAGTAAATCACTTACCCAATCAAAACAGGGTTATTTTTAGTTCTCCGGGACAGAACTTGAATCGTCCTATGAATCTCTGCATCTCTTCCAATGACAGGATCAAGCTTTCCATCCTTCGCCCGAGCAGTCAAGTCGACTCCATATTCTTCCAATGCCGACTTTTCTTCCCCTCCACCCCCCATGTCCATTCGATGGGTTCCCCCCGGGGGATGTGGTCCTCGACTGGCATATGTGCGAACGGCGGTAATGGGGGCAAGATGTCGTGTTGCAGCATTGAGGCTATTGCGAAGCGTAAAGGAGGCAAGAAGTGGTCCATTCCGACTTTGGAGTGTTCTATTGGTAACTCCAGCTATGCGCCGGGAAGGTATTTGGGCTTGTCTTAGAAACATTTTGATTTCTGTAGAGTTTGTTATTGCAATGAGTGTAAAAAGGAGACAATAAATAGAAAAGACATCTCCAGAATTTAAAGGCGGAAAGACAAGATATGTCACCGTGGTCTGATGCTCTCTCTCGAATCGTCAAGCTGTTTCTCGAACTCGCCGCGCGGGGCGCTAATTACGCTAATTCCATATCAGGCATAGTGTCGACGCAGAATTCCACCACCAGAATTCTTTCCGCCAGCGAGATCAAAAAATTAAACAACGCTCCTCTTTTCCACAAACACCCAACCAACCTCAAGAAAATTATCAGCCACCATGGGTTTCTTAGATATCCTCACCGATGCTGGTCTCACCGGTAAGGCCGTCCACCACTTGCTGCAGATGGAGCCGAGTCTCAATCGCAAAAATGAAGAAGAAAAAGAGCGCTGAAACTGACGTGACTCAGTGCTCAACAGCTGGTTGGAGACTCGCTCATACATCGTTGGGTACGTTCATGCGCTTCTACTGTTCATTTTTCCGTTGCACTTCCCAGGCTCATGGAGTTGTTGTGTCCCTCGCCGCACAGCTCCCCTCATTCCTGCAACCTCCCCTTATCATGATGAGCAACATTGGTCCGTGTTACTGAGCGGCCTCAAGAACCGTTAAATGACGATCACCATTGCATTCAAGTGCACCTCTGAATTTTCCATTACAAATATTATACAAAGCTTGGTTTCCTGTTGAATTCAGATCTGACTCCTAGCTAGATACTCTCCTTCCCAGGCCGATGTCGCTACCTTCAAGGGTCTTAAGGAAGCCCCAGACGCCGCAAAATACCCCTACGCTGCCAGATGGTACAAGCACATCGCTTCATACACCGAAGAGTTTGCCACGTTGCCAGGAGATGCCTCGAAAGCATACACCACATATGGCCCTGAGGCCAACGCCGTTACCCTAAACCCAGCAAAGGCACCAGCCACTGAGGAAGAGGATGATGAGGTCGATCTCTTCGGCAGCAGTGATGAGGAAGAAGATGCCGAGGCTGAGAAAATCAGAAATGAGCGTTTGGCCGAATACAAGAAGAAGAAGGAAGGCAAGACCAAGCCAGCTGCCAAGTCTGTTGTCACTATGGATGTCAAGCCTTGGGGTATGATATCATTTAATCCATGGACTCGATAGTGGTGCTGACATTTATACCAGATGATGAGACCGATATGAAGGCTCTGGAGGAAGCTGTCCGTAGTATTCAAAAGGATGGTCTCGTTTGGGGATTATCCAAGCTTGTGGCTGTCGGTTACGGTATCAAGAAGCTACAGATTAACTTGGTCATCGAGGACGACAAAGTTGGTACCACTGATTTGGAAGAGGAGATTGCTGAGTTTGAGGATTTTGTCCAGTCAGTTGACATTGTAAGTGCTACATATAAACTCCCTCCTCCAGCTACTGACCTCTATATAGGTTGCTATGCAAAAGTTGTAGAGCATCACGGTTTTTCGGCATTCCCCACTTACATTCTATGTGCTTCGTTTGACACGACAATTCTGCTGGATATTGGCAGTTTTTTGATGAAACGAACACGAACAAATGCGGCATCATGAGGTCATGATCAAGACTTGCAATCAATAGCAATAGAAATGAAATGACAAAATTCACGACCAAAATAATAAAAACCTGTAAACCTATTGAATTCTTCCTGATCCCATGTGAAATTAGTTGGCGCTTATTATCTTGTAAGCGATGTGCGCGTAAAAAGCTTTGAACATCACATCTCACCAAGTGCAACAGCCCCATCAAGAGCTATCATCATAAGGTACACTGCACAAGATGACCTGGCTATCAACGTCCATCACAGGCTTCGGTTTTGTCCTTCTAGCACATGCGTGAGTTGCCCTCTACCTTGCGATACGCCGAATTATCTGCAGATACTGACGGAGAACTGTAAACAGCTGCTACTCCGCCCACGAGCATTCTGCCCTCCACTCCACAAGCACAGCATCGTTATCCTCACTCACATCTCATGGCCCATCTGTCTCGGCCGTCGCAGCCCTTCCAATCGATATCTCCATCGAAACCATCGTAGCAATCCTAACAATATGTCTCGGGCTCGTCCTTGGCACCCCTGAGCTACGACCAATCCAATGGCGCGTCTGGGCTGGCCAAATTGAGCGTGAAGGCGAGAAGGGCTTCATGAATGGTGATGGAGAGGTTGATAAGGATTATGTGGGCAATCCGTTCAAGGTGTTGGAGAGCAGACCGGGCTTCGTAGATATCCGGAAGCAGAGGAAGGAGTTTGCGGAATGGGTGAGGGAAGGTGGCAGTGTTGAGGGTTAGAAAAGTTAGATGTGACGGTTGGTATATGTTTGAAGGGAGCACTGTAATGGTAGGATTTGATATATGGGAAGCAAAACAGTTAAGCACTTGTTCAGTATGGTAAAGAAGCCAAGAGTGCCTGCCATATAATTGCGCATATATCTTCTATTAATCTCAAGCTTTCAGTACTTTTTAATCAAATTATCAATAAACCCTCTAAATTATATTGCTAAGGGCAAGTTTGCCTCTGCTACTTTTACCATTCTGGTTCGCCACCCCCAAAGACAAGCTCGCTTATGTCCCTTTGTCTTCTGTCATCAACACCACACTCTTCCAATATCCGATCGTCTGCTTCCTCACAATGGCTTACAAGCGCCGCAGGCTAGGTTCTGGTCTTGGTCCTGGGTCTGGTTCTGGTTCTGATTCTGCCTCCCAAACCCCCGTATCCTCGCGCCCTCAAACGTTCTCTCGGATGAGCTCTGTTCCTCGAAGCATTGTGCCATCACAATCGTCCCCTTCTCTTCCACCAAATCCCCATCAAGAAAGGCCGTCTTTTCGGCCGGCTCGTTCACGTGTGTCATTGCCCTCGTCTTCCCGGGCTGGAAATTCCCTATCTCGAGCTCCAGATTCTCCTCGAGCTGCATATGAAGAAACGGATGCCGAGATCCAGCAACGAGAGGGTGCCGACTCTATGAACGAGGTCATTATGGCCATCGACATGAAGGGCGGTACCATCGGATGCTCTTACTATATCGCTAGAGAGGAGAAGTTGTGCATGATGCAAGACATCAAGTATGGTGGCCTAGATATCGTCGATACCTTAAAGCTCCATGCCCAGCCTACACGAATTCTAATCAGCACTCGCTCCGAGGAGAAGTTAGAAGAGCATCTTGGCAAGGATGCACGTGGGATAGATCGTGGAGATGAAGCAAGTGTGCTTTCCGAAGCCCAACCATTCCTCTTCTCAGCTGATACATCGTGCTTTAGACGATGTGTTTGGCTCGTACGTCCTTGATTCCCAGCAATCTACCGACTTCAAGTTTGGTTCGGCAAAGAATAAGCTTGTGAGCCTCGAATTGGGCGTAGACGAGACTCCCAAAATTGTCTTCGCAGTCCCGGGAGATGACATGACAGGAGAGGCTATTCGTGGAGAGCATAGCAGCACCGGTCACCAAGGACGGCTCATGAGACTTGCAGGATGGATAGATCTTGACAGTTGCCTTACGGTATATCTCAATGCCCAATGATATTCCACAGTACTAATAAATCATTCAGGTCGGCTGCGCTGGCGCTTTATTGAGTTATATATCCCGAAGAAAGAATATTGATTACCTGCCAAATGATGAAGCGGCATTGGTGGCCTTTCGAATTCGTACGGTTGAAATGTTTACCCTTTCCGACCAGATGTTCATCAACGCCGATACCCTGGCATCTCTTCAGATCATACAGTCAGAAAATCATCCGAACTCGCACAAGTCCTCATCCGGAGCGAAAGAGAGCTTGTCTGTGTTTGGACTCTTTGTTCACCTCGCCCATACCCCACAAGGCAGGCAGAGGCTCCGGCAGATATTCATGCGGCCAAGTATGAGTTTGACAGTGATTGAAGAGCGGCTGGATACACTCAAGATTCTTCTTCGGCCAGAAAACTCATCTTCGCTAGAAAACGTCGGCAGGAGTTTGAAGCATATCAAAGACATCAGATCAGTGGTGATCCATCTACAGAAAGGTATCAATGATATGGGAAAAGGCAATAGTATATTCAGAGGTGTTTGGGCTAATATTCGGAACTTCACCTTTCACACCTTGAAGATCCTAGAGACCATCCGTGAAATATACGATGGCCGTTCGCTGGCCATCTCAAACAAGGTTCACTATCAAAACCGAATTCGTCAAGGATTAAGCTGATAGTGTTGCTAGCTCCTCGCGGAGATTCAACCTCTGAAGATCCAAGATATCGGCCAGATGATCACTGAAGTTGTCGATTTTGAACGATCAGCAGAACAGCATCGAGCAGCAGTCTTGCAAGGAGTCGATGCGGAACTAGACAATCTCAAAAAAACGTACGATGGCTTAGACAGTCTCCTTACCGAAGCCGCCAGACATCTTTCGAACGATGTGCCAGAGTGGGCCGCTCAGTATGTTGAAAACTGTATATTCTTTCCACAACTCGGCTTTCTTACAGTCGTTTTTCTTGATGCGGAAACTGGCAGAGGAAAATATGAGGGCGAAGGAATGGAAAACGACGTATGGGCCAAAATTTTCAGCACGAATGATATGGGGTACTACAAGAACGCCCGAATGAAGGAGATGGATACATATTTTGGTGATTTGTATGGTATGATCTGTGGTACGTTTATTATTTCTTGATGTACAGTTAATCTACTGAGTTTGCTGTAGACAAGGAAATCGAAATTGTTCACAGATTGGCTGTCAAGGTCCTAGAACATCAGAACCTACTCATCTTAGCTTCAGACCTGTTAGGGGAACTTGATAGCCTCGTTGCCCTGGCTTCGGGAGCCCGCAAATACAATTACAGCCCACCACGCATGACGAGCGCCAATGTAATCCAGATTGAGGGTGGCCGCCATCCACTGCAGGAATTGACCGTCCCAGCATATATTGTAAATGACTGTCTTCTTTCAGGTGGGAGTGGTAATGAAGAAGATATCGAAGGCCAAATGCTGCCATCACATCAGGGTTCGGCCAGCGTCCAGGGTGATGTGGAAGTCCCAAGCATGCTCATCATGACGGGCCCAAATTATTCGGGCAAGTCGGTGTATCTGAAACAGAATGCGTTAATCGTTTATATGGCGCATATTGGGAGCTTTGTGCCGGCTGAACGAGCAACGATCGGATTGACAGACAAAATTCTGACTAGAATTGCGACCCGCGAGAGCGTCTCGAAGAACCAGAGCGCCTTCATGATTGATCTTCAACAGATAGCCCTGGCCACGACGCTTGCAACACACCGAAGTCTCGTAGTCATCGACGAGTTTGGCAAAGGCACCAACTCCCATGATGGCGCGGGACTTTCGTGCGGCATCTTAGAATTCTTCCTCGATCTACAACATCATCGGCCAAAGGTACTAGCCGCAACCCACTTCCACGAAATCTTCGAAAATGGATTTCTTGAGGAAAGACCTGAGCTGTCGTTTGGTCACATGGAGATTCGTGTGGACTCTGATGCACATTTGGTAGAAGATCAAATCACATATTTGTACAATTGTGTGGCAGGCCGCAGCAATTCGAGTTTCGGTACCTGTTGTGCCGCGATGAATGGCATCAATTCAGCAATAGTTGAGAGGGCCGATGAGCTCATCCTTCTAGCAGCGAGAGGTGAGGATCTAGTCACTGTCTGCTCAAAACTCCCGGGCAATGAAGCGAAAGATCTGGAGGACGCGGAACAGATAGGAAGACAATTCCTCGAGCAAGATTTCCCTAAGCCAGACGGCAAGGATTACTCAGAATTCGACGTTCGAACTACCCTGCAAAACATTCTCGCAGTTGCTTCAACATGAATCACACGATATCCGTTGATTACCCGTTCAACGGGTCTCGCTTTTGCTTCGAATCTGACCTGGTATACTGAAAACTGATCACGTGTTGCCGAAGCTTCTGGACCTTGTCTTGGCAATTTTTACTGGTAGAGACATGAGGCGTTTAGCTCAAGTGCGGGATAATGCAGCTTCTTCAAGCCTCATATCCGACTTTGTGCTTCATTTGTACATGGGACGATGCATCCTTGCCATTTGTGATACTCAGTCTCGGTGTTTTAGTAGGCTCCCCGCAAAAATCGCTTTGTGAATCCTCATACAACACCGCGCCTGTAGCAGGCGGCCTGTTAAGTCGAGAACGTGCACGGAGTACATCTCTAACATCCAAAAATGACGATCATGTTTAACAAACAAAGCTAAAAAAAAAAAGCCTCTCTGCCAATTTCTTTTACGCCACAACTGGGGATGCCAAGTGTCGAACGCGAGATGTTACAGGGTGACGTTTGAGCCCAGTGCCGGAAGCGGGCCACTGGGATTACCCCCGTGCCGCGCATTCTCTGGGGAATAACTCCGACATCAATTCAAGGCAAGGCCACATTTGTAGGACCACAGCTAGACCACAATAGCGGACCAAGTGCGAGTGATGAAGATGATTTATCAAGTGTATGAATCTATTTCGTATTACAGGTATATTAGTAATATCCTTTGATTAATGTGATTGTGTCTTTTCAGCGTGTAGTCCGTATTCTTGATAGCTATCATCGTCACTGTACTAGAGAAAGTAGAGAAACAACATTTGTTCCACTTCGCGACCACTCACTACCATTTCATTTTCCCCCATTCGCCAGCCTTATTCTCCTGTCCATGGACCCTTGCGACTCAGACAGATGAGACTGAATGACGTGGAGCCTAGAAGCAGATCGTGTGGTTGCTTGAGCTGGCACAAATTAAGCGGCTCTGTGCATGTCACCGTTTCAATAATTTGCGGGTTTCCTTTCCATCTCAACTCACGTCTATTGGAAGACCGAGCTGATGCCAAATATAGCTACAATATGCTTTCTTATCACTTCCTTGTCACGTTGTCACGAGCAGGCATTATTCCCGTGCTGGAGTCCCTACTGCCGCGGATCACTTGCGCGGTGAAGCTAAGAATAACCTGCAACTCGATGATCGCTCAAAGATCAAGTAATGTCGGTTTGAGGTTTTGCTTAGAGTCTCAACATGGATAATCATCACTGCGAGTATCGCCGACGTGCAAAGACTTTTGTGGAGACGAGCCAAACATCGGGTGGACACATTCTGGATTATAAGTACCAGCTTTGTAACCTCTATTCTATCAGCATTCAATTCAAACAACTTCATTAATCATCTCACTTCAACAACAAACAACAAAACAACTCAAAAACATCTCATCAATTCATCTCATCAATTCATCTAATCAATCCATCTTTCCAACCTCCAAACAATAATCAAACCTTCAATATGCAATACTCAAGCCTCCTCATCGTCGCTCTCACTGCCGCCGCCGTCTCCGCACAATCAGACGTAAGTTTCTACAAGTCTCCAAGGCTTCTAGAACCTTAGCTAACATGTTACACTAGTCTTCTTCCGCATCCAAGACCAAGGCGAGCAAGTCAAGCGCAACCGGCGCCGTAGCGGCCGATGCCTCTGCGACTGGAAAGGTCAGCGGTAGTGCATCGAACTCCACCAAGTCAGGAAAGGCAGGAGCCTCGGCCGCGGTAGCGACAGCATCTGGCAAGGCAAGCGGTGGAAACTCAACAAAAGCTTCAGGGAAGGCCTCGGGCTCAGCCTCATCATCTTCATCCCCGGCAAAGGCAACAACTGCTGGTGCTCCATCACTGTTGGCTCAAGGCGGGGGCATGGTCACAATCGCAGGTCTCGGTGTTGCATTTGCTGTCTTCATGTAAAGGCATGCCTTGGACGACTGGACTGGCATGGATGGATTCGGGCATTGGGTGGCGATTGGTGTGTATAGATTTCGGGTTATTACCTGAGGTGTTCACGTAGTTGGTGTGGAGCAGGTCTCTTGCATTGTGGCACATATATATATTAAAAGGATCGAACCGGCGTACAAACGATATTATAGTTAAGAGTTTAAAAGATACCACTCCTTTTCATACCAAGCCACTCGGTTTGACTGTCGTGTTTTCATTGCGTCTCCTGTGAACTCTTGGAATGGCTGATATAGGCCCAGGATTATATCTGATATTCTTTTGTACCAGCTGCAAATGCACGTTTTAGAACCTAACTGCTTCATAGTCACATGACAACCCTTCTTCCTGGATAATGCAGTGAGGCTGGAGTGCATAATCGGGTGGGCACTTGCGAGGCGGGACAATCCCAACATGAAGCATCTCTGATTCAGATGGGCTAACCACAAGTAAGAAAGACAACTATGCGTAAACTCGGTAACGAAAAGTACGGAACGCTCCATATTTGTCCTCGGCGTTACTCGTAAGTCCTTTCAACAAAACATACACCCTGTGACGTATATTATTTGAGGTTTTCCTGAAGAATGCTTTTTGCTTGGTAATAATGGTAAGTACCTATGTAGTTAAGGTATTGTATCTCCGAGATCTGTACACGAAAGTCGAGACTAACTTACGCCAAGGCTACTCGAGTATTACGCGAGAATGATCTGCAGCCCTAATGAGTAAAGGCATTTGGCATTCATGCTCACTCACTCATGCACTCACTCATCAACCCCTCTCAGTCTTATCGTCATCAGAGCGAGCCAGCGGACACTTGAATCTGACCCGTCGAGAAGATGCTTACCAAGCCGTGGTTCAGAGAGCCAAAAGCATGCATCATCCATCCATGCGCATATCAAATATCATGAAAAGAAATATGAGAGAAGAGAGTGCGCAGAAAGAGATATTGATTCAAGAGTTTGAATTGCATCCACACCGACGCAATCTTCAATAGAGAATCACTCGCACCGCAGCCGCAATGGAAGGCACGTAGTCTACCGTCGGGAGCTAACAGAGCTTCCACCGGAGCAAACGTGCAGACTGAAAACGTATTTGTAAGAAATCTGATTCGCTCGATTTATAATCTCAGCAACACCAAGGTAGATCTTCCCTGGCCTAAAGGTACCGAAGTCTTTGGTTAAGCCATTCATCTTTAGCTGTTGCGCTAAGTTGCGGCAAGCACTGCACCTCATAAGTAGAGGACGCGCTTCTCAACGTTGTTGTTTCTTGAGTAATCATGATTTGATCCCTTCGATACAATATACTGTGCTTTTGTACCGTCAATATGTTTTACACGCAGCCAGATCGGATGTTCACAGAGAATGCAGATGGCCGTGAAGGCACTCGCGTTCCACTGCATAATACCGACAACCCTAGCGAGCGCTCACAGAATCTCGAGGAAGCTAATTCTTCAGATTCCGACGTCAATAATGATGGGACGTGGGGAGAGCGTGTTGTTGGTGGGCCGGTCAATTTCCGAAACGCTATGCTAGATTATGAAGATATGAGAAGAGAATTGACCAGCTTATCCAAAAGTCGCACTGGAAAGAGTGGAAAGAGCGGGAAGAGTGGCAAAAGCGATCGGAAACGGTCATTTGGCTTGAACAGGGGCTTTACGAACCGATCCCATCAGACAAATGCCCAAACTGAACCAGAGCGGGATGTCGAAGATGAAGTTCGAGAAAGTGAGGGAGATGACGACGAAGAAGATGATTTCGAGTTGCGGGATTTCCTCAAGGACGGGCATTTTGAGAAGCGACAAGAGGGCAGGTCTGCGAAGAAAGTTGGGGTACTCTACAAGAATCTTACCGTTCAAGGAGTTGGTGCAACTTCAACATTCGTCAAGACACTACCCAGTGCTATCATCGGTGTAAGAGATCTAGGACCATTGAAAATGTCTCAGAAAAGCTAATATTGATGTAGACTTTTGGCCCCGACTTGTACAAGCTCCTTTCCCGGTTTCTTCCTTTTCTACCTGGAGCTTCAGGTGAAAAGAGAAACTTAATCCATGATTTTACAGGTGTTGTTCGTGACGGAGAGATGCTACTAGTTCTTGGAAGACCAGGAAGTGGATGCAGTACCTTCTTGAAAGCTGTTGCTAACAAGAGGGGAGCATTCGCTGGTGTTGATGGTGAAGTTTCTTATGGCGGTATCCCTGCAGATGAACAGAGAAAAAGTTACAGGGGAGAGGTCAATTATAACGAGGAAGATGACCAACATTTTCCTACTCTCACTGTGGAACAGACTATCGACTTTTCTCTGTTGAACAAGACAACGAAATATGAGAAAGGTGGTATCCCAATCATTATTGGAGCTTTGCTGAAGATGTTCGGGATATCTCACACGCGCTACACTCTAGTTGGAGATGTAAGTTCTCTACTCTGGTACTCCGAGATTAAAGTGTCTAACATCTTTTCAGGCTTTCGTTCGAGGAATATCGGGAGGTGAGCGTAAACGTGTGTCGATTGCTGAAACACTTGCCACGAAGTCCACAGTTGTAGCATGGGACAACTCGACTCGTGGGCTCGACGCGTCCACGGCTCTTGACTATGCAAACTCACTCAGAGTTATGACCGATGTTAGCAACAGGACCACCCTTGTCACACTCTACCAAGCTGGGGAGGGTATATATAAGGTCATGGACAAGGTATTGGTCATAGATGAGGGCCGAATGATGTACTCAGGTAAATCCACGCACACCAGCGTAACTTTACAATCTCTTAAATGAATTATAGGCCCAGCAGGGGAAGCTAAGAACTATTTCCATGATCTTGGTTACCATTGCCCCGAAAGACAAACAACTGCCGATTTCTTGACGGCCTGCACAGACCCTACCGAACGACGATTCCGTGACGACTTCGAGGGGCCTATTCCAAAGGGACCTATTGAGCTGGAGCAGGCTTTCCGTGAAAGTGATGCTTACAAACGCCTTCTCCAGGATGTCGAGTCCTATGAGAAGATGTTGAAGGAAACAGATCATGCAGATGCCCGCGAATTTAAGCAGTCCGTAAAGGAAAGCAAGTCGAAGACGGTGTCAAACCGATCCAGCTATACTGTCTCCTTTTTCCGCCAAGTTCTGGCTTGCACGAAGCGTGAATTCTGGCTAACATGGGGAGACAAAACCACTCTCTACACAAAGTTCTTCATCATCATCTCTAACGGTCTAATCGTTGGCTCCCTATTCTATGGTCAAACCACGGATACTAATGGCTCGTTTACGCGAGGTGGAACTCTTTTCTTCTCGATTCTCTTCCTCGGCTGGCTCCAATTGTCCGAATTGATGAAAGCTGTCTCTGGACGGACGATCATCTCAAGGCACAATGACTATGCTTTCTATCGACCATCCGCTGTTGTCATCGCGAGAGTTCTTCAGGACTTCCCCTTAATTTTGGCTCAGGTCATTCCATTCGCCCTCATTATGTATTTCATAACGGGGCTCGATGTTGATGCCAGCAAATTTTTTATTTATTTTCTATTTATTTACACAACAACAATTTGTATTACTGCATTATACCGCATGTTTGCAGCACTATCTCCAGTCATCGATGATGCCGTTCGTTTTTCTGGAATTGGGCTGAACCTTATGATGTAAGATTCACAGCCTACGCTGGTGTGATGATCTGCTGACTTGTGACCTCAATAGCGTCTACACTGGATATGTAATTGCAAAGCCTCAATTACTAAGCGATTATATCTGGTTCGGTTGGATTTATTATATCAATCCTCTTTCTTATAGTTTCGAAGCTGTCTTGTCAAATGAGTTTTACAACAAGGTCCTGGCTTGTGCGCCCTCTCAGACCGTACCGCGCGGTCCTGGGTTCGACAACCCGGCCTATCAGGGCTGTGCATTTACCGGTGCTCAGGTTGGATCTCTGAATATCCCTGGTTCGACGTATTTGAATACTGGCTTTGAATATTCTCGAGGCCATCTCTGGAGAAACTTTGGTGTTGGTGAGTTAAACTGCATTCTCATGCCCAAAATTAGGGCGAACTAATGCATCTCAGTCATTGCCTTTGCAGTTCTCTATATCCTGGTCACCGCAATTGCCACCGAACTCTTCGATTTCACGTCTGGAGGCGGCGGTGCTCTTGAATATAAGAAATCGAAAGCCGCCAAGCAAAAGGTCAAAGCTGTATCAGCTCCTACTGATATCGAAAAGGGGCCTCGAGAACTTTCTAGTAGATCATCTTCGAACCAGACCTTGGATGGGACTACCGAAGACGAAGCCTTGCATGAGATTTCAGGGTCTGATAGTGTGTTTACATGGCAGAATGTTGGGTACACTGTTCCTTATATGGGCGGCGAACGAAAATTGTTAAACAAGGTCAATGGTTATGCTAAGCCAGGTGTCAGTATGTATTACCTTCATCTATTCCCTATTCCCTATTCCACTTGAATTTCCCGCAAACATCGGGTTCACTGCACCGCTTGACAGCGGAGAGCCCAATCCGACTACGAATGAAGCAGAGCAAATGCTGACTTGCATAGTGGTCGCACTCGTGGGTGCATCTGGAGCTGGAAAAACAACCCTCCTCAACACGCTCTCCCAGCGACAGAAGACAGGCGTTGTTTCTGGCGACATGCTTGTAGACGGTCGTCCGCTTGGCACCGAATTTCAAAGAGGCACTGGTTTCTGCGAGCAGATGGATCTTCATGATGGCACAGCGACAATTCGAGAGGCCCTCGAATTTTCTGCGATTCTCCGACAAGATCGTAGTGTTTCGAGGGCGGACAAGATTGCCTACGTCGATAAGATCATTGACCTCCTGGAGCTTGGCGATATTCAAGATGCCCTAGTAAGGTAAGTCAACCGGAACTCAATTCGCGATTGGAATTATACTGACATCTTGTAGATGTCTAGGAGTCGAGCAAAGAAAAAGGGTTACTATTGGCGTTGAGCTTGCAGCAAAGCCTAATCTGTTACTCTTTCTGGACGAACCTACATCTGGACTTGATTCACAAAGTGCTTATTCGATCATTTACTTCTTGAAGAAACTGGCACAGGCTGGTCAGGCGGTTGTTTGTACAATCCATCAGCCATCGTCAGTTTTGATCCAACAATTTGACATGATACTTGCTTTGAACCCTGGTGGCAATACTTTCTACTTCGGTCCTGTTGGAGAAAACGGATCATCTGTCATCAAATACTTTGCCGAACGTGGGGTCCAGTGTCCACCCAACAAGAATGTCGCAGAATTCATTCTCGAAACAGCAGCTAAGCGTGGTAAGCGGGCAGATGGAAAGAAACTGAACTGGAACGATGAATGGGTTCGCTCCGAAGAGGCCAAGCAAGTTCAGGATGAGATCAAACGTATCAATGAAGAACGCAGCAAGATCGTACCTCCTGTCACTAGTGATCAGCACGAGTTTGCATCGCCCGTCGCTTTACAAACAGTGGAGCTTACGAAGCGTTTGTTCACTCAATACTGGAGAGACCCGTCTTACCTCTACGGCAAACTCTTCACTTCGGTCATTATCGGAATCTTCAACGGTTTTACTTTCTGGAAGTTGGGATACAGCGTCGCCGATATGCAAGACCGCATGTTCACATCGTTTTTGATTTTGCTTATCCCGCCAACCATTGTTAATGCTGTCGTGCCGAAATTCTACCAAAACCGAGCTCTGTGGGAAGCAAGAGAGCTTCCTTCTAGAATTTATGGATGGGTTGCATTCTGCACTGCTAATGTCGTTGCGGAAATTCCAATCGCAATTGTTGGAGCTACAATTTATTGGGCATTCTGGTACTGGCCCACTGGCCTTCCCACCGACTCGTCGACTGCCGGTTACGTTTACTTGATGACGGTGCTTTTTGTAAGTTTCAATATTCAAAATCTACATTACTGAACCTAACAATCGTAGTTCTTCTTTCAAGCCAGTTGGGGTCAATGGATCTGCGCTTTTGCCCCATCCTTCACCGTCATCTCAAACGTCCTCCCATTCTTCTTCGTCGTGTTCTCCCTCTTCAACGGAGTCATTCGTCCCTACGCCCAGCTTTCCGTATTTTGGAGATATAGCATTTTTTTTTGTCAACCCATCAACTTACTGGGTAAGTTACCGCCTCTAATTAATTCCTTATATTGCCACTAACTATATCAAAGATCGGAGGTGTCCTAGCCGCAACTCTCAACAACACCCCCGTCCAATGCGTCCCCCAAGAAGCAGCCTACTTCAACCCACCTCCCGGAATGACCTGCGGTACTTATGCGCAACCGTTCGTAGATGCGATCAAACAAGGACGTCTCATGAACCCAGGCGACACTAGCAACTGTGGATACTGCCAATATGCTTCCGGCGTTGAATATCTACAGACCCTGAACATTGAGCCAAGAGACAAATGGAGGTACTTTGGTATCTTCTTGGCTTTCTGTGTTTCGAACTGGGCGCTCGTCTATTTCTTTATCTATACTGTCAGGATCCGCGGGTGGAGTTTTGGGTTTGGGTATTTCTTCAGTCTTGGAGGGAAGGGAATTGGGGCTGTCAAGGGGTTGTTTAAGAGGAAGGGAAAGAAGGACGTGAAGGTCAAGGCTTAGATGGAATTGATGATTCATGGAGTCTAGGGAGTGCTGCAGATACAGCTCTAAGAAGGAAAAGTGGTGATTGAGTTTGGGTTTAGAAAGATATGATTCGCACAACATGGATTTGGTTGCTATAGCGTTGGTGTTTCAAGAGGGTAGATAGATGTAAAAAGTTGATTTGCATAGTACGTATGATTCCAAAATCCAATATAACTCATGAATAGATACAACATATCACAAATCACACTTCACTCGTCTCATCGTCACTTCAAAAGAACGCTGCTGCTGACGCATCACCAAGTCCCAAATCCCCCAAACCCCAATTGTTTTCCACCGTAGCCATCTGAGAATAATGGCTATACGCAGTCCCATCCGTCGTACCCTTCGAAGAAGCCGGAATCGCGTCTCCTAGAAGTACAGAGAAGACTTTGTTAACCCCGCTTTGTACAGCGGTCTCATCAAAAGCTTTAATTAAAGTCGGTTAGTTGAATTCTATCCTCGCAATGCATATGCGTGGGAGAGAGAGACTTACTCAGCAAGACGAGCGTATTGTTCATAAAGTTAGAATCGCTCAGTAGCGGAGACAGAAAACTCTTGATCCATTTCCCAGCGGTCGTGACCGAGGTATCGTGGCCGTCATTCGTCATATTGGGCGTGATGAACATCCACTGCGGCAGTTTATTGTCGGAGAGGTCTTTTTCGAACATGGTCAAATTTTTTATCTTGGCCAGACGGGATGTGTCGCTCGATACGGAATCGTAGCTTATGAGTGGGCTTTTTATTTATTTCATCAGTCATGCACGATTTTGTTAATTTCTGGAATGGGGAACCCGAAATTTCAACGATTATTACTCACTTGTGCTTCCTTACGAAATCATTAGCTCCGGTTTCCTGGTTGACATAATTTCCTTCGAACCCACTGTAGGGGGAATCTTGTTGGTATTCAGACCAGGAAACACCTTTTGCTTCCAGGAGATCAACGATCGTCTTGGCGGATGAGTCGATACGCTGGAACGTGTCATCTGTAAATCCATGGGTCGAACCGCCGACTGCTGCGACGTAGTTTGGTTGTGAAGGGTGTCTGATTGCAAGATAATTGGTTAGAGTGACTCCCTCAGAAGCGGCCCATTTGAAGTTTGCTGAGAGAGTTTTAGTAGCTGTAGTTTGAGCTGGTGAAAAGGATGCCAAGGGAGGAACTCACTGTCCGCAGATGCCATGGAATAATCGGTATTCTCGCACCCTGCAGAGTACAGAAGGTCAGCATGAGAAACGTAAAATTAGAAATCAGATTCCAAAACTTGAACCTCAACTGAGTAACTTGGCGAGAAACCTCCAAGTTGAACTCGTATTACTTTCAACTGCGTTGGATTACGAACTTACAGATTGCTACGAAACAATCGAAAGTCTTGCCGGCGACATTACTCGTGGGACTCTCTGTCAACGCAGTGGCTCTTGCCTTGGCCACTGCAGCCGCAGCTGTAGAAGTGTATTGCGTTTGTGCAAAACCAGCAGCAAAGAAGGCGGAGAGGAGAATGAGTGAACGCATCTTCCACTTGCTGGAGTATAATAAATATGAATCTGCAGTGAATAAGAAAATAAATCAAACCAAACCCTACTTAAACACCATCCATCTATATACAAGCTGTATCAACGGCTTCTAGAACTTTTAACTTCTATCCAATATATGCGACCGGCATTTGGAATGTCACTCGACGACACCAAACCCAAACCAGCAACTGGAGACTTCCTGCAGATGGTCAGTTTTTGTTTTTTCAGAGATTAATACCAGACATTGGTTGGAACTGCCGAATAACGATTCATCGGGTCTGGCCGACAGACTAGTCTTGACTACCTTCCGCATTAGTGAAGATTTTCCAGAAAGGGAAAGTATACAGAAAATATATATGAAATTTCCCATGTTAGAAGGTCTCTTGTCTTTTAAGCATGGGCCTTTTGAAATGAGTTTACATGTGTATGAGTGGCGATTTTTTTCTTCTCGAGCAAGCGATGCAGAAGATTAGATTAGATCGGGGCGGTCACTCGTCCAAAATCCAGTGATATGCTCTTCTTCGAACAACATGACAAAGGTCTCTCTATTTTATCTCCAAGTTAGCTCCAGCCTGCTCCCAGAAATGGTCTAAAGGATGCACCAACCCTTTGGGACCTTGCTAAATGACTTCGAGCATCTTTCTGGAATGCATATAGCATGCACATCTGCAGGTGCTGCAATGATGAAGGCAGTGTCACTAATAAGTCTCTACAATGAAGAGAATGAAGAATTATCAGACTTCATACTTGATATCCATACGATTATAGCTCTGCATCAATGATTCATGAAGTAATAGCTGGTTTCACTTTATTTTCATGAAGTCTCATGAAGTGGATCTCGATTCTTCACTTCATAAAGATTTATACTTGATCGTACACTGTACAGATCTAGTCACTGCGGTTAGTCTCTGTCTGTAAATGGAAGATACTCCCTGCGCTTGCTCTTTATTTCGCTTTCCGTGGAAATGTGGAGGTCATCACAGTGGAGACGACAGTGACTCTGCGCATCGTATGTGACTACACAACCAAGTTCACATCCACAAACGAAGGAGATGATAAGCTGGATACAGGGGGTGGGAGGAAGACAGACCGAACCTGCAGCGAAGCGACTTGGAACAGATGTGAAGTAATCGCAAATCAGAAGTATGTACCTGGATTGAAGAAATATATACAAAACAGGCGGAAAAAACCCGTAAATCCCACGCTATGCTTAAAACCCCCAGCCTGTGGCCCAAGCAATATGGAATGAGGTCAGATAGCGCTGGAACGGAATCCGTGAAGCTTTCTTTGTTCAAGGTTTCCAAACGGATCCCCAAAAGCTTCAAGCTCGATTGAATAGGCCCCCTTTTCACTGCCCCACTAATTTTTACGACTCCAGTGGTTTGGGCCCAGTGCTGCTAGGAGGTCGGATGGGAGGCCACTATCGCCAAAAACCTGTTCGGCGTATTAGTTTGCGTTTTATAAAATAAGCAGTAATTAGACTACTTACTCCTCCGCGAGTATCTGGCATAGCACCTGTTGTGGCATTCCTGTATTGCCAATTTGAGGCGCAATCAACAAAGGTGTTCAGAGGATCAAAGCCGTTGTTTTTTGTGTTTGCATCTGGGAAATAACTCATGGCATTGAGCGAGTTGTGCCATTGGCCATCGTTAGGTGGATCTCTGTCGTATGTAGTGGCGAAAGCGGAAACTGGAATCGTCCATATACCAGGCCGCGTGGGGCTAGAATCAAATGATGAAACCAGACTCGTTAGGTTGCTTTTGGGAAGGTTGTCGGGGTTGTAGTTGAAACCACCCGTCTGCCATGAATTCACAGCTCCTCGCTATATCTCCATCAGTACTTCCTTCACAATTTGTTCTCAGAACTCAGGCTTACCATGACATCAGGCAAGTTGAATTTCCAGCCACCTGGAACTTCAAATTCCGAATCCCAACCAGTGACTCCCGATGTATAGGTGTTCTTCTTGACCTTATTTGTAATCTGTCCAAAGTCAGTATATGTAATAAAGTGGGCAATCAGAGTATATTATACTTGGAAAATTCTGGCCATTCCTTTTGTCTCGCTACCGGCGTCACATACTGTAAAGACCTTGCCGTTATCCCCTCCCTGGTAGGTCCCTTCGCAGTCTGATTGAGCAAAGTGAGGGAAATCGTGAACGACTGGGTAGGGGCTTTTGTAACCGCTGCTGTCATATTGTGTAAAATGAGGTCCATATGGTACCCAAAAGATGAATGTATTATCTTGTTTGAGAACCCAACTAGTCTTGTTAGTAATGATCATAATTCAACGCGGCGTGCTTTTCCCTTACTCGATGGATTTCATATAGAACAATGCTGACATATCCTGGATGATGGTGCTAGAGTATTTTGAGGTATCTCCGGTATAATTGTTCACCAAAGCACCTCCATTAGTGACGTTCAAAAAAGTCGGACCATAAACATTATCAATCAAGTTTGAATGGAGAGTCTCAACAATCGTGGTCATGTTGGTGACGTAGCTCTGAATGGCAGTGCCCAAATCCGCGGCCCTAATGAAGTCAGAATTGGTTGAAATTGAAACGGAATTTGATTGGGGTAATTACGCGTCGAATTTCTCCTCGAGAGAAGGAGCAGCAGGGTGCTCTGCAGTGTCGATAGAAGACGCTGCACCAGCTATTTGACTGACTGCCAAGATGCCGATTCCTGCGTAGGTCTAAGGACTTGTAAGTACCCATAGGTATGAACTAAACCCAGATTACAAGACAGGGAGCGACACTTACACCGACAACTGGAATTAATCCTGCAACCGAACTGAGCATAACGATAAACGGATTGACAGATCCAACTATCTGTTGCCAGGTTACCGCTGGAGGAGTGGTTGTAAAAAAGGTCTTGACCAATTGATCTTGGCTGGTTGTTTCTTCGATGGTTGCAAATTTGATCGCTTTCCAATACTCGTACAACATGTTGTTTATGTTAGCGTAGGCGTTGAAGGCCAGGTTTCGCGCGGGATCCTTTGCGTCCACTGGACCATCTCCTCGGATCGGGGCACATTTGGTCTTCTCGCACTCCTCGCTGACCTTGCAAATATTTGGCCCGGCCGCATCTTTTGTGATAACACTTCCAATATCCAAGTCGCTACTTTTGATGGGTCCACCCGGGATGCCGCCTATGGGGAGGTCAGGATGACTTGGCGAATTGGTCTCCTGGGCGATGAGTGATGAAAGGTAAGCATCTACACCGTACGCTTTCCATGAGTCTGCACTATCAGTTATCTGGTTGTTTAAACATGCAGTAGCAACATCTGGCGACGGTGTGCTGACGGCCAGAGACGTTGCAATTCCAGGCCCAGAGCTGCATGGCCACGTTGCGGTCATGGTAACAGTGTAACCAGCAGCAGATGCAGATGCCGACGAGGCGGCGGCGGCTCTTTCTCTGAACTTTTTGTCCCTCCTTTTGGTGGTTCCTCCTGGGGGCGTTACACTTATGAGTATTTGGTGATCAAAAGCATCTTGAGGCAAATGTTATTAGCACTTCTGATTCGCAGGTGATAATGTGAAGACTTTTTGTTATAGCTTACCAGAAGAATCCGAAATATTGAAAGTAGTTGAATGTTTATCATCATTGATCTTGAGTAATGCCTTCAGGGCGGTCTCGGGATCTTCAGAGCCTGAAGAACCAGCTCCAGCACCTGGGACGCCGATGCCACTAAATGTGACCCCTTTCGTATCAGACCCTGGAAGTCGTTAGAGATATTTAGGTATATTTGGATAAAACAGAGAAAATACTTACAGATTTTCCATAGTGCCCCTTTCTGCTTAGCATAGCCTTTATCGCCATCACTATATATGTTGAGCTGTGTGACTGATGTGTCTAGAGGGTATTCCGTGCTGAAAGTAGCCGAGCCCGATCCAGCTTTGCCATCGCATGCTGTAGTTGGAACAGCATCGAGACTATAGACCCCAGGGCCAGATTGAGCGAAGCTTTCTTTGATCAAAAGAAAAGGGAGCAAACTGCCCACGAGAGGAGGGCGGCCAAAAAACATGTTTATAGATATCAAATGGAGAAATCGGAGTGAAGTGGGCTCTTCAAATGAGTTTAGGTGAGAGGTGTACTTCCTTTATATACACACACATTCTATTTCATGACACATTAAAGACTGAAGTTCCTTACCATAGATCCTTCCATGAACTTCATTTACGAAGGAAGTAGCGTATACCATATGCCAAGAGATGCTGGATCAAGGAAAACTTATCATAATGTGTCTGCTAGTCTGAGAAGTGCAGGCGAAGGATGAACACTTGCTAAACTCGTCTGTTTTTGAGTAGTATCGGTATGGGAGTCTTCACAGATTGGTTGTTTTGGCTGACGTCAAGAGGGTGAGCATTACTAAAGCTTCGCCGCAATTTGAATCCATATTGGACTTTGGCAGACAAGGAGGTACTTTGTACGTAGATTTTCTCCACCGGCGAATCTTGGGTGCAAATCAAGCACATATCATTTTGCTGGGACAGGCATCTTGTTAGAATTAACCCTCTTAGACGTCGACATATACCTAGGTAGGTGGGCAGAAGACTGTTGGGGGCCGCGCTGAAGCGGCGGGCCTCTCTCGCAAAAATTCGAGAGAGGATCTTATTATTCACAACAGGTTAACTAACCAAGACAGGAGAATTTTAATGCTCGGCCGTGAATAGACTTCCGTGCCGTAGGAGCAATAAGTACCGTAGTGTCTTGATTGAAGGATTCTGATACTTCGTATCAGCCACTGGGGAATTTTCTCTAGCGGTGACGATGACAGGAAAACATCGTTTCATTGAACAGGGGAGAAAATAAGCTCATTCAACGAACAAACCAAGCACTGTTCGGACTGAACGCCTAATGTGTTCATAGAAACAAGGACAGAGACAGGCATATATGATGGCCTTTCTCCGAAGTGCCGAACAAAGGAAGTAACAAATCGCGTACAGTAGCTCATGTAAATTGCGCTGCTGTACTTGAATACAGGTTGATCCTAGCTTGC